AAGAGGCTTCTCGGCATTTCTTGACACCCACAATGGTTCTGGCGAGGGAGCGCTGCTGTCATGCCCCCTTGCCTAAAGGATGGTACGCTTTTTCTGTCTGGGATGGTCATCCTTTTTTACCAAGTGCGCAGTTTCAGGAGGGATGCATATGGAGTGGTGAGGGAGGAAGGGGACCCCTGCCTGGCCACATCAGGGTGATGAGCAGGGTGACAGATGTCGCAGCCAGATCACCCTCACATCCATACCCACAGTGGTGTCAGTTGCCTCAGGCAACACGACCACCCATTGTGGGAACAACTACTCCTAGAATAAGCCATGGATTGCCAAGGAGGCCTGATGCCTATGAACAAGCTTTTCTGTAGGAAATGCTCTGGGTTCACATGATGCAATGACTCACCAGGGTTCAACATCCGCTGTAGGTTGTGATGGCACGCAAAGCAGGCCATTGAGGGTGTCTTGTGCAAAGGCCTTAAACTCAGAGCAGCACCGGGTCTTCCCTTAAACTTTGCTCTTCAACTGTTAGCAAGTGACTCGAAGCAGCCAGAAGGCAGGAAGTGATAGGGCAGAATAGCACAACCCTGAAATAGCCAAGCATCTCTTCCGGATGTCCCAGCCAAGTGTGTGAGAAGTGGTGGTGGTGCTTTTTCTTTCTCGCTGTTGCCTCCCAGCATCCTTCCAGGGAAAGATTGCTACATGTTTGCACAAGCGAAAAGGCAGGAGATGGGCCTCAGCCACAGAGGTCAAGACTCCTAGGGTGGGTGTGCAAGGACCCTCTGGGTCTTGCTTCAGAGCCCTGCCTGTCCAGTTCCTTCCTGAGCCTGGCCCTGCCCTCCCCGAATCCCAGAGCCATGGCAACCCTGCCTCCTGCAGCAGATGATTTATTCTTCAGACTTGTTGACCTGGGGGAAGTCATCCAGTGGTTTGGACTGAATCATTTGTGGACACACATTCTCCTCAGCTTCTGGTTTCTGTTCGTGCATCCCAGGAAGGCAGTGGAACCAGCATTTGTAGCCAGTATTAAGATGGGTGAGGGGGAAGCATCTGCAACTTAGTTCCAGCAAGGTGGAGGTACTGTGGGTTGGGAAACCTACCACTCTAGGTGGGAGCATTAGACTTCCAGAACTCCTCCTGGAAGAGCCCAGCACATGGGTTGGGGGTCCTGTTGGACTCGGCACTAATGGAGGAAGCTCGGGTGACTACAGTGTCCAGGAAGGCGTTTTGCCAGCCTAGGCTGCCGTGCCAGTCATGGTCTAGTCTGGTGAGGATGGCTTTGGCTCGGTCGTCCATGCAATAGGTACACTGCGTTACAGTAGTCCAGCCCAAAGGCATGTGAGCCTGCCTTTGAAGTCTGCCCAGAAACTTTGGCCAGCAAAGAAAGCAACTTCTCCAGTGTTGGTGAGAGCCAAGTGATGCCTAAGCTGCACCTGCTTTGCTGTTTACTGGTATGTTGCCAGCCTTGCATGCCTTGAATGAGAGTGTGTTTCTCACTTGCCTTGTTTGGAGGACATTTAGGTGGCTAATAAGTACACAAGGGAGGGCCTTTTCTGCTGTGGCTTCACATCTCTGGAATGGGTTGCCATCCAGGGTCCATCATTTAATAGTCTTCTTGGGTTCTTTCCTGATTGTGTTTTATTGAACTGTTCTGATTTTTAGTTTTAGTCATGTTCTCAGCTTCAGTACTGTCTGGCTAGATGGTCTATTGTTGATTTTATTGTTGCTTTGTTATAATTACATAGGTTCTTATTGTATAAGCCAGTGCATATGAGCATGGTGGCTCTTCTCTTAAAGGCAGCTGAGAAGTATTTAAAATAAAATGGAAAGCTGCTGCACCACATGTCTTCTGCTCAGCAGATCCTCTGATTGTCCATTTATTCTTAGCCACTTATTTATGGAAGTGGCTGGGCTTGGGGAATATGCCTGAATGGTTATAAAGGATTATCCAGTTACTTGAAATGTTGGGGTCCCACCCAAACCTGTCCATCTCTGGCATCAGATTCCAAGCTTATTTTATTGTACTGATCTTATTTTCCCCCTACTGTTTGCTTTGTGTTCAATCGCACTGTGTTAGCTGCTTTGGGCTTTTTTTTCCCTTTCTGAAGGAAAAGCCAGTACAGATGTGAAATGGTATAAATGGAAACGGCTACGTGACTGTAGGAGGCAGTGCTCAGCCTTAATGCCTGGAAAAACATTTGCACATAAGGGTCAAAGCAGGCATTGCTTTGAGCCTGTGCCTAGCAGCTGCATCTCCCCACCCCATTTTTATCTAGTGTGGATGTGGGGTCATGCTCCAGATCAGAAATGTCCCCCCCTTCACCATGCTGGAGTCCTAGTCAGTGGCCCTGCACCTCCCCTAGAGTAAAAGTGAAAAAAGTCACAGCTGCTAGACACAGATTTAAAGTATCGCCTGGTTTGAGCCTGAGAGACAGCGATGGAGACAAAGCACACCAAAGAATGTTGGGGAGAATCAGACTGACCTCCTCCCAACACAGTTGGGTCACCAGGCTGAAGGCTGGAAAAATACTTTAAATTCCTAGATGCAGCTATGCAAAACCTCTCAGCTCCCAGGCAGCTGGGCAGCTTGCCAGCAGCCATGAGTTTTCCCCTCAGTCATATCAAAGATTGTACCTATTTCCATGCCCTTTCATTGTTCATTGAGCTTGACTTAACGTGATGGCCAGGCCCAAGTGTATTACGCTGTGGAACGAACAGAGATGGGTTTCTTTTCCTTCTTCCCTTTGCAAAGGATTATGAGGCTGGAGAGTCACTGGAAATGTGCCTGGGGAACTTCCAAGCTGCATGCATATACCTGTGTGTTGCTTCAGGCTATGACCTAATAACCACGCCTTCCTCAAGCTGTTTTCCTGTAGGTGTGTTGGATTACAACTCCCATCACCCCCCATCCAGCATGCCACAGACACAGCAGTGGGGTGTAGTGGTTAGAGTGTTGTACTGGGCGGGGCTGGAATCAGTTCCCCTGGCTTTGGGCCAGTCGCTGGCTCTCAGTCTAGCCTGCCTCACAGAGTTGCAAGGATAAAATGGAGAGGAGGGTTGTGTATGTGTGCCTTAGAGGATGAGGCGGGGTGTAAATGTAGCCCCAGTTCTTCCTCGTGTGCTGCTGCTGATGCCCACTGAACTTACTGGAGAAGCCTTCCTGGAACCAAGTTGACGACAGAGGATTGCACCACTGGACCTGCATGGGCTGCTTGCAGTAGGAGGAGGCGCTGTGCAAAGCTGCACAGACCGCCCTGCATGCTTAGCCAGACAGGCCTTGGGTTCTCCCCAGAGAGGGAAGGCTGATGATCGACAGCCGGCCAGCCATGGACAGCTGCGGTCCAGGCCTGTAAAGCCCTCCATCGCTTGGGGCCAGCCTATCAGCAGGAGTGCCACCTCCTGTGACCTGGCGTGAGCGACCAGTGCCATCGGGCGGTGCCAGTGCGCACCGCACCTGATGTGCAAGGGGGTATGTAGATATGCCGGTGCAGAACCTCTTTCAGCTGGAGGGCTGTGTCCCACATCAGGGACGCCTTTGGACCACCTTCCAGTGGTGGGCAGGGCCGAAACATCAACCCATAACTCAACCTTCGGAGACGATTTCCACCTTAGAAAAGGTGGGCAGAAACTCCACAAAGAGACCAGATGATTGGTGATTTGAGGATATGGCAGGGTCATTTGAACAGGATGTAGCCATCTGGGGAATGCTGAGCGGGTGGTATCTGGCTTGTGGGCCTGAGGTTTGGCACCCTCATGTTAGGAGGTGGATGTGCCCAGTTCAGATCCCCCGGTAGAGCTGTGGCTAACCAAGCCCCTATTCCCATGGGGTACTTTCCCAGCAATGGTAAGACCAAGCTGAGAAGTAAAGTGGGAAGCTCCTTGTAAGTAAAGCACTTATCCTGGCAGGGTTGGGGCCTTGGGCACAATGGCCGGGCTGGCCCAAGCCATTTGCCAAGCGAGGCAGAAGCTCCCCTCCCGCTCTTTACAGGGAAGCTGGCTGAAGTGCAGCTGCCTTTTACCTCAGTGACGGTGACAGGGCAGCATCTTCCCCTGCCACCTCTGAGAATACTGCCAATATCAGTCTGCCCTTACAGGAGTTCGCAGTACAGCCATACTGGGAACATGTGTGCCGTTCTCATCATGGCACTTAAATAAGGAAATTGTAGAACTGGGAAAAATGCAGGAAAGGGCAACTGAAATGGTCAAGGGGCAGGAGCAACCCCCCCCCATGAGGAATGATTACAGTAGCTGGGATTGTTTAGTTTAGGAAGAAGTCAAGTAGGGAGAGACGTGAGAGAGGAGTACAGAGTTATGCCTGATGTGTACAGAGTGGATGAGAAGACATTTCCTTTTTGCTCTCATAATTCCCGCACCCAGAGGGGTCAGCCCATGCAGTGGATTGGTGGGAAATTCAAGTCAGAGGAAAGGAAGGAGTTCTTCACACAGTGCCGAATTAAGCTGTGGCATTTATTTCCAGATGATACAGTGATGGCCTCCAGTTTGGACTGGTTTAAAAAGGGAGAAAATTCCTAGAGAAGACTATCAATGACCACTAGCCCCCATGTTTATATGCTGCCTGCAGTATCAGAGAAGGTGTGCCTAAGTCCACCCATTGCTGGGGAACATGGGTGGGAGGGTGCCCTTGCACTCCTGTCCTGCTTGTGGGTTTCCTGTGGCATCTAGATGGCAATGGATAGAGTGAATAGAAAGCTGGGCTAGATGGATCCTTGTCTGATCCAGTAGAGTTTTCCTTTTATTCTTAAACCACAGGGAAGAACTCAGTGGGAGATTAGAACTGCCTTGATGGGAAGGGTGGCTTGACAGGGGAACTGGTTACCTAGAAGTAATTCCAGTAGAGGCTGCCCAGCGACCTGCTGTGGGTAACTCTAGCTCTGAACTTCCTGCACCAATGCAGAGGATGGGCAAAAGGGTTTGCATGGTTCTTAGGCCAAGAAAGGGGACATTTTGCGATCGCACGCCTCCCTTCTCGCTCTGCTCCCCGACCACAGGGACCATGGAGATCTCGCTGGGGCAGTGGCTCCTCATCCTGTTCCTCGTGGTGGTCCCGCTTCTGTATGAATGGAGTGCCACCTTCAAATACTTCTGCAAGATGGCTTTCTACAACGGCTACATCCTCTTCCTGGCCATCCTTGTCATCCCTGTCTGCGCTGTGCGGGGACGCAATGTGGAAAACATGAAGTAAGTAAGTGGGCGCCCGTGGGCTGGGCCGCGCCCCTTGGGCGCATGCAGCTTTGCGATTTGTGCACAGCAGTGTGTGCGCTTGAGCTGGGGCCGGGCTGCGGGCCGATGGATGCTTTTCCGTGTTGCCCATGCAGGCAGCAGGGGTGGGGATCCTGTCTTCTTCCGAGGGCCACATTCGCTTGGGGTTGGTCTAGCGGGATGTCTGCTGGGGTGCGTGAGGTCAGAGCCACGAGTGGGCTTGGCCACCGGTCCTCATACTTTGGGTGCCCTTTCCCTTTCTTGCTTACCCCTTCCTTCCCCCACCAGCAACTGGTCATCCTCTTTCACTTTTTCTCTCTGTTTCTCAATGACCGGCTCCTTTTTGCACCTTCCTCCCTGCTCAGGAGGCTTTCGGGAGAGGAGAGGGACAGCTCTGTCTCATCAGGTGTTGTGTGACTTTAAAAAGTCAAGTTCGTCTCCCTCTCTAATAATAATAGTCCTCCAATGAAGTTGAATTATGAGAAATTCAGGACTGATAAAAAGAAAGACTTCTTCATGCAGCACTTAATCGAACTGTGAAATCTGCTACCTCAGTAAATCAAGATGACCACCAATTTGGATGGCTTTAAAAGGCAACTAGACAAAAAGGTATTCAGAGTTGTACCACTTGGGTGAGGAGGTGGCAGCCAGAGCGTTCTGTGGCTTTTGCCCTGTGCAAAACCCGGTTCCACAAAGTGTGATGATGGCCAACAGCTTAGACAGCTTTAAGGGGGGATTAGATAAATTCCTGGCAAAGGCTGTCGGGGCCTGAAGACCCTGATGTCTGTGTATTGCCACCGTTATTAGTGGCAGCACCCCTCAAACCCAGTAGCGGCCTATGGGGGTGCCATTGCACTCGTGTTCTGCCTGTGGGCATCTTACAGGCAGCTGGTTGGCCTTTGTGTGAGCCACGTGGACTGGCTCACGGGTCTGCCTGGCCCCGTGTCCTGCTCACACAGTGGCCAACAGGCTGTCCACGGGGAGCCCACAAACAAGGAGGGAAGGGGCTGCTTTGGGTTTTGGGTGCTTTGTTTTGTTTTCTTTCTGGAGAAGTAGCGTGGACACCAGAACCACAATAGTAGTGGTTGAAAGAAATTTGGGATGTGTTTTGAAAAAAGGGAGAGCCTTAATGGTAGCAAAGAACTGGGAAGCAAAATTTGATTATCAGTTACATGATTGGTCTAGAGAAGTTTCTGGCGGTTCTGGAAGGGGAGTGGGACTGCCTGAGAGTGCAAGTGATCAATCATGTAACCAGTGGAAGAATGCGCTGTCTTTGTTATTGTATAGTTTTGTTTAAAAAAAATCCTCCTCACACAAAAATAGTTAACAATAAAAGTATGTTAGGAATTCTTTGTTTTTGTTTTTAATAGATTTAATAAAGATATTTTTAATGTAAAAAAGAAAAAAGAGAGAGCCACAGCAACAGTGAATTGTGAGTCTTCCCCCTCCTTGAAAAGTGTCAGGCATGCTTTTAGGAGGCAGTTCTAGAATTAAACAGTGCTCCTTTCTGGACATGAAAACTTTACTGTGTGCCACTAGGGGGAGCCCTGGCGCTCCAGACATCCTGGTGCCTCAAACGTGGCTGCTTACAGCACATGGGCAGGCAGTGCTTGTGACTCTTCAGTGGCTGCAGTTTGACGAGGCGTAGAAGTCCGAGGCTAATCACATTCCTCCATTCTCCCCCACCCCCTTCTTCAATCTCTCTAGGATAATTCGTTTCATGATGCTGCATGTGAAATATCTCTACGGTATAAAGATTGAGGTGCGGGGGATAGAGAACTTCAACATCAAGGAGCCTTACGTGATTGTATCCAACCACCAGAGCTCCCTTGACTTACTCGGTATGACTGGAGGAAGGGGCTGGGAGGCCGGAGGGTGGGCAGAATACTGGCTTTCGTCCATTGGCTGGCATCCCTGAGCCTCCTGGAAGTTGTAGTCCAAACACTTCTGGAAACATCTGCTTGAGGAGGGTAGATGTCCAGGCACATGGGTAGGAATGGAAGGCGGGGCCATATTCTAGGTCCAACTATTTTTCCATCTAGCCCTGTTTTGTTGTCTTCTACTCCTGACTAGCGGTGTCTACCCAACTTTTTGAGCAAGAATATTCTTCCTAACCACCCGCAACCTGATCCTTTTATTTACCTGGAGACAGTGCTGGGGATTGGACCTTGGATCACGGATTTTCTACATGTAGCTACAGAGAAGTTTGGTCATGGTGCCTTTATGTACATGTTTCTCTTTTGCGTTTATGTTGGCATCACCTTCTGGCACTTGGGCTTAGGTATCCATTTTGCTCATCGATCCTGCTGTGGTCTCCTCCAACAGACAGTCTCAGGCAGAGAGGGGTCCTTCTCAGTGCCGAGGACACAACGGGCACAACTGGAAAATATCGAGAGAAATTTCCCCCCAATTTTTCCAAAAATACCTGGGGAACCTCCCATTGTCTCTCTCGTCCCCTCATTTTTTCTCTGATGCCCCCCCCATTTTTTCCCCTCTGATTTCCTGCCCCATTTTGTTTCCTCTGATTCACTTTCACTCCACCCAAACTTTCCTGTTTGCTTTTTCCCCAAGGCTTCCACATCTCTGGAGCTTCTGCCACTGATTTGAGTCCCATCCTGTTCTGACAGACACCCCGATGCTCCCGCCAACCTCTGTTTTCCTTTCCCTCCGCAGGGTTGATGGAGGTGTTGCCGGGCCGGTGTGTGCCAATTGCCAAGAAAGAGCTGATGTACATGGGCACCGTGGGGCTGGCCTGCTGGTTGGGGGGCATCATCTTTATCAACCGCAAGAAAACGGATGATGCCATCAGTGTCATGTCGGAGGCTGCCCAGACCATGCTGAGCAAAGATGTGAGTCCTGCTGGGGTGGTGGGTGGGAATCCTGGAAGGGCTGGAAGTGGGTAGCGGGAGAGAGGAGTGGATGATGGAGCCCGTAATGCCACCAGGGCTGGCCTGGGGGCCTGACTCCAGGGTCTCCTGGTCCCAGCGGCCCCAGATGGACCACCCAGCAAGTGGCAGGGCATGGGCTGGTGGTGGGTTGCCACAAGTACTTCCTCCTGTTGTTAAAAAAAACCTGCTGTATTCAAGGAGGCAGACAATCAGGCTTGAGCATGGTTAAAAATACTAATTCTTGTTACTTTTACTTTAATATGTCAAGTCTCTTTCTATAGCAAAGTGGTGCTTATTCTCAACCCAGCATGTTTAGCATCAGGGCAGCAGAAGCAAACTCCATTTTATGCTGTTGTGACTTAAGCGAGTTTAAAGGGCAAAATTGCCCTTGCTCAGAATGGGTCAGTTTGCCTGTCTTTCTCTTCCTCCCTTCCTTGGTCAATAAACAGGTTCTGTGTTATTTTACTCCAGTGTATCAGAAGCTGTAAAGTACAGACTGTTAGTGGGGCAGAGTTTCATTCTGTGGCCACCTAACACCCCCTGCCTCTGTAAGTGCCGCATCAAAAATTGCATAGCTGCCTGTGCAATGGCTTGGCTACTAACTGAGGTGCCAGATGTTGGACTACAACTCCCATCATTGACCAGGCAGCTAGGGCTGACAGCAACATCATCCCCAGCCCTAGGAACCAGGATGGAGTACAACATAGTGAAATATACAGTGGCACCTTGGCTCACAAACCTAATCTGTTCCAGGACTCTGGTCGTGACTCAAACTGGTTGTTAGCCAAGTCAAATTTCCCCATAAAGTTCAATGTAAATAAGGTTAATTCATTCTGTAACTTTTTTTTATCACAAAAATTTGAAGCAAAGTGACAAAGAACAACAAAGATCGTGACCATCTCCCCCCCCCCCGCCCCCAGCATGACTGCGATCAGGCCCATGTTCCCTGCCCAAGTGTGACCATGATTGCGGCCATAGGCGGGCGCGGGCGCGCTTGGGCAGGGAACACGAGTGCAATCCCCCCGCCCCTGAGCACGACCGTGGCCATCTCCCCCCCCACCCTGTGATTGCAGTCGCACTCGTGCGGGGAAGATGGGCGTGATTGCGGTCGTCACCTGATGCGGGGTTCACGACCTGAGGCAATTTTTTTCTGAAATTTCTGTTTGCGACCCGATTTGGTCATGAACTGAGGCGTTTGTGAGCCGAGGGACCACTGTACTAAACTCAGTGCACTAAAATGAAAAATATTACAAGAGCCTTTGGAACTTGTGCCTTGCTCTTGAGATTTTAAGCCCAGCCAGAAGCCAGTGCCAATTTATTGGTACAGTTTCCCTGGCCGCGGGCGAGGGAAGATGAGTGGTAGCAAAGCGCGTCTCCCCCAAGGTCTCTCTGCAGAACAAAGCACAGGCACTGCAGGGATGGCAGGGAGGACGCTTTCCACACCCACCGCTTTCTCCCTGCTCATGCCTTGTCGAGTTGGTAGGGGGCCAACAAGACAGGAATCGTGCGAGTTTGAGTAAGGTCTGTACTACCTGCTCCCGTGGGTGATGTAGTTAAACTTTTCACAGTGTGTGAGTTGGCTCATTCCTGTGTTTGGGACACTCCCATTCCCACATGATAACGGAATGGTATTTGTAGCTCAGATAGGGACTGGCCATGTGGGAAGGGGAGGCAGAACTCTGCGTCTGCTGGAGGACAGGATTCGGCTCCCAGCTGGCATCCTGGATTCATCCCGTATCCTTTGTGCAAGGGAAGCCTCCGTTTCATCTCAGACACCACCCAGCAGTCATCGTGGCATCTTCATTTCTGTCCCTGCCTGGCGCTGTGCAAGATCATGGCAAGTGCCTTTGAGCTGGGCCTGACGCCCCCAAGCCAGCACCGTGGGGCACGAGCTGGGGCGCGGCGTCTGCGCTGCTGCTGCTGCTGCTGCAGCAGTGGACACATCGCCGTGTGGATGGCCGAGGAGTCAGGCAGAGCACCGGGTCCGTTTTGCACGCAGCGGCTGGCCTTGCGCTGTTGCCCTGATGGTCTCCCCCTCGAGGTGCACAAGCCAGGGAAGGGGTGTTGCCGTGCGTGAAATGGCACTGGGTGGTGCAGCCCACACACCAACCAGTTCATCATCTTACTTCAAGTATTTTATCCTGTTCCTCAGCCAGAAAAGGCTCCTGGCACAGCTTCCAGTGAGCCAGCAGAAAGACAGCCTCTGCTGACAGGCCAACAAACCTAAAAGGACACGATGCACAAGGAAAAGGGGATGGGGAAGGAAGAGGAAAACATTACGTAGATGGTCAGCAAGTTTGCGGGGGGAACAAGTGGCAAGGAGGGGCACAGAGAGTAGCTATCCCACTCCCCCTCTGAACTGGAAGCTAGGAGTGCCCTGAATGCATGCAGAATGCCCAGCCTTTTTTTTTTTTGGCAAAATAAACTCCACAAGTAAATTAAATGAATTCATAAATACAAAGACATCAAGACCCATTTGAGTAACAGTGAGTTCTTATAGCATCATTAGGTCATATGCAAAAATGTTAATAGTCCTGCATTTCATTCAGTTAAGTCAGTAGCTCACACATTGTGAAAATTAAAGGTATCCACCCATCTTTTCCCATGAGTTGCCGGCTGCCGCCTTTCCTCCTCACTCTGCTGTACGTAACTTACGAGGCAAAACTGTATGGCAGCAAATGAGACAGTTTCCTTTTATCTTCTTGGACACTTTAATTTAGCTGTAAGAATGTTCTCCCAAAGCAAAAGTTCACCAGTCTTGTCTTTGGCCCATTTGTCTCTGGTATCTCTTTCCCCCTAATTCTGTGTGTCAGCCCATTGCTGTCATAAGCAGAATTGCTTCTTTATGCGGGACAGGCATATTTTCACCTGCAAATACAAGAAGTAAAGACAGGTCAGGATCCGTTTTCCTCTTAACTTTTGTGGTTCGAGTGCGTTCTTTAAATTCTTGCAAACCCCCCCCCCCATTTCTTAAGGGTGCACTTAATCTGTAACATTGTGAGCATCCCTCCTTTGCCACTGAGCGACCTGCATCGCACATTCTCACTCCCTGAGCAGAGGCTTCCAGTACAGGGAGCTGAGACATCTGCAGGGCTTTGAGGTTGGGCAGGGGGACCTCCTAAGGGGCTGAAGCAAGTCCTTGGGAGAGGTTTGCTTGATGGGCTCGGCACTAGTCTCTAACCACCATTGGAAAAAGCTTTTTAAGGGAGGGAGGGAGGGAGGGAGGGAGAATGCGCCAATGGAATGAGTGCAGCTCCTAGATTTCCTCAGGCAAGGAGTTAATTCTTCCTTTCCTTTGCACCCCTTTGCAGGTTCGGGTCTGGGTGTTTCCAGAGGGCACCAGGAATCACAATGGCTCCATGCTACCCTTCAAACGGGGTGCCTTCCATTTGGCTGTGCAAGCCAAGGTAAGAGCTTTCTTGCCCTCTCTGTGCTTCTAAGGCAGAGGTGGGCCACCCCAGGAGGTTTGGAGGCCAGCTAAGCTCTCCCCGTGGACTTCCTCCATGGGCTGCACTCCATGCTAATATTGACAGCCACCTGCCTCCACCAACTGGCCTCCAATTTTGGGTGCAATACGAGTACACAATGCTTCAGTAGCCAAACTTCACCAAACAGAAATGACATGAGGCAGTTCGAGCCTTCCACAGGAGTTTGTCACCCATTTTCAGCGGAAATTGATGTTTTATTTATGTTTTGCTGCCTTGCATGTTGGCAGTGGCGAGAGGCTGTGCTCCTGGGGCTGCAAGTTTCACACCTGTGCTCAAAGGAAAAGGGTTTTCTCTGCATGAAGTGCTGGCTGTTCTGTGCTCCAAGTTAATGTCTGTGAGTAGCAAGGGGTGAAAAATGAGAAGGTTGCACTTCATGGTGGAGTTACTGAATTCACACTCGCTGAACAGAAAGATGGATCAGAACACAGATTGACATTGAAATCTGAACTTTGTGATGCAGTTCACAAAATAGGCACACGAAAATGTGTATGTCTAAAGCCTGCATGCCTTGCAGAAATGCTCAGAAATAAAGAACAGTGGAGACTGAAGACTAAGGAGTGAATCACAAATTTATTAACAGCTGCAAGATTAATGATAGCAAAGAATTGGAAAGTAAAACATGCTTATCAGTTGGGCAGCTGGCACAGAGAAGTTTGGAATATATCCATTACTTAATTAACTTGTGATAATCAAAATTAAAAAATGCATTGGAAAAAGGGCACACAAAACACATACCTTGGGGAGAGGTTTGTTTGTTTGTTTGTTTTTAAGTTGTACTTTTCCCTGCCAAGCCAAGCCTCCAAAGTTCTTGTTCCAGACTGGCTGGAGCCTTGAACTGGAACATTTCTTCAGGAATATCAGGAGCAGCTTGGACCTCCATCTGGCCCAGTGGGCTCGGCACAGTGGCATCGGCTCTGCAGGAGGCTTTCCTGGCCGACCTGGAGATGCCGGGACATCGGCGGGAGACCTTCTGCATGCAGAGCTGGGGCTCTGCCACTGAACTGCAGTTCCTCAGATGGAGCTAGAGCCCCTTCGTGCGGCTCGCTGCTCTCAGCTGGAATGCTAAAGGCGTGTGTATTTGGTTGGGGGCTGCTTAGCAGCTTGCACTTCCCTGGGTTTAGTTTTCTCTTTGTCTCTCCCTCTCTGTTTTTCTGCCTCTCCAGGTTCCTATCATCCCGGTCGTGATCTCATCGTATCGGGATTTCTACAGTAAGAAGGAAAGACGCTTCACCACAGGTCAGTCCAGTTTTGGTGCCCCCACCCCTCTGGGATGGCTAAGGAGGGGGTGGTGCAGTCAGCCACTGCGGCGGAGCAGCATCAGTGCTGCGTTCAGAAGCGCTCAGGTTCGATCGCTGGCATCTACCTGTAGGGTTGGGAAAAAGAGTGTCCCTCCTGCCGGGAAGCAAGGTGCTCTGCTGACAGCACTGGCCTAGGGGCGCCCTTGGTCTGGATCAGCATATTGCAGCTTTCTGTGTTTGCAGAGCAAATAGTTACAGCAGCAGAGGGGAAATGGGGGCCCTCAGCCTACTGTGAAAAGCCCTCTGCGTGCAGTCAGTTCAGGCCTCTCTAGTGAGAGCAGTCTGTCCCTTTCTTGGGTTGTCATGAAGAAGAGGGCTTCCAAAAACCCCGAGCAGCCTGAAGTGGCCTCCAGCCTGTGGACCTGCCCGCCCAGGGCTCCCAGCAAGCATGGCGCTTCCACCTGCTTCTCCAGCCTGACTGGCCCTCTTGGATTCAAGAGCCATTGCAACTCACATCAACGGCGGTGGCAGGGGGCGGGGAACGAAAGGGTGGGGACAAGCTCTCCCAGTGGCAGGACACTGCTGTGGGCCAGCGCCAGAGCTGCTGGAGGCCAGGAAAAGCAACTTACGCAGGAACCCACACACAGCGTAGAGTGAGGCTGCCTGCCAGAACACAAAACCGCTGTTGCCTTCAAATAAAGACGGTGCTGGAGGGCAGCCCTTTGCTTTGCAGCATGGCAGCCTCCGTTTTCTTTCTTTGTTTTCTTTTTAATATCTTAAGAAATACCATAAGAATCAGCAGGAGCAGAAAGTCTGGTGGGTGCTGAGGAAAGGGGGTCTGTGGGCACCCTGGAGCTGGGTGGTGACACACTGGAGACCCCAGCAAGAGGCCCAGCCTTTGTTAACCAGGGAAGGAAGGGGAGAAGGAAGGCACCATGAGACACCTGAACTGGGTTGGAGAGCCCAAGAGGGCCCTCCCAAAGGACAGCTGGCCCAAGATGCTGTATAAGGGTGAGGGTCCTGGAGTCTTGAGCTCAAATCCTTCCTCTCCTATGAACCTTAGTGGCTGATCTTCAGCCGGTCACGATTTCTCAGCCCAATTTCAAGCCTAGAACTGGAAGAAGGGGAGAACCAGGTTCACTGCTCTGGGTATTTCAAGGAATGTGGGATATCACTGTGATAAATGCAGTATCTTTGTGGTGGCAAGATGTCAAGCAGTAGAAAACAGGAGGTGCAGAAAGGAGCTGCTCTAGTTCGTGGGTGGGTCGCTTTGCAAACTGTGCTCCTGGAATTTGCTGGGGGCCACATCCAGGCTGCATTTTAGCACCACTGATTTAATTCGCTTTCCCCTGTTTGAGTGGTGGTGGCAGCCGTCAGGTGTGGAACTGGCGGGTGTGCCCTTCTGCCCTGCCTTTACACAGCCCCTGCCCTTAATGGTTGGTCGGTCTCTCTCTCTCTCTCTCTCTCCCCCCCTCTCCCTCTCCCTCTCCCTCTCCCGCTTGCCTTTTAATCTGAGAACGCTCTTGCCCACCCCCGCTCTGTTTGCCTTCCCTTTTGATGCAGGGCGCTGCACCGTCCAGATCCTGCCTGCCATGTCCACGAAGGGGCTGGGTGCCGAAGACGTGCCGGCCCTGACAGATCGCGTGCGCCAGGCCATGCTCATTGCCTTCGAGGGGCTCTCGGTGGAGCTGGGTGCCCCACAGTGACCCCCCACAATACTTCTTTCCCCCAACTTCCAGCCCTAGAGAGCTGCACAGGGTGGGACTGGGAGCAGCGGATGCCCACGAGAGCCACTGAGACGGAGCCAGGGCAGGAGAGGGCAGCCCTTGTCCCAACAGTGAAGTCAGGCCCAGGCGCGGCCCAGGCAGTGGCGGGAGCGGCCACCCCACAGCCGAGCAAGGGGGCGACTGGGTGGCAGCCGGCGGGTGGGGCTGAGCTCGGCCGAGCCCCCCAGGAGCATCTGAGCGAGGTGGTCCCAGCCACGCCCATTGCCACCCTCAGCTTTGGACCAGAACTCCAGCCTCCTCTCCCCTCCTCTCCTTCCCTTCCCGCCCCACACTCAACTATGTGGTACCGTCTTTCCAAGTCCCCTCCTTCCCTTCTTCTGTTTTGTTGACGTGACCAGTTCCACCTGAGCTTCTTGGACTCAACCATTCCAGTCCCCATTCCGGGAGCATACTATGGGCCAGTCCACAGGGATCTTATAAACTGAACCCCTCCTCGGATCCAGCCGAGGAACCTGCGGACCAGATCCATCCCAGCCTCTTGCAGAGGATGAGAAGGAGCAGGGGAGCTGCCGTGAACTTCAGGCTGTGTAATGGAGCAATGGCGCGGCGGGGCAGCCCTCGCCTCTCACCCAAGCGCATGTTCCAGGGGTGCGGAGGAAGTGGTGCCGCCGCTGCTGCTGCTGGAGCGGCTCGCCATTGACTGCAGTGGGAACAGGGTCAGAAGGACCCCCTTGCAAAGGAGCAAGCCACGGACCGACGCCCCTGCAGCTCTGAAGGGGGTGGGGGTCCAGCGCTGTGCTCCAAGGCCTTGCTTAGGTGGACGGACGGACTGGCTCTGAAATCATGGACCAACATGCCTCTCTCTGTGAAAGGGCACGGCAGAGACTGGGAGGCAAGCTGAGAGAATGTGGGTATATCTTGGCTCTGTTCCTTCGCCTGGTGGCAAGAAGGGAACAAAAGAGCAACTATCTTGGGCATTGCGGGGCAAGATCATGTGGACTTCCCCAACTGAACATTGTTGGCTGGGGGTGGGGGGTAAGCCTTGGCCTGTTGGGCGTGTGAAGGAATGGGGGAATGAAACTGTGAATCTGGGGGAGGGGAGGGGAGAGGGTGTTCTCTCTTGCACGCTCTCTGGGTGAAATACAAACCCAGAACCCTCAGAAGGGAGAGGCAAGAAAAGGTGCCTTATTCCAAGGCAAACATGAGTTGGGTCAGTGTAGCAAAACCTCTTGCCTGACCCAAGCGAGGGCAAGAGGGTGCTGGAATCCCTGCCTGTTGTTCTCTGTCCAGAAGGAAGCACCAGGGATCCGGCGCTTCCTTTTGGGCAGTGAACAACAGGCAGAGGGCAGGAAGGCAGAAGTATTTCAGTGATGCTAGGAGGAAAGAGTTGGAGAAGGGCAAGCAGTGTCTGGGTTGCGGGGGAATCATTGGGCCAAATTTAGGTGGGTGCATTAGGGACACACATTAGTAACATGAAAACGGTGGGCTTGGGCTGCCCAACTTGCCTCTTGTTTTTGTTTAAGTGATGGAGCAAAAGAGGCAGCAAATACTCGATGTAGGTAATGCCCACGGAAGCCCGCCTGCCTGCTGGCGTGGGCAGAGCCAGAGTCTGCAGGTACTGAATGGGGGGGGGCTATGGGGATTGAAGGGGGGGTGACAACTGGCTGTGGGAGGAAGGAGAGGAAACATCTGCCCGTTATGGGGAGGCGGGAGTACTTGGGAAGGTGGTTTTGGGGACAGGGCTGTGCTTATTCATGGGATGGAGAGCGTTGTGGTTTTGCCAAATACTCCCTATGGTGGCAGGAGGGAGGGAAGCTGCCTTCCCTCTCCTGCCTTTTGGGGAGTTCCCCTTGATATTTCTGTCTGTCTGGTTGGAGACCTGTTTGCATGTCCTCCCACCAGTTGCTCTTCCTTGGGGGAAAGGGGAGAGCATTGATGTGGGCAGGGGGAGATGATGAGTGAAGGGGGCATCACCACATCTGTGTTCCTAATACCTTCCTGCTTTTAATAAAGACCCTCGAAGAAAGTCCCCTGCCTCTTCCTCCATCTCCGCAGCAGAAAGGGATGGTGCTGTGGGGTCTGTCACTTCCTCCCCCTCTGGTACCTCTTTACGGGTGGTTTGGGAAGCTGGGGTGGTGCTGGAAGTTGAGCTAGAGGTCAGCCTTCGTGTGACTCTGCTTCTGAAGTTGGCAGAATTGAGGGACTCTTCCAGCAGCAGCATTTGGAAACCAGTTGCCCCGAGGCTGCTGTTCCTGGTAGGTGAAGTTTAGTGTTGTGAGAGATCAAGCGATACAGAGTTGTACATCTTTGTTAAGAACGCAAGGGCTCGCTGGATCTGTCCAGGGTCCTCCTGTTCCACTATTCTGTTCCCACACTGGCTGAACAGCTACCCCAGAGGGAAGCCCACAAGCAGGAACAGGAGTACAGCAGCACCCTCTTGCCCGTGTTCCCCAGCAACAGGTGTACCTAGGCATAGTGACTCTGATAGAGTCAGCACACAGCTGTCAGGGCTAATAGCCATTGGTGGCCCTGTCCGCCATGAATTTTCCAGTCCCCCTTTAAAGCTTCCCAGTTGGCCATCACCACAGTCCCTGTGGAAGTAGATTCCATTACTCAACTGTGCATTGTTTTGTTGGCTGGTTGTGGGACCTTTTGATGTGAGAACAAATTTTAATTCTGTTTTCACAAAAAAGCTCCTACCACCTGCAGCAGTTGTGGAAAAGGAACAGGAGCCAGTGTGGTGGAGTGGTTAAGAGCCTGGGACTGGGACTCAGGCGATCTGGGTTCTAGTCCCCGCTCAGCCATGGAGCCAACTGGGTGACTTTGGGCCAGTCACAGACTCTCAGCCCAACCTACTTCACAGGGTTGTTGTTGTGGGGATAAGGTGGAGGAGGAGAATGATGTAAGCTGCCTTGAGCCCTTTGAGGAAAAAGGCAGGATATAAATCGAAAACAAACAAAACAAACAGTAACTGATTATTAGTTTTGTTTAAAGACAGTTTTGCTTTCCATGTGCAATTACCTATGAGCTGCGAGTGGCCTACAGGAACCACTGGTCACAGAAGTTAGGTTAGACCTGCTGCTTAATAATGATGGATACCTTGCAAAGGGTGACCTCCTGAGATACTACTATGTGCCCCAGGTTTTCCTCTAAGGAACTCAGTGTGGTGTGCATGGTGCTCTTATGCGCTTGCGCTCTCACACAATCTTCACAACAAACATGCAGGTTAGTTGGTGGCTGGCCCAACGCCAGGCAGCAAGCTGATGTTTCAGTCGGGATTCAGACCTGGGTCTCTCCACAGCCTAGTCCAGGGGTCGGCAACCTTTAACACTCAAAGAGCCATTTGGACCCGTTTCCCACACAAAAGAAAACACCGGGAGCCGCAAAGCCCTTTTGACATCTAAAATGAAGATAACACTGCATATATCGTTTTTTACCTTGATGCTATGTGTATCTTCATTATGATTTAGCTGCAGCTCTTGTTCAGTCACTAAAAATTATTTTTAATCTTACATTATAAACTAGTAGGATGCCTTTCATATATTTTGAATAGGAGAACAGCTTTCTGCAGAGTCAAAGTCAGTGCTAAAGGGCTGCATGCATTAAACAGCAAACCCCGTAAGTTCGTCAGCAGTAAAAGCAAATGAATCTACCCACCTACCCACGTTTGGTTTTCTTCGGAAACTTTTCAATTTATCCATGGCTGGCCTACTGGAGGAAGTCCCAGATATAGGTGTGTTTAGTGACTGATTAGCAGATAAAAGGTCAAGTGATGTGAATTGTGACAGGTCCCAAGGCAGCTTTTATCATTCAGAGGAAGGAGATTACATTGGGATAAAGAGAACCTTTTCATGTAACATGAGAGCCTGCAGGAAGCTTGCTCCACTCTTTCCCTGCACAATAGCAGAGGAATGTAGCAATTTACTTAACCTGCTAGTGCTAGCCAGCCTTCCTGACTGGATGCCACATCATCACCTATTGGTATTTTGTAACTCGGAGCCTCAGTCGCAGATCGGGCGGCTGTGCTGGCACATGTTTTGAGCGATGGAGCCGCAGCAGAGGGATTCAAGAGCCACGTGCGGCTCTGGAGCCGTGGGTTGCCGACCCCTGGCCTAGTCCAACACTCTTAATTGCTGGGCTTCACACACCGGCTGTTTAAAACCTGCAGTGATCAAAGTACCATACAGAGGAGGCCTTCCCAATCTGGCACACTTCCAACTGTGTCGAACTACAGCTCTGGAAAGGCAGGCTGGGGAAGGCTGTATATAGAACATGGAAATGACAACCCTTCGGGTTGCCAGCTTTTTTTCTTCAATGACTGCTTTGGGAATCAATTCGGTGCTAGAGAGTAATTGAATCTCCTGATTCCCACCATCCCAAGTGGATTGCTGGCAAGTCCTTGGCCACAAGGGTTCAGTCATGCAATTTTGAAGGTCAGATTTTGACCAACAGCCTCTTGCTGACGATCCATGGTTTGCAATCTACAATGTGGACTGGAAAAAAGGATTGGGAGAGGCAGTAAGTCATGGGAACTAGAACAAGTAAAAACAGTTTGCAAAAGCTGAAGGACTTAAGGGAGAAGCAATTGCCTTTGTGAATCCAGAAAGTTAAAAGTTTGTTGCCTGCTGTTCTGTCCAGCCTAGCCAGGAAGCTCACAAGCATTTATGTTCCTTGTCTGTCCTTCCAGCATCTTTGGAAGATGGATATGCAGTTTCCAGTTATTGTACCTTTAAAAGGGAAGCTTGGCCCCCTTCATCAGCATAGTCCCTTCTATCTGGCTCCAAAAATGATCTTGGGTGAACAATCACAATAGCTATGCCAATTCTATAAAGCATCCAAATTACACCACTCCCAAACCAACAGCTGTTCAAAATGTTGATAAGTGACCTTGTTAGAAAATGCAGATTGTGTGTCACATCCACCTTCTCTAGTACTCCCAGTCCAGCAACACAGCTTACTTTGAATAAAAAAAGAAATCTGGCACAAGTTTACCTGAGCCGCTGGAAAGCTCCTCACAGGAGCCGGGGGATAGGTCTCTGTCCTCCAGATGGGTTACCATGCACCACCTATAGTCTGATCATTTGCCTTGCTGACTAGGGCTCATGGGAATTGTTGCTCAAAATGACTGAAGGGCACCAGGTCTGCCATAGTTGGGATTCTCTGTAATTTGGTAAAAGCCATCTAAGCATGGCTACTGGTATTTCACGAAAACAACAGCGACAAATTCTATAAGTTATTTATGTGTGGCTGGGAGAAAGAAACGCTCAGTTACAGGGAAACAACTTTGGGTACAATTCAAAGGTACATAAATTAATAGATAAAAAAGTTCGAAGGTGGAAAGTTAATAGTTTTGAGTGCTTTTCAAACTAAAGGTATGGAGGTGGTTAAAGGGGAGCTGTGGGTGTGAAGTTACTGTTTGGCTGTGTCACAGACACTGGTTCAGTTTGCACAACTCATCAGAGGCAATGATACAAAAACTGAGCAACAATCATGGGGGAATGGAGGGAGAAAGATTGTCAAAGGAATATAAATTAGTGATTACACTCCAGCAGGAAATACAGGCAAGAAAAAGGCACTAGTGTCTACCCACTAGTATAAATAAGGGAGAAATTACTAATTTGTGTTTCAAAGAGCAGCTGCCACCAGCATGGAGTTAGGAGTCAGCAGACCGGCTGGATTCCATATTCTGGGTGCAGGCATCACCGAGCGATGTCATAGCCAAAGCCATTTTTACCATTCTGACAAGCACCTAGGAGCAAAGATGCATAAGGAAAGGATGAGGTTTAAAGCCAGCCCTGGCATCAATGACAGGCATGGTGAGGCAGTTGCTGAGAGCAAGGCCCACTGAAAAGAACCCCCTTCCACGTCATTGCAACTACTTATTGGCTTGCCCTTTGCTCAGACCCAGGCAACATGGGTGGGTGCTGCCACCAGCAGTCCTGCCTCTCTACTGGAAAATGAGAAGAAGCAATAGCAGGTGGTGGTGGTGATGATGAAAGGCGGGATTCCAGAGGGAGAAGCCGAATGAGGGTCTTGTTCCAGAGCTCTCAAAAACATTGCAAAGTTGTATCTAGTAGTATGGAAAAATATTAGAGGTGCTAGAGATAATGCCAACCATTGCTCTTGCTAGCAATATGGTAGGAAAAAATGCTTAAGAACAAAAGAGTGACTCTTCTGAATCAGACCAAAGGCCCTTATCTATTTGTAGTTTAGCATCCTGCCTCTGATACCAGAGGTAGCATGTAACCCTCATGCTCTTCCAAGTCAGTATCCTTCATGGATTTGTCTAATCCCCCTTTAGAGCTACTTAAAGCTGTGCACATCAACACCTAGTTTGCATGTAACATCACTGAGTATGGGTGGTTGTTGAATTGTGGGGGGATGTTTTCTGACAGGTTTCATTCTAACCGTGGTTGTGGATTCTGAGTTGTTCACAGTTAACAATTCATAGTTAAACCATAGTGCAGATTTGCATGTCACAACAATCTACAATAACCCATACTCAACCTGTATCCTGAGTTTTCTTTCTGTGCAAATCAGATCTCATCCCTGGGTAATGAATTACATAATTTAAGTGATGCATAAAGAAGTGCTTCCTTTCCTCTGTCCTGAATCTTCTGCCAGCCAACTTCATGGGGTAACTTACTTGTAGGAATAGGCAAGGATGAGAAAAAACTCCTTATTCGCTATGAACGGTGCTGTAGATCTCTGTCATGTCTCCCTGTGTGACCTGTTTTTAAGCCAGCCTCTCTTGATTAGAGAGCCTTGACTGCACCAGCTGTATTTCAAAGGAAACGGCCCTGCACATTTGGCAGAACAGTGATAAAGAGCCTGGTGGCACCTAAGGACAAATTAAATCTATTGTAGCAGAAGCTCTTATGGACTAGTCTCACGTCATCAGACATGTGAAGTGTTAACCTCAGTCAGACTGGTGTGCACATGTGTGAGAGAAGGATTAAACAATATGCTTAATTTACTCTTCTCTTGTGAATGTTACTGCACTAAAATTCTTTTCTTTAAAATATTTTGGGCTGCCTTTTAGTGTGCAAAATCCTCTTGGTGCAGGTTTCAAGATAAAGGCCTGCAACCCATGCAAAAACAAAAGCCAAGAGCAATCGCAGTCAAGGCCATCAGCGGTCCTGTGAGTGTGTTTGACGTTTGCATGATTGCATGAGTCAAGTGTCACAAGTGGCCTTGCATATTCTTTTGGTTCCACCTACCCAACACGGAGGCCTACTTCAGATCTCCTACTTGAGGGTAATGTTTTGTTACTTGATAAATTGTGCTCTGGTTTGCAAAAGCTTCTGCCACAAATTCATGTGAGTGTACTACAGTTCCCTCTATTCCTTCATCAGCAGGTGATGGGAGTTGTAGTCAAGCAGCACCTGCCAGGCACCAGGTTCACCATCCTTCATCTGGAAGTGAATTGAACCTGCAACCTTCTGAAGTCAGAGTCACTGATAGAGGTTCACCAGTGATCAGGTTCACTGATAGAGCTAACAAAGCACACTGCCCCAAGTTATATGTGGAAGTGGAACCTACACTTTTAGCAGCATATCCAGACAAAAATCTGCATTTCCAGCTCAAAAGTCATGCTCTTTTACCCCCACCAATCTGGCCAGATTAAGAGCCTTTTGTTTAGCCCTTAATTAGAGCTGAGTTCACATCTCATGACAAGCCACCCTGCATGGTTGCCATGGTTTCCTTTTTTACCTTGACTTGCCTGACCATCAGGCTCCTGCGAAGTCTCTTTCCCGCCATCTCTTTCCCTCTCAGTCCTCCAGGCAGTATCCCAGGAGACACTGCAAAGAGGAATGAAGCTCCTCTCTTTGACAGGCATGACTGTGAGCCCTGTTTGCTTTGCCAAGACTGTCAGATTGGTTCTGTTGTGCAAGCAGGGCTCGTGTCCTGAGGCGCAGCAGCAGGAGGAGGGAGCTGATCAGCCACTTGCCTCCTGCTGCAGAGGGGCCCACTGGATCCACCCTCCGCACAAGTGGGGGAGCTCAGCCAGGTGGTACTGTGGACAGGAGCAGCGGCACACAGCTGAGTTTCCCGTGCTCCCCATTGTTACTCCCACTTGCCAGAAAGACATCCTGGCAGGAGGCAGGCAGAACAGGGATGCTTCTGACAGTGGCACAAGATGCCTGCTGTTAGTGGTGCTGTACGGAAGCTGTGTGGCAGAAAGCTCTTGCCAAACGTCTCTGATTCTGGCTTTTGCACTGCAGTGAGTTGTGTTTTCCAGGTTCTGATGACCCAGCATGCATCATGGTACAGTGGTACCTCGGCTCACAAATGCTTCAGTTCACGACCAAATCGGGTCGCGAACAGAAATTTCAGAAAAAATTTGCCTCAGGTCGCAAACTCCGCATCGGGTGACGATCATGATTGCGCCCATCTTCCCTGCACGAGTGCGACCGCGATTGCGCTGGGGGTGGGGGGGGGAGGCAGGGAGATGGCTGCGATCATGCTCGGGGGGAGGGGGGGAGATGGCTGTGATCTTTGTTGTTGTCACTTTGTTTCAAATTTTTGTGCTTAAAAAATAGTTACAGAATGGATTAACCTTATTTACATTGAACCTTACTGGGAAATTTGACTTGGCTTGCGACCAATTTGGGTCACAAACAGAGTCGTGGAATGGAATAATTTTGTGAGCCAATATACCACTGTACCAAGAAACCACAGAACAGACTGTTGCTTCTGTCCATGCTTTCTAAGGTCCAAACGTACCAGCCTATAATACCATGATGGGGTTCAGAAAATAAAACCCACTGAGACTTGTCATGATTTGTGAACTCACCCTATTTCTTGCTAAGTAGCATTATCGCTCTAACATAGGATTAAAGATGTAGATGTGGAGGGATATTTTGCCAGGCCCCCAAGGACTGGCCTATTTATTTCTGGGAGAGGTATAAGGTGTGCTTCTTCTGATACTCACAGTCTCCAAGTTTTTCTTCAAGAAAAAGGAGCTGATCACTCAGTGATTCCACCTGGTCCAGGTAGCGAAGCCGACTCCACAGCTCTTTCAACTGGCTTGGTTCAAGGGGTGATGGCAAGACAGAAATGGCACGCTCCAGGCGCTGCAGCGATGGTGTGGAAGGGGCGGGAGTAGGGGAGGGATGGAGAGGGCTGCTGTGAAGGAAATGCTTGTTTCCTGTCGACCGGTTTCCCACATTCTCCTGTGCCCTGCTCACCACACACTCCTCCTATGGGAAACTAAACATTGGAAAGGGGGTGCCAGCCATGCTGGACAAGGATGGTGGGAATTATAGTTCAACCATCTTTGGGGCAGGCTGAAGCTCATGTGATGACACACAGTCCTCTCGCTGCTTTCCTCACCTCTTGAAGAGACTGCCTCCATGGATAAACATGCTCTTTTTCACTGTGATGATAGGAAAAAGAGGGGGAACGCTCCCACACCTGCCAGCTTCAACAACTGCCTCCCACATGTGTTTTTGCAGTACTTCTGCCTTTTCATCCCTCTTAAAATGGAGTAACTTGCTCTGCAGGAATCTCCCACAGGCCATAGGAGAGCACTGCATGAGAACATCACGCCGTCAAATGAAAACATGATATATTGCTGATTTTGTAGCACATCCCTCTTCCCCAAATGTACTGTTTGTGGTAACAAAACAAGGAGAGGATAATGTGCTTTATCCCTGAAATAATGGGAACAGCAATCCTTATGTTACAGGAACAGTCCCTGGCCCCAGGCCCCTTAAAAATGCTTTGAGACATATTCTCACCTCTTCCAGACGCTCCACTTTTGCTTGAAGCTCCTGGATCTCATTGGGAATCTTCTCCTGAGTATTTAAAGTTTGCACTGGGAAGGTAGGGGTGGGAAGGGAAAGGAAGTGCAAGCAAGAATGCATCAATGGGTATGTGGAGACTCACATCCACAGAAGTTGACAGATTTGGCCTAGAGTTCTAGGAGTGTGCAATGCAGTCCTATGTGTATTGAACTGCAAGTAAATCCCCCAATCAATGGAACTTGTTAGTCCCTTGGAAGGATGCTTGGGGTCACTATCACAGTACCATCATCCTGCCTGATTTACAGAATTTTACGAGGTGTATGTATGTGTGGACACCATTTCCTTCCATACAGAACTCTCTTGAGTTTTCTTAGCACTTCTTTTGCCACAGAAAATCCATTTAGGAGAAAACAACAAGATAGTAGTACAATGCCTTCTCAGTGACAGTACTCAAAACCCTCTGTCTGGAAGCACACTAGCTCTTTCTGAGGGCTGTCATCAATGTGAGCTAGAAGTCCGTAGGTGGATTTGTGTGTGAGTGCACACATCCTGCGACACCTGTGTGTGAGTACACAAATATGTACATACATCCTGCGACACTTCAGAGCCAGAGCTCTGGAGGGGGGCCATTTAACCACTGCTTCCTCAATGGAAATCCCCAACTGCTAGTAGCCTAGGCAGGAAAGAAGGCAGGTGCTCATATTGTTGTTGGCTTACCAGACACTCTCTCCACATGCACACATGGGTGTGCACACACACAGAGAGAGCTAACAGCAAAAGCAGGCATTTACACTACAATCCTATCATTTAATGATATTTGCTTCCAGATTGTGCAATTGCGTGTGCAAAGCCATTCTGCCTCAGACACACTGTACTACACCGTACCAACCAGCAGCATTGCCAAAGCAGACAGCTTTATGCAGCTATTTCATCTCCCGCTACCCCTTCAGGCAAGGAAAATGAGAGTCAAAGGAGCAGGGAAACATGGGAAGGTAGTAACTGGGAGATGACATCTGGATTCTCCTGCAAACGAGGTGGGGCAACAGCATTTAGAAGCACCCTTTGCCGTCCGCTCTTAACCTTTTGGTGTTTCCCCATGGTTTTGGCAGACATTTTCCTTCTTGCTGCCACACGCTGTCAAGTAAACTCTGACTTAAGGGGATCCTGTGCATGAATGCCCACCAGAAGATCCTGTCCTTGGCAGACCTCTCAGCCCTTGTAAACTCAAGGCTGTAGTTTCTTTTATGGAATCAATCCATCTGCTATTTCGTTTTTTTGTCTTCTGCCTTCAACTTTCTTTAGCACAATGTCTTGTCCAGTGAGTCTTGCCTTCTCAGTTTTATCATTTTTATTTCAGGGAAAGTTCATCTGATTTGAACTGATCTAGGACTCACTCGTTCATCTTTAGGGCATCCACAAAGCTCTCCTCCAGCACCATATTTCAAACACATCCATTTTCTTCCAGTCAGCTTTCCACACCGTCCAGCTTTCAGACCCATACATGGCAGTTGGGAATACAATAGCGTAGTTGACTTGCACATGGTGGGCATGTCATGAGCGGAGCTGGCTGGTGCCGGAGGTCAGACTAGATGGCCCGGGAGACCCCTTCTGTCTCGCTCTGTTTCTATGATCTTAGCCTTGGTCTCCACTAAAATATCTTTACACTTGAATATATTTTCTAGTTCTTCATTGCTGCCCTTCCTAGTCTCAGTTTTTCCTCTGAGGGGGGACACAATATCCCTCTACAAGTACCTCAAAGGCTTTCACAAAGAGGAAGGTCAGGATCTCTTCTCATTGATAGAAGTGTAGGACATGGAATAATCAAGTGAAGCTGCAACAACCCTGATTCAGGCTAGATAGCAGGAAAAGTTTCCTCACTGTTAGAGCAATACGACAGTGGAACCTGTTGCCTAGAAAGGTTGTGGGCTCTCACGCACTAGAGACAGTCAAAAAGAAACTGAGTGGGATTGTGTAAATTGGTGTCCTGCAACAGCAGGGGGGTAGGACATAATGGCCTTCACAGCCCCTTCCAACTCTACTATTCTGTGATTCTATGATTCTAATTTCTTGTCTGAAGTCTTTGTATGAATCGATGATTGGGCAAAGGTATACAAAATCTATTTCAATTTCTTCATTGTTAACAGTAACTTTCTGTAATTCTTCATACTCAGGATTTCTGTTTTCTGTTTTCTTAATGTTCAGCTGCACTCCTGGTTTTGAACTTTCAATTTAATCAAGAGTCCTTTCAGTTCATTGCTACTTTCTTCCAGTAATATACGTAGTATCACCTGCCTATCTTAAATTACTGAAGTAACTCCCGCCAGTTTTCACTCCTGCTTCCTCTGATCCAGTTCCAGCTTTCCTTCCTATCTGATCTGTGTGCAAACTGAACAGATAAGGAGATAAAATGTGACTGACAGTGTTGCTTATTGGAAACCATTCTGTTTCTCCATATTTCATCCTCACCGTAGCTTCTTGTCCACCATACAGGTTACGCAGCAGAACAACCAAGTGCTGAGGCACACCTATTTCTTTCAGGACCATCCACAGTTTTGTGTGATCCACACAGTCAAAGGTTTTGCTGTAGTCTGTAAAGCATAGAGTGATCTTCTGAAATGCTCTTGTGTGTCCCAGTAGCCAACGTATATTTGCAATATGATCACGAATGCCTTTTTTGGACTTCACCTTGAACATCAAGCATTTCTCACTCCATATAGGGTAAAATTCTTTGTTGTAACACCTTGTCCAACACCTTCTTGCACTTTGTTGTAACACCTTGAGCAGTGGTCCTATAGTTGCTGCACTCCTCTGCTCTCTTTTCTTGGGGCTCAAAGCTTCATTAAGACTTGGACTGGTTCAGTCTCTCAAGTTTGGAATAGTTCTTTTGGTACTCCAGGTGCTTTGTTCCTTCCAAGTATTATCAAAGCAGTTTTCACATTCAGAGACTGCAAGCTCTTCCTCATAGGCTTGCTTGTTATGTTTTCATCTCTTCTGTATAGTCCTTCTGGATATTATTTCCACTTTCTCCTCCTTTTATTATGTTCCCTTGTTGGTCCTTCTTGGCATCCCTAACCGAGGTTTTAATTTCTCTTTGATTCATCTAGGCTTTTTGCTTCCTTCCTTCCTTCCTTCCTTCCTTCCTTCCTTCCTTCCTTCCTTCCTTCTTTTCTTTTGCATTCTTCCCTAATATTGCTGCTGGTTTCAGTCAACGGTTCTTCTGGTTTGCAGTCAATTGAGTTCAGTAATGAAAATCTGTTCTTTGTGTGGGCTTTAAATTCTTCAGGAACGTTATTTAAATTGCATTTTGATACTCTGCTTTGCTTAGAGACGTTTTTCAGCATTACTCCGATTTTAAATATCCATAGTTCAGGGTCACTACCACAATCTGCTTCTGGTCTTGTCTCAGCAGCAAGGATACAGCTTTGCCATTTCCTGCTTCAAAGTTATGTAGTCCCATTTTATTTCTGTATTGGCCGTCTGGTGATCTCCCGTTATTTACAGTCATCCAACGGTTGTCTGATATATTTGTGATGCACAGACGGTTGGCTTCACAGAATTATATGAGACATTCTCCTCCTTTGTTTCTGACCCCTTGGCCATATTTTCTCACAACATTTGCTTTATTTTCTACTTGTGTGTTCTAGTTGCCTATGATTATCAACGTGACTTTTTTCAGTGTGTTATCAATTTCCTGTTTGATGCTTGCATTAAAATTTTCAATTTCTTCTTTGGCATCTTGTGGAAGCATAGACTTGAATTATTGTTATGTTGATAGGTTTTCTGAGAATTCTAATTGATATAATTCAGCTGGACTTTCCATTATAGCCCTTTCCTGCCTGTGTTACTCCTTGCCTCAGTATTAGAGCCACTCCCTTTCTTCTGCATTTGTCATTTCCAGAGTAAAACATTGTATTTCTGTAACTGAAAATGTCCCATTCAAGTCCACTTTCGTTCATTCACACTAACTTCTGCAATGTTTAACCATTCCATTTCTTGCTTTATGGTTTCCAGTTAGTCCTTATTCATACTTCTTAAGCTCCCTACTCCAATCATATTTCTTGTGCAGTACTGGACTTTCCTTTCACCTTTGAGCATATCAGCCACTAGACTTCCTTTGGTTTTTATCTAGTTGCATCATTAATAACAGTGCTATTCATACTCTTCCTTTGTTCTTCCCTAGTAGCTGGTTAAGCGCCTTTCAGTCTGGGAGTCTCACTTCCTGGATTATTTTATTTTTAAGTTTATGATGTAAGAAATGATCAGAAGAAGTAGGTTACCACTGCCTTCTTTGGCACAGTAGCAACCAGAATTAACTTAAGTATTACCACTATTGTTTGTGAAAGACCATCCACCAGTGTTGCTTTTAATGTCTGCCACAGTCAGGAGCTGCCCTTCAGGAGTTTCTCCATTCTCTTCAGATATCCATTCTCTTCTGCTGATGTGACCATTACTCCTTAAGAGAGTGGATGCACCTTAGTCTTATTGCACCAATGTAATGCAATAATAATCATAATAATAGGCATGCCTAACTAAAGCAAGATTCTGTACCACGTGATAAAGGGCAGGGAAATAGAATCTGAAAAGTTTGCATTAACTGTGCACAGCCAGCACATTTACATATGCATTTGCTGGTGGTTTTGTTTTTGTTTAATTTACTCTGCTCCTTATGTGTTGGGCAATCAAAGCTGGACAGTCTAAATGCGCAAAATATTGCTGAGCTATCTTCTGGCCTCTAAACTTGCTCAGATCCCTATCAGTACTTTCTTGGCAACTTTGAGGTTAGAAACCTGTTTTTTTCAAGGGAAAACTGAGATACTCAATTTTGAGCTCAGCAGTCAGATTCAAAACTCCGTCCAGCACCATTGCAAAATACACACATCCCTAATAACATCAGGCCATAATTTCTGACACTTAGCTCTACAGCCCAAGAACAGCAGACCCATTTTCAGGAAGAGACAAGGAAGTTGTGCAACAGAATACACCACCCTTTCCACTCCCACATGCCTTTTGAAGTAAGATCCCATCTACAAATGCACCCTCATGACCCACAAAAATGAACAAGTAAACAAAAAGGAACAAGTCCTCAACGATCGTCACATTTCTGTCAAATAGGCAAAGGATGTTGAGACAGCTGTATATTTAAAAGGGTCTCAAAACACGCATGTTGAGAATACGTTTCAAAACATCCTCAGCCAAACTGGGGTCCTCCGCTACAACTCCCACTGTGGTCCAATGCAACTGGAGGGCCCCAGGTCAGGGGAAGGCTGTGTGTGCCTGCATGTGAGACATAACTGCAACAAATCAAAAGCGGCCATGCTGCCGTCCTGTGGCTGCAACCTCTTGAGCATGAAGCACCACCAGAGCTGGTTGCCCAAGACAGGAGAAGCTCATGGCTGAAGATGAGTCAGTGCCGGCAAGTAAGGGGCTTCCTGCGTGAAAAGGTGACTGCAACAACAAGGAAGGGCAGCAAAATGGCCGAAGGCCTGCAACCTTTGACTGTCCTTGTGAATAAAATGCAACCTCCAAATGCACTTACAGCACTTTTGAAATGCATGCTCACGTTAGCTGTTCATGACTCGAACAAAGAAGACAAGGTTCAGGGGAAGGCCAAGCCCGTACTGACTAAACCAGAATGATGGGGGGGGGGAAGAAAGCAGAGATTTGGGGTCTCCTACTGAATTGCTGTTAGGTCTGCAAATATTTTGCAGCCTCACAGACTGTTAATGTTCCCACTGAACTGAGCAAAGAAGGCATTTTCTCCAGAGTTGCCATGTGCACAGGTCCTTTGGCTGCCCTGGCTTCCCAGCCCTCCAAACATCACTCGCCGCTCTGCGATACGGGACCCTCTTGTGAGGGGTTCCAGCTGCAACCTGCATTAGCCCTAATCAGCACTGCTAACGGAGAGTTCCCATCCGGCAGGGCCACAAATGGCACACCCAGCCTCCAACCCGGCTTTCCCTAACCTGGCGTCCTCCGGGTGAGTTGGTCTAAGGCTTGCAGCTTGTCCCACTGGGCATGATCCCAGCATTGCTGGCTGGGTCACGGGCCAACACATTCGGAGGGTACGAGGTTGGGGAAGGGTGCTGTCGTCCAAGACCTTGACCAGGTGGGGTCTGGCTATCTCAAGCTGTTCATACGATTTCTTCCTTTTCTTTCAGCTTTAAGACCAAGAGAGCACCTTCTTTGATTATGCCATCTGAAGGCCAAGGGTGAGCAGCAAATATGTTCAAATAGGCTTTCATTCATGGTAAGTTAGATGACAGGAAACAAGTGAGAGCGAGATTTGTGATATCAGAGCTAGACTCTTTTTAAAAGACAGCACATGCTACAGTGAAGCCACAACCCAGCAGACATTCCCCTGGGAGCAAGTGCTACTGAGCACAGTGGGTCTCATTTCCAGGTCGACAGGCACAGGATTACGCGGATATGTTTACAATGCCACCAGATCCCTTGATAATGACAATGCCCATGAACATGTTGGATCGTCACTGCAGCTCAACCAGTCATATAATGAAAGAGGTAGAAGTTACTTCCAAGATCATGTAATCCAGCTCCCAACGGATAAAAGAAATCCGCTGCAGCGGTGTCCCAGATACATGGCCATTCAGCCTCTTAACAACTTTTTAAACAAGGAAATCCACCACTTCTGAGGAAGACAATTACACTGTTAAACAGCTTTCCGGAAATTCCTTCTCGGGTTTAGTCAAAATTATTTTTCTTGTAATGTGAAGGCTCAGGTCTGGAGCGACAGAGAACAATTCCTTCATTGTCTGTGTGACAGCTCAATAAATATTATAAGATGGTTCTCATATTGCTTCTGCATTGTTTCTTCTCCACATGACACATAACAATTCCTTCAACTTGCCCTCATTGGGCTTCCCTCATAAATTCCACACCCCACCCTCTCCACTTTTGTCACCTTGCTCTTCCAGGTCTGTTGCAGACTGGGTCCAAAACAGTACCTGAATAATGATTATCATGACAATATGCAAGAAAGCGCCATTGCTAAGATATGATAAAATATTGATGATAACGACATGAATCCAGGCACAGCTGCACAACCCCAGGCCTGCAGGACTATCCCAGCCTGGCTGGGACCCCAAATCAGCCCTCCATGTTCCCTGGGTGCCATGCCCTCTTTCCCTCACTTTACCACCTTTCCCCTGACCATTGATGGTTTCCCAGTCTTTGTACTGGCTTGCTCCCATTCTTAAAGGTTGGACAGCCTCTCTTAAGGCTTAGCTGCTGGCAGTAAGGCCTTCATGCTCCTGAAATATGCCAGTATATCTGGCATTTTGTCCTTTGGTCCCACCCACCACTGGAATGTGGCCCCCGAGAGCTTCTCCAAAGCAGAATATGATCCTCAGGCTGACAGAGAGGTAACAAGCCTGCACCTGAGCAGAAAGAAACCCCAGCACTGTAGTACATACCTTTGCTGCCAAGCAAAGGGGCTGCCTGGGCTGTGGGAAGTAAGCGGCAGTTCTTGCCATCTGGCTCCAGGGCATAGCCAGAGTCACACTGGCACTGGTAGCTCCCTGCAGTGTTCAGGCAGCGCTGTGCACAGAAAGCAATCGGCGCACGACACTCGTCCACATCTAAGGAAAAGGAGAGGCACACACGGTGGCTTTAGGACTCTTTGGCTCTGGGTTTTACTGCAGATCCTAAGGAGACGAAGGAGCAGCGGATATAGCAGGCACCTGCAAGTCTTGGGGAACCTCAAACGCAAGTTCCTGATGATGAAGAGCTTTAGCGAAGCATGTGCTCATCTGAGGAAAATCTTGGGAAATCCAGCATTCAGTGAAAAACGCCCCACTGGAAAGGCACTTTCCACTGAGTGAGGTGGGCAGTTTAACGTCCTCGGTTAAAAATGCAGAGGGCAGCCTGATCCTTGACCATGCTGGCTGGGGCTGAGGGAAGCTGAAGCCTAAAGCATCAGTAGGGCACCTAGTTGTGGAAGGTTATCCTGAGACATGGTGTTTTAGGAGTTGCAGAAAATAAGAATTTGGTTCAGGAAGAAAGATACAATTTAGTGGCTGGGGGAAGGCAGTTGTGCCAGCTGTATTAGGGCTACATAAGGATGGGTTAGGTTGAAACATATGACTACTTTTAAGCACCGTTATCTGAATTAAGAGGTCATGTGTGCATTTGCACATACTTTAAAAGAGCACAGATTACAATGCCAGGGATCAGCAACTGATGGCCCTTGAGTTAACTCTACCCATTAACGGCATTCTGGGCCTAACCACCAATGCCAGAGGTGGCCAGAATGGAACATCTGTGGACCCCACAGCAAGGGGTATACTGTGGTATGATAGGTCTTGCACCTCTACCCAAGGAAGGAGCCATGGTATTTTGACCAGGTCATTCCCTCGTTCAAGCAGCCCTCCCAAATTACACACTAACCAGGATTAAATGGATAGGGCAGAGCAACTGGAGATGGTAAGAAAGGGATGTACTGCCTTGCAAGTCCCAGGTGCTCCACCCCTTGAGCACAGCTAGTTTTTCACAGATCCTGCTGCCTGGCATTTTCACACATGCCCCTACGACTGTAAATGTTTAAAGTCATGAGAACCTACAAAGAGTCCTTCTGGGTCAGACCGAGATCCATCTAGTTCAGCACACAGTGACGAACCAGTTGCCCCAGTGGAAAACTCACATACAGGGCGTGTGCAACAGTGCCCTCCTGCACAAGTTACTGGCATACCTGGACATATTGCCATTTGGATTGGTAGCCTCAATAGCTTTCTCCTCCTCCCCGAAATCCTGGCTGTTAGAGCAGTGCAGCAATGGAACCAGTGACTCTCCCACACTGGAGGCATTCAAGATGCAGCTGGACAGCCCTCTGAGATGGATGGCTTTACTGGGAGCCTTGCACTGAGCAGGGGGTTGGACCTGATGGCCTGAAGGCCCCTTCCAGTTCTACTATTCTATGAGTTTATAATTAATTTGTCCAATCCCCTTTTAAAGCCATCCAGATTGGTGGCCATAACTCCTTTTTATTGGATGTGAATTCCATCATTTAACTTTGCATTATATAGAAGTCTTCCATTTTGTGTGTCCTGAATTCCCCAAGAGCCAGATTTGCCTGCTTCTTCACTTGATTGATTAAAGATTTCATTTTATCAAGTTTTAATATTATTTGTCAGATTCCAGCTGCCTTACTTATTTACTTATGTTGACATTTGTAAGTAAATAAGGCCTCATAGCACAAATGTTTTCGCGCAGTGGCTTACAATAAACAAACAATATGAACATAAAACAGAACATAAAACCATACTTTAAAAGGCAACTTACAACTTGAACCACTCTGGGAGGGCTGTTCCATAAGTGGGATATTGCAACCAAAAATACCCTATTCTTGGCTTAGTCCATTTGTCAGGGGTCCTTGAAATAGAGCACAATATAGAACTGTAGATGCAAGAGCTCCGTCCAGGCCACCTGGGGTCCTCCTCTGAGGTTTGTCAGATGGCCTGGTCAATTCCCTTGGCCAGACCCCCTTTTCCCAACCACCAAAGCCAGTTGAAACAGATGCATCTTCAAAGCCCTTTGGTGGCTTCCAGGTTCTGTGCAGTTTCGCTCTATCCTGAATGGTCGAAATGTCTCCCACAGACTTAATTACTGACATTGGAGATGTAAACTAGAATGGGCTGGTATTTTGTCCCTGCTGCCTTCACCTGCTGCTCTGCCCCCAAAGAAGATCTTAAGGTTTGAGTAAGCCCATAAGAATATAAATTCTACTTGGTTATCAGCCTTGTGAGAAGGAAGATTCTGTGGAGGAAGGCACAGGAGATAGAGTTCACAAAGCCCCAGATTCCACTCACCAACATGGCAGTACCGTCCACCCCAGCCTGGTTGGCACTGGCACTGGTTGGGCTGGACACAGATTCCTCCATTTTGGCATGGCTTGTGGCAAATAGCTGGTGAAAGAAAGAAGACGCAAGAATAAGGCATCTTCAGCACATTTATTTTGCGAAATGTTTCACTAATGATAGGAAAGGCGTTCTGAAGTGGCATTGGTAAAAATGGTGAATGCGTGGAGGACAGAATTTTTAAAAATTTTTTACAAAAATTAGTGGTATGCTACATGAGCTAATCTAATCCCATTCCCAACGTACAACACGCACACACCTGGGGCATTGCTAGGTGTTTAAATTGTTTGGGAGGCCCACAAGACACAATTAATTAAAAGCACCATATGCTGATATATATGGTAATGGATGAATGTGTTATAGGCTACTCTGTGCAAATGTAGAAACAATTATCAATTTGTGGTGAAAAACACTCAAGGTTTAAGAGCTTTAAGTGGCTTGATCATTTGCTCAGTGGGGAAGGCATGTTTATGCACACAGTGCATTGTAATTCCTGAAGACCTTTCAACAGTCACACTGTGCCACTCGCCCAAGACAGCAAAGCAGGGCGGCAATGCACCCCTTTCACAGAGGACCCTCCTGTCTTGGCAGCTGTCTTGTTCAACTCCACTTTCAAGATGAAGACCCATAAGAACTGTGGCCATCAGCCATTCGCAGGTCACATGGATTGCCTAGTCACAGTCACTATGGTGAGAGATGTGGTAGGTATGACATTAAATCCACTCATCTCCAATCCTTAGCTGAAGGAGCCAGCGTTTGTAAATAGATAGTTTCTGTGGCCGGCATGACTAAATGCGAGGCACATGGAATGATGTTACCTTCCCACCCAAGTGGTGCCTTTTTATCTATTCACATCTGCAAGCTTTTGAACTGTTAGATTGGCAGGAGCTGGGACAAAGCAAAGGGGGATCAGCCCATTGCACAGATCTGAGCTGCCAACCTTTCGACCGGCAAGTCCAGATCAACCCGCATCCCAAAATATATGGTAAAAAGGTAAAGGTAAAGGTTTCCCCTTGACACTAAGTCCAGTCATGCCTGACTCTAGGGAGTGGTGCTCATCTCCATTTCCTAGCCAAGGGAGCCAGCGTTTGTCCGCAGACGGTCTCCATGGTCATGTGGCCGGCATGACTAACACTGAGGTGCACAGAACACTGTTACCTGCCCACCGAAGGGGTACCTTTTTATCTACTTGCATTTGCATGCTTTCGAACTGCAAGGTTGGCAGGAGCTGGGACGGAGCAACAGGAACTCACCCCGTTGTGCAGATTCGAACCGGCGACTTTTGATCAACCAGCCCAGCAGCACAGCGGTTTAAACCACTGCGCCACCTGCAGTCCCCTAAAATATATGGTACTTCTAGTTAAATCATTATTATTATTTCTAAATTCATACCTAGATGTATAAATTAACAGGTGCACATTTCATGTCAATCAGTATTCTCTCTTGCCCCTTTTCTGGCAATCCATACAAGGCAACCCTAAATCAAGGAGAAGGGCTCTCTGGCCAGACCAACTGTGTTATGGCGAGCTCCCATTAGAATTGCCCCAAGATGTTTTTCTGCTTGAGGCAAAGGACAAAAAGCAGTAAGGTAGGGCTAGCCCTGGGCTCCCATGGCGCTCTATGGCACAAACTGGCTACAAGTTAAGAACTCACCTTCCTCGCACTTAATGTCTCCCAGGTGCCGTTTCTTCCAACCTTGGCAACAGATGACATTGGTCTGCAGAATCTCTTTCCGCACCTGCCGCATGGCCACCTGATAGCTAGTCCTAGAGGAGAGAACCCAGGTATCCTCTTGGCAACTACAGTTTACCAGAATCATAGTCTCACTTTTTAACTTTTTATTTTAAACATTTTAGACTGCTTTTCAGGGCCTGTGGGCCTGTCTTCTTAAGACAGCTCACAATAAACATAAAACCATGAAATTCAATCTTCGGTTTTTTAATGTGACGGGACTGAAATGCATTGCAAGGAAAAAGTAACATAAAAACAACACAAAATTAAAAATTAACTTTATAAAATGAAAAAGAGCAGCCACCATTTAAAAATAAAAAACACCACTCCGATTATCAGCACAACCCTAATCAGTACCTCAGCCCACAAGCCAGGGCTGCAGGATGTGTGGCTCCCACCCCCGTCCTGGCACAAGTGCAACTGGTCTGCCCTGGCCAGCACAGCTAACAGTGACGGGCTACATCTGGAGGGCTACATGTGACCCACCACCGCCATCAGCAGCATGTCTAATGTCCCATAAAATTACTTCAGTGGCTTCAAAGCCACTGGAAACAGATGCATCTTCAAAGCCCTTTTAAATGCCAAGACTGATATCTTAAGTCACAGAAGAAGGGGATAGTAATCCTTTATTCAGCTATCAGTCTTCAGTATCTGGTAATAACTGACATACTGCCACTGAACATGGAGGTTCTACTCTCAGCTACTATGGGTAGTAGTAATAAAGGCCATTAAGATAATATTTATATATAAACTTGTTTACCACTGTATACAGCTTAAAACATTTCAGAATGAAATAAAATGCAATAAAGATCAAAATGAGGGCAAAAGCAGCCACTATTAAACCAGACAGCTATTAATAGCAAAGAATTGCCAATCCCCTCCCCCTGCAAAAAAAAAATCTTGCTTAAATAAATTGCTTTCACCTAAAATCAGTCAGTATAGGGCACCTCTTGCTTCCTGCAATTTCTTTGCTGCCTGCCAGCCTGCAAGCACACTTCCTTTGGAGATGACCCAGAAAGATAGGTATTCTTTCTTACTGCCTGCCTTATCTCAGTCTTTAGTAAGCTCATACAGTTGAGGAGTCAGGAGAGCCTAAAATGGAAACAAGGTCCTCTGCAGGAAATATCACCCATACATTTGACTTTAAAGCTAGTTTATTTCCGTTGGCCACAAGTTCCTGCTCTGGTGTGTTACCTTCTTTCTCTCCCGGCTGTCCTCTCTCGGCTGTCCTCACTCGCTCTCACTCTCTCGCATGCACAGACACATACTACTCCCTCTCATGCATATGTGCATGCACACCATTTACTGCCCTTTTCCTTTTGCACTGAATCTGATTTCCAAGTACCTTGTTTAGTCCACTAGACCCCACTCTCCTCCCAAGAATCCAGCCCTCTGAGCTCCCAGGCCTCCCCCTCTGTTCTCAGGGCTCTCCTCTCCAGCTGGATCAGAGTCCTTCCAGTTCTTAAGTCCTCAAGGAGAGTGGAAAATGACATTTGGCAGCCTCCTGCTTTTCAGCTTTGTTGTGTTTTTTAATTTCAGATTTGGAGGTGCCCTTTTGACTCAGGAACTTTGCAATGCTTTCAGAATTCCCGTTTGGAGCTTGACAGTGCTCCAATGTTTTAAGATGTTTAGCAATGTTTTGGCTCCAGTCCTCTGTATGTTGATTTAGAACATGTCAGAGATAGTATCTCAGTAATCTTTACAATGATTTTGCAAGGTATTACAGTTTACCACATCAAAGGAGCAGCTTGTGTGCCTGTCTGCCAGTACAATTCAGCCGGTGGGCATGAATGATGTGGTCTTCTCAGTAGTGGCCCACCTGCTTGTGGAACTCCACCATGCCCACATCATTACAAGCCTTCAAGTGGGCCACAAATACTTATTTACATTGGCCTATAACTGAGTCAGGACTTTACTGCGGTGCGACTTTATGGTGTTTTAATGGTGATTTAATAGTTAATTTTGGTATAATTGTTTCACAGTGGTACCTTGGCTCACGAACTTAATCGGTTCCAGGACTCTGATCGCGACCCAAATTGGTCATGAGCCAAGTTAAATTTCCCCATAAGGTTCAATGTAAATAAGGTTAATCTGTTCTGTAACCATTTTTTAAATGGTTAAAAAATGGTTACAGAAAGGTTAAAGGCGCTGCTGCTGCAGGAAAGACGGGAGCAGCAAAGCAGAGCTGTGGGGGAGATGGCCGAGATTCCGCACATCTTTCCTGCAGCAGCGCTCCTCTGACCCCGCATGCCTTCCCTGCACAAACGGAACTGGGATCGTGGCCATCTCCCCACTGGGAGGGCGGAGGGGAATGGCTACGATCTTGGTCACCACCCAAAGCGGTGTTTGCGACCCAAGTCAAAATTTTTGAGAAATTTTTGTTCGTGACCCGATCTGTTCGTGAACCAAGGCATTCGTGAGCCAAGGTACCACTGTATTTTTTATCATTGCTCTAAGTTGGGAACGTTGTAACTGCCCTAGAAGGTTTTTCCTCAAAAAGCATTTTATAAATCTTTCAAAGAAATCAATAAGGAAGACCACACTTCTCTCCCTCATATTACAACTGAAGAGCTGTGGCAACATCCTACACCATCTAAAGCGTTTGTGGCTTAGTTTAATGTGTTTTGAAATGTTACTTTGCTATTATTTGTATTGTGTTTTGCTTTTGCTTTGTATTTTATAGGATCATGAGTAGTTTTTGTTGTTGAAAAGCTGTAAAAGTTACATAAAAATTATTATGATCAACGTGTTCCTGGTTGAGATGAAATTTGAACTTCACATAATTTCAGACATTATATTATGCTAGATTTACTAGGCCTCATTTCTTCCTTTCCAAGAAAACTCAGAAATCAAGAGGAAATCACCAGCAGCCATTCCAGTAGTTTGTACAGAGACAAATTAAAGGAGTAGTTTGGCTCAGTTGAAGACCAAATTTTTCCTCTTCCCTTCCTATCTTTGTATCCATGTGTGTCCTATCTTTTTAGCTTGTAAACTTGCAAACAGAAGGTGTCTTGTTTTACTGATAGCAGATAAATCACTCTGGGAGACGTTTTCTAGCTGGGGGGCAGAATAACCATGCTTTGTAGGAATTAGTAATTCACACTCCCTGCCTGCACACCATGCTTGTCCTTGTGCCATACAAAGGGAGCCTTCACATACCTGTAGGTGCTGCATACCCGCCGTCCAGGGCACAACGTCAAGTAGGGCTGGTGCTGGGGTTTCATGTAGGTCTCATTGTAGATTAATGGGATGCGCAATATGTTACGGGCACAGATGTGGCTGTGGGAAGTAAAGGACAAAACATTTAGGGGGAAAATGTTCTTTCAATATCTAGAGCATGAATAGCCCAGACATGGTGTTTGGAATCTACAAAGCAGTGTAGATATCTGAATTCTGTCACAGCACTAATCTGTATTATATCTGTAATCATTTTAAAACAATATGTACAAATAGGCCAGCTACTTAAGCAATGCCCAAAAAGATAACATTTTTTGGGTGCTTTTTTCCCCTGACATGCAACCTGAGTTGCTTTAGTGAGGTTAAACCTGGGGATTTCTGTGTGCAAAACATGAAGAGCCAGAAAGAATCTTAAACATTAAAATTTATCTTAGGATTCTGGCCTCGATGCCAGGCAGCATCCTTGGGTATCCACAAATGGCAAGAATTAAATAGAATGGCCAGGTGTCCTCTCTTTGAAGGGCTACCAGTTAACTGTCCTTCCTTTGGAAGATGTCCTGTCTTTGAAGGACTGCCTTGTCAAGTCAACTTGGAAAATTAAAAAAAAAAAAAATCAGAAGGAAGCGCTGGGTGTTGAAGTTGTCTGTCAATGGCCCCTGAAAGGCAATCTCAGTGAGATACACAGGTGACCTGGTTACAGCCTCCCAGGTTGTGGTGAGCTATCTTGTATTTTTATTTAAAGTATAAGAATTATTTTTAACTGTGCATCTCTATATGCAAATGTGGCACACCTATGTCCTCTGTTTTGGTGATCTAGGTTCTCTCTTGTGGCAATCCAAACAGTGGTCACCCTTATACCTGAATTTCCTTCCTGGCCTTCTCTCCTTACCTTTCAGGTTGTTTGCCCTGCCCAAATGTTTGCCATAGGAGCGAGACAATAAGAAGTCCCCCACAGAGGAAGGCCATGGGAGCAACTCCTATAACAGGATGGGCAGGAAGGAGTTCAAAATCAAAGACCTGTGGGAGAGAAGAGGAAGTTTCAAGTCTGATAATGATAGCAGCACAGAAAGCAGTAAAGCCATATTCCCAGCTCCCTCCCTCTCATTCACACACGTGCAATTAAGGAAAGACATCCTAGATTCCCCCGGTCTTTTTCTGAAGACTTCCCATTTCCCCTCCATTTCTTTAAAACAGGAACATACAACAGAATTTCAACATGTGGAACACAACACACATTACAGGAAAATGAATGAGAAACGTTCTGTCAACTCTAGTGACAGAGTTTAGCCTCAGCAGATTCCCTGCTCTACTTAAATCCACATTAGTTGATAGAGCTGAGAGAGAAAACCTTCCCTTTCATGTAAACTGTCCCAGACCGCTCTGACGGTTTGCCACGTTTTTATTGCCTGGAGGGGCTGATGGATGCAGAGAGTTATGTGGCAGCCCAAGCACACATCACACACTACCTGATTCTTTGCGCTGCCTTTCTCAGCCTCAGGGCTTCTCGCTGGCTGAGAGCTGCTGGCTCCAGCCGCCTGCTCCAGCGAAGCTGGGAGTGTGTGAGAGAGACACAGAGAGTTTGCCTTGGCTGAGTCCCCACCTCTCTTGGACTGCATCCACACACCCCTGCAGCCATGGCGGCAGCAAAGCTGATGCCCCCTGGCATTTCATCCCCTGGCATGAGTCATGCCCCCCCCCCGACCCCCGGCCCGCCAACAAGGCGAGTGGCCCAGACAGGGCCTTATTGTCCCCTCCACCCTCTGTGGATTCCTCACCCCCCATAGAACAAGCCGGTTCATTGTCGGCTCTCAGGGTCCCTGAGATGGAGAGGAGAAGCATTATGGGGGAGAGGGCCCCACCCCTCAAAATGGGGCTGGGATATTTGGGGGTGTGGGGAGGAGGAGTGCCGCTGGCAGGAGGGAGCATGCCGTTTGGGCCTTGTGGGGTGGGGGCATCAGGCTGCCTCAATAGGACAAAGGCAGGAACTGGTTCCAGGCTGTGACGGAAAATATCGCCCACAGATGTCGGCCTTTAAAACAAACCAACTGGCTACAGCCACACACATTGTCTCCCGCAGCCCCTTTGGAGGAAGGGGCCGGCTGGGTGTCTGGGTGGGCCCAGCAGCTGAGGCGATGACCCTTCCCAGGCACACCACCGTCTGCTCGAGGCCGCTGGGCCTGCTCTCGCCAAGACAAGGCTGCCTTATCGCTGAGCGCAGGATCCAAGTCCCACCAGGCAGAAATGCAGTGAAACCCACCAGTGAAAGCCAAAGCCAAGAGGCCATGACAGGAAATAGTTTCCCATACTCATTTTTTCCACAGGTCTTGTGGGTTTGTGCCCATTTTGTATAGTCCTTTATTATAACATTTGTATGCTCCCCCTTTGCCTCTCAGCAAAGGTGACTTTCATGGCTCCCTACCTCTCCATTTTTATCCCCACAGCAACCCTGTGAGGTTGGCTATGTGACCTGCAACTAATTTTCTGCTGCTATAGATATATAGTGAATCTTGAAACAGCACTGAAAAGAACAGGTTTTAGGGGTAAGGTCTGGTTTGGATTTGCTCCCACTGAGTGCTGTATCAGGGCCCTCTTTTCTCTCCCTGAGGAGAGAGAAGGGTGCTGTCAAATCCAACCAAGGGTGCTGAGGAAAAAAAAAATCCCCAGCTTGGCCTGGTTTTGACCTCTGAGCCAGTCACCAGAATATTTTGTATGAAAGCCAGGATTAAGCTGTGTTAGCCCACACATTCACACTAAAGCTGCAGGCTTGGGGTCCAGCAGTGTGTGCACAGTTGCACATGCCGGTGCACATGATTCTACAGGGCACATATGTGAAGTGTGTCCATGGTCATTCCCCCACCCACATGCACAGAAAGGGGAAACATGCTTTAGGGACTGCTCTCACACGTGCTGCCCAAGGGCTTGTCCCTTCTGAGCTGCCTCCTAGTCTTACCCGGTATCAGAGCATTAAAAATAAAAACAGTGTTAATTGCAGAATGCCTCTAAATACCAGTATCAAAAGCAATACCAGTATCTGTATACTGACTGCTGGGGCAAACAAGTGTGTGTGTGTGTGGGGGGGTACACACTCATGTCTTACTTGTGGGTTTCCTAGAGGCAGCTTGTTGGACCCTGTGGGAATTGGAAGCTGGACTATTTGTGCTGTTGGCCTGATCCAGCCTGGCTCTTGTTATGTTCTTAACACTCTGGGGAAATGGGGAAGGCTGTGAGAAAGGAACGCCCTGTATGGATTAATTCATGAGGATCAGTCAACTGTCTCTGTGATTCCCCCCCAACCCTTGCTTTTTAGAGCAATTGCAGAGCAACTATTTTTAATGTGGTCATTTCCAGATTTAGTCCCTGGGGACTCATATTAAAAGGACCAGTCACAGGTTAGGATGGCCACTAAAGTGTTGTGAAATCAGAGGACCTACATCACCCAAAAGGAGGACAGAAGAGGATACTGATTGGCATGATCTTATTGCATGTTTTTATTTAGACATACAGATACAGATTTAGAAATACTGTAATTTATACAGAAATACAGTACATGTCACCATGATGGCGAAGAGTGTGGGCAGGTGATTGGCCTGCTCTGCCAGCCGTTGTCCAGAAACTAACTGTGGATGGGTAGCTTCAAAGCCCTCAGCCTGTGCCACTTCCCTTTTATAGTTCTTTAGCTTTAAAGTGGAATTGGACCAGACAGCACTTCAGCTAGACAATGCCTTCAAATGGAGGAGTGTCCTCTGGAAACGAGGGCACCCTATTGCAGGTACTGCTGGAGGAGACCCTGCATGGCTGCAGCTAGGGCCAGCCCTGTATTAGCCAAGCAAAGTAGATGCTCCAGCCATCAGTTTCAGGTGTCAGGAAAAGGCAGCAAGTGGCTCTTTATTTTGACTGTGTTTTTTCTTCCAGGGAGAGGTTCTTATGGAATTTTTGCCTCAGGTGCTAAAACAATTTGGGTGGCCTTATTTACTATGCACCTTGAATTGAAAGCGGGGTACAGTTTGCTCCTTTTCCTCTGGGACTGAGATAGCAGAGTAGGAAGTCTAAGAAGACAGTGCAAAGCTAGATCAGACAGATTGTGGGGCCTAGCGGAAAGGCTGCATCCAAGAGCCAATGCTAAAATTGAGTTTAATCCTCTTTCTTTCTTGCCACATCTGATGCGGAGGATGAAAGCCTTCCAAATTCAAATAACATCAAGTACTTCTTGATTGCAGAAATGCAGTGGAGTAAAGAACTAGGCCCCAAAAAAGCACTCCTTTCTCAGCATGTCTTCTAGCGTTTTCAGGGAGGGGAAGCGGTTTCAGAAAGCAAAACATTGAGCAAGTACAGGGAAGAGAAGGCTGTTTGCAGCTGTCCCCTTCTTGAGTTGACTATACTGGGTCAGGGAGTGGGTGGATGGGTGAGGAGATAAAACGAAGGTTGACGTGAGAAAAGCTCTGTTAGGGTTTGCAAGCCAAGCAGCAGCAGCAGCAAGAACAGGAAGTGGTGGTTTCCCGTGTAGAAATAGGGGCGTAGCCAGGCAGAGCAGAGAGGCAGACGAAGGAGCTGGAGAAGCAGCAGCCGTCCAAGTGGGTTGGGATGCAAGAGCCTGAACCAGCAGCAAAGCAAGAGAGAGGAAGATGGGGACTTGGCACGCCCGGCAACTGTGGGAGTAAAACCGAAGGGAGCAAAAAGGGTGAGCACAAAACAGCAAGTGACAGGAGTGTGAAGACTGTCGAGATGTCCCCAGGAGGAAGGGTTCCTCATGAGTTATGGGTTTCCCAGGTGCAAGTGGCCGGGTAGGAAAGGGTATCTCAAACAGCTTGGAGGTTCTTGAAGGGTGGGCAGCTCTCTGCCTGAAGCAGAGGTGAACAAGGGTGGGTAACCTGTGGCCCTCCAAATATGTTTTGACTTGCAATTCTCATCATCTTCCTTGCTATTGGCTGTGGTGGCATGGTCTGAGGGATGTTGTAGACCAAAAGCGCGGGAGGGCTACGTGGCCCACCCTGGCTGTACAGAGCTGCTGCCAGTTGATGTAGGCAATAGTGGCCTAGGTTAACCTTACCATAAAGTAGCATCAGCATCAATTTGTTTGTGTGACATTCTGACATATTTTCCCAAGTACATGCAGAGCCAAACGAGGCATTTTAGTGATATTATTTGGCCTTGCATCATTTTTTGTTCACTGGGGAAAGAGTTGGATTGGGAGCATTTACCCTAGTAATCCCAACTGGATTTGAGCCCTTCCCAGCTATTTGCAGTGGGAGGAAAATGTGCATTGGCACCAACAAGAACTTTCTTCCCATTGTGAATAGCAACTCTATGGAATGTATTTCACTGAGATCAGAAGCGCAGGTGTAGGGGAAAGTCAAAGCTCCTTCTTCGTACCTACAAGGTGATTTGGTGTGGGAACTACACCTACTTTTTATAACCCCACCACCACTGTGAAAAGCAAAATTAGACAGTGTCAATGGCATATTTGTATACAAATGTCACTTTACAATTTTCAGTAGACGTTTATGTAGCTTCCTGTGCAGGGTTAATTGTCTGCGCAAGAAGTGCTCGGTGGCAATTGAAAAGGTGAAGTGATTTCCCTTCAGTGTCCCATGACTGGAAGATTTTCATGTAAACATTCCGCTGGTTGTGCAATTCTTAAATAAGCAGGAGCATTGAAGATTTGATATTAGTGAAAGAGGAAAACTAGTGTTGCTGACTTTTGAGACTCCTAATTCTGACCATTTAAGTCAAATGCCAGCTGCAAAGTATCTCCATCCACTCTGAAGGGAGTATTTGTTTGTTAAGGCTAAAGTGATTCTGAGCATATTCAGAGTGCTGCTCTCTAAAAGGTGCCAGTGTAAACAAAGTATATATACAAATGCTTCCAGACAGATGATTAAACAGTGGCTGGCTGAGAAATCCTAAGGAAATCTCAAGGGTCATGTGTAATAAAACTTAGTCTATTTAACTAGGAGACACATTCTCTGCATTTGTATCCTTATGTGAACAAAATGGCTCAATTCAGGAGGTGACACCAGGTTGGGGGGGAAATCTAAGTGCTGAGGAAGGGCAAATAAAGGTGGCCCATCCCCCCAAACTGCCCAATGAGGACTGAGCATGCTCAGTGGACACCACAAGGAAAAACAACTTAGGGGTAAAGCATGCCTGGCCGACACCCTCAACAGGGACACTTTGCTACAACTTTCCATACTGCAACATTTACTATGTGTGAGTCTCACTTGGGTCACACGTACCTCAACTACACCCAGTTACTTCCATAGACAAGAGCAAGAAAAAGCAGCACAGCTAACTTTGTGCATTTGCAGGAACACTCATTTTCACAGAACTGTGGTGATGTGTAGAACATGTTCCATAGCTGCATCCTAGCGTTAAAAGAAAAGCATGTATGTGTGGAGGAGGTGAGCTTGCATGGCAATTTCTGTAACTTGTGGTTCAACCTGGAATTTGGAGAGGAAGTTGCAAACAAACTGTTTTATCTGTCACCAGTGGAAGGGAGGGGAGGCAGAGCAGGAAATTAAGTAGTTGGTCATGCAAGCTCCATATTCTGAAATACCTCCTTCTTCTTATCTCTTCACTGGCCTAGCAGGAAAGCAAGTGAGATTGCCACCTGCTTTTTCCAGTCAGGACTTCTGTGTGTTCAGCAGTTGCATATCAACAGAAATTCAAAAGGTGAAGTTAGGCTCCCCCCCCCCCCCAGGGAGCGGGGAGCTGGTAATATAGCTGGAAAAGGTCACATCTCAAAATTCTGCCAGTTGTACAGCATTTCAAAAATGAGTCAGGAGCATGAGAGCCTCTTTTGGAAGCCCTAACAAAAAACCACAGGGAGAGTCATTATGCTAAAACCATTCAGTTTTATTTTCACACCCAATTTCTCTCAACAAGTTCTTCCCCTGAAGGCCCATCAGTTAGGGGGGTGAGATTCAAGCAGATTAAGCCTGCCATCTGAAGTTTGCTTACTTAGAAATGACCCACTGAAATCAATGGCACTTACTTGCAAGTAAACAAATTTAGAACATGTCCTTTAAAGCTCTTTTACATAATTTCACACAATCTCCCTTGCTGCCCTTATTATGCCCTTCCAAACCACCTCCAAATCCTTCAAAATCTCTTAAAATCCATGATTTGTGGAGAGTTTTTGGTTCAGTCTCTTGGCCCTCATTCCTAACTGAATGTAGGGATGCCACATTGCAAAAAGGGGTCTGCTCCTTTGCCATTAACAGCAGCCCGACATCGACAAAAATTGACCAGAGGACACAGGCGTGTGGGTGTCACTATTAATCTCCATGTCAGGCAAAAAGTTCTTTGCCTGTGGACTAGCATGGCATCATGTTTTCAACCTGCCCAGTTTCTCTAGCTCTCCAGCTACTGTTAAAGGCACAGGTGCAGGACCAGCCAAAACAAGAAGCTGCAACTGATTGAAATGAAAACCATATTTGCATACCTATATTTGCTCACTTTCATCTCTGATTGCCCGCTTTTGGCTACCAGCATCTGCTCCTGTGCTTTTAACACCAATGTGAACTGCCAACTGTGTCAGGCACTGAGGATTACCGCCATGTCTCAAAAAACTTCCCTTTATTTGCCAGTGTGGGCAAGTTGTAGCCCTCCGGGGGATGTTGGATTGCAGTACCCTCATCCTTTACTATTAGCTATGCTGATGAGGACTAATGAGAATAGCAGCTAACTTTTGAAGGGACAGATGTTCCTCATCCTTGCTTTATTTTTTGTGCCCAGATGTAGGGTGGTGTATTTAAAACATTATTGTGATTTTTGCTTTCTTTTAAAAGCACATACACTCCAGCCTGGTTTTAGACCCTGGTTGCTGGGTACAAACAAGTGTGCTTCTGCTTGCTGCCTGCTCATTCCCACTGCAAGTGGGAGCTGTCGAACAACCCAGGAATGCTTTTGCCTGGCTTGTTTGCCATGATGTTCAACCTGCCCAGTTTCTCTAGCTCTCCAGCTACTGTTAAAGGCACAGGTGCAGGACCAGCCAAAACAAGAAGCTGCAACTGATTGAAATGAAAACCATATTTGCATGCCTATATTTGCTCACTTTCATCTCTGATTGCCCGCTTTTGGCTACCAGCATCTGCTCCTGTGCTTTTAACACCAGTGTGAACTGCCAACTGTGTCAGGCACTGAGGATTACCACCATGTCTCAAAAAACTTCCCTTTATTTGCCAGTGTGGGCAAGTTGTAGCCCTCCAGGGGATGTTGGATTGCAGTACCCTCATCCTTTACTATTAGCTATGCTGATGAGGACTAATGAGAATAGCAGCTAACTTTTGAAGGGACAGATGTTCCTCATCCTTGCTTTATTTTTTTGTGCCCAGATGTAGGGTGGTGTATTTAAAACATTATTGTGATTTTTGCTTTCTTTTAAAAGCACATACACTCCAGCCTGGTTTTAGACCCTGGTTGCTGGGTACAAACAAGTGTGCTTCTGCTTGCTGCCTGCTCATTCCCACTGCAAGTGGGAGCTGCCGAACAACCCAGGAATGCTTTTTCCCTGGCTTGTTTGCCATGATGTGCAAACCAAGAGATCTCACCTTTGGTTCTCCAGACAAACCAGATTTGAAACCCAAAGTTTACCAGCACAGGAATCAAACTCAAGCATATACAGTTTTGATTGCTACATGCACCCCTCTTCTGTTTCATCTTCTTCTTGGAAAGCAGGAACTGCTCCATTCTGATATAAATATCTGATCTGCATGGAATTTGTTTCTTCTTTTATGCAGCAGACCTCCCAGATTTTCTGTACATTCTACTTTGAGAGTATCTAGCCAGTGGGTCAGGAGCAAGCAAAGAATATGGAGCAGGAAGTGGATTTGATGGAAGAACGAGAAATGCTGGTGGGTGGTGATCCTGGTGCAACAGTTTCACAAGAACAGGTAAGCGGCATTCCTCTTTGCACTTGCCACCCAAAACAGTGACAGTATCATAGCATGCTCAGTAGTCTGAGTGGCAACAGGATTTGAGCTAAGAAAGGACAGAAAGGTAAGAGCTTCCCGGGATGAGCTCTGAGGAAGGCAGGAGAACAAATTAAAGCGAGACTCAACACCCCCATCCAAATGACCCTACAAGGACTGGCATCCAAGAGCCATAAGATATTGGGTGTCAGTTGAGGAAAAGTGGTTTGTGTGAGAAATTAGCCTTCCCAAACCCTTAACAAGCTTTTAAAATTTAGGTGGAAGAAGGTAAGAAATAATAAAAACAAGTAGCAATAGCATTGCTATGACACAGTTCAGTACTTAGGAGGGTCATGGTAGAGGAACTGCAGGAACTCTTGGAAGACACTGATGATCTTTTCAGCCTGGGGTTCAACCTGCTTATGAGACGGCATCAGTTTTGGTTGCCTTGTTGGATGACCTTTACTAGGAGAGGGACAGCAGGAGAGCAGCTCTGTAATTGGCTTTTCAGACTGCTCTCCACAGTGCCCTCCTAGATGAACCCTGTGGGTTAGATACTCTGTTAGATAGTCTCACCTGTAGGGTCAATTTCAGAAAGTAAGATTGTCAGTTGAGCCATGGGGTCCTGCAGGGTACCATCCTATTTCCCCCATAGCTTCATATGTATATGAAGCTTCTGGAAGCAGCCATGGGTGTGGGGGCAGGTGCAGAGGCAAGGGTTATCACTGTGCCCACCTCCCTGTGGCAACTGAGTCAGGAGGGTCTATGTAAGTCCTTGTTCGGTGTTTGGATTCAGTGATGAGCCGGATGAAGGCAACAATCTGAAGTTGAATCCTGGCAAGATGGAAGTCCAGTGGGAAAGTAGTTCCCAAGCCTGGGAGATAGGCCCATTACCTGTCCTGGTTGGGCTCACACTCCCTCCAAAAGGTCAGGTCCGAGGTAGGGGGTCCTCCTGGATGCATTGCTTCTGCTGCAGACCCAAGTGGCTGGTGGCTCTGAGTGGCTTCTACACTCTTCAAGTTGTATTTCAATGTATTTTATTGTGTTGTAAGCTGCCCCGAGGCTTCTGCAAGGGGCGGCATAGAAATGTTATAATAATAATAATAATAATAATAATAATAATAATAATAATAATAGTAATAATGCACCAGCTATAGTCTCTCTTGGGCAGGAATACAGTGGTACCTTGGGTCATGAATGCCTCAGTTCACGACCAAATCGGATCGCGAACAGAAATTTCAGAAAAAAATTGCCTCAGGTCGCAGACTCCGTATCAGGTGATGACCACGATCACAGCCCTGTTCCCACATGAACATGATTGTGATCGCACCCATCTTCCCTGTACAAGCACAATCGCAATCGTGGCCATCTCCCCACCCACCCCTGCACAAGCACTATCGCACGATTATTGTTTGGACTCTCCCTCCAAACAATAACCTCTCCCCCACTTAAGTTAGTGTTCTCTACTCTACTATACTTTGTTACTTTGTTGTTGATACTTTGTTTCAAATTTTGTGATTAAAAAAATATTTACAGAACAGATTAACCTTATTTACATTGAACCTTATGGGGGAATTTGACGTGGCTCATGACCAATTTGGGCTGTGACCAGAGTCCTGGAACAGATTCAGTTCATGAGCCAAGGTACCACTGTCGCTTGGCCATAGGAATACAGGTGCTGCTAAGACTAGATTACTGCATTGTGCTCTGTGTGGGGCTGCCCTTAAGGCTGCTGCAGAAGCTGGAGCTAGTGCAAAAGGCAGCAGCTTTGCTATTGCCTTTTTTTGGCATGCTGCTTCTTTGCCGAAGGAACTGCAGGGGCTACCTATTTGCTACTGGGCAGGTTTAAGGTTCTAGTACTAGTGTACAAAGCCCTGAACAGCTTGGGGCCAAAGCACCCGAGAAAGTGCCTTCTTGCTTACCAACTTGCCCATTCACGGAGGTCATTGACGGACTTCCCCTGGTGGTTCCACACAGACCCGTGACCTGATGGGAGTCTGCCAGGGAAAGAGCTTTCACAGTGGCACCAACTCTGTGTTGCTGTCAAAACCTGCTAAAGACAGCCATGCTCCTGGAAGCCTTTCTTGCTGACAAGACACGGCCTTAATATTACCTTGTTTTCAATATAGTGTCATCTTTATTCCTTTATTTCTTTTGACCTTGAACTGGGCCAGTGCCCTGGAACCTGCTTGATATGGTGTGGTATGCAGATGTTATAAGTTAATGCAATAAACATGAATTAATGGTTCATACATGCATTGTCTCAATAATCCTTGCAACAACTCGGCATAGTAGGCTGCTATTATTTCCCCTCATATCAAAGATGGAAGAACTGAGGCTGTACCCAGCCCTTCTGTCTTTGATGTGGCCAAAAGAAGTGTACAAATTACTCTGGAAAGCACCTGTTTCTTTCACAGCAGTTTTGTAGGCAAACATTCTGCTGGTGTCATGCTGTACCCTTGGGGCAGTTCCTCATAGCTTGAATCTTGACTTCAGGAATGGGACACCTGTGGATCAGCATCTGCAGCCAGCTTAGCCAGTGGATAGGGATTGCAGGAATGGAGCTAGGTGAAGCTGGGGGTCAGGCTAGATGGCCCAGGAGACCCCTTCTGACTCACTTTGCTTCTGTGCTTCTATGGATGGGAGCTGGAGCCCAATAACTCCTGGAAAAGTCCTGCCAGTGGACAGTAGTAGCTGAATGCACCATTCTCTCTTTGCCGAGGACCCTGCACTGCCTGCACTAAATACTATTCCTACATTTTCCTACTGTTCCTCTAAGGAACTCCAACCCCTGTTAGTCTCCATTGGAGACACAACTTTGTCTGCAACCCAAGAGAGCCATTGCCGATCAGTGTAAACAAGTCTTGCCCAACTTAGTTTCTGTTCCAGGTACAGGAGCCTTGCCAGAAAGACAGTGACACCAAAAATATACCTTCTCCTAAATTTCCTACTGCTCATTTTCAGTTACTTCAGTAGATTGAGCCTTGCCCTGCCCACCCTCCAAATATCCTGTTCCTAACTTGCCTTATTTTCCTTCCCACTTCAGATCCAGCCTTCCTGTCAAGATGACCTCAGCATCCAGCCAAGCCAGAGTGTTCCGTTGCGTTTGAGGCAGCGAACTCGGCAGCATGATCCTGTCCGGCCCTGGAAGTCTCTTCCAGCCACCCCTACGGGGGACCTGGAGACTGATCCAGCAGGTAAGACATGCCTGTCTACCTGATGTCTCTTCCTGAACCTGTTTCTCTCAAAAGTCAGACGCATTCCTGTTTCTTTAGAAATAGTTTGATCCACAGCAATCTTTTTCAAACTGGTGCCCTGCGGATGTTTTGGACTAGGATAATGTATGGTCACTTGCCATGATGGGTAGGGCTGATGGGATGTTGTGGAACTGGAATGGGTGCAGTAAAGGACAACTCAAATGATCAAAGGGCTGAAGAATATGCCCTGCACAGAAATGTTACGATCCCTGGGACTGTGTAAGATAAAAATGTACAGAATTATGCATGGTATGGAGAAAGTGGATAGAGAGACATTTTCCCCTCTTTCTCATAATACGAGAAACCAAAGCAGTCATCCTATGAAGCTGAAGGTAGGAGATTCAAAACAGATAAAAGGATGTACTTTTTATGTGAGGCATTATTAAACTATGGGATTGTCTGCTTTTACTTCCTTGATTTTCATTGGCTGTGTTCTGGCATCAAGACTATGGTTTATCATGATATGAATGAGCTTCTATCCCCACTCCCCAGACTTGCACTATCCCCTCTGCTTCTCTGGAGCAGCCATAAGGAGAAGGCCTCCTGCAATTTCAGTTAACCACCATTTAGCACATCCAAATGGTAGTTAATTTTAACAGTTGTTTATTGAAACAAGCTAGTTTTGTAAACTGTAGTTTGAAGTTTGCTTGTTTTGAACAAACCATGATTAAGATAAGCCACAGTTTGTTGGGCTCATACAACACAACAGCCTGCACTTAGCTGAAAAATCTTCCAAACTGAACCTGCCCCACTGCTTTTCGGGGCCTCTTCTCATTCAACTGAATGGAGGCTTTGCACATCTGCCCCAGATTCCAGCCCTATGTATGTACTGTTGCCTCCAAAATACACACACAGCAGCACAAGAGCTTTTCACATGCTAAATAAAGAAATTTGACCTGCAATCTATAAAAGAAAATGGTTCATTGGTTTTACTGGTGAAATTAGGTGCATTTTCAGCTCCATTTTCCCATCTAAACCCACAAAACCTGAAAGGGCAAAACTGTAGCTTTTAGCAATGGTTTGGCTTTGCATACTAGGATTAGGGAGACCCAGGAGAAAACACCCAGCCATCCATGAAACTCAGTGGATTGAGCCAATTCTTATCTTCAAGCTAACGTACCTTGGAGGTTTGTTGTGAGGATAAATTTCAAGGAACAATTATCTGGGGGCAAAGGAGAACTTTGTAGATTGCTCTGAACTTGTTGGAGGAAAGCAAGACAAAATGCAAAATACATTTTCTTTGGTCAGATTTTGCTCTTAGACTATTTTTGTACTTGTGCATGACAGAAGAGTGAAACCTAATGTGTGACAAATAAGCCGCAGCTATTTTTTTAAACTTCCTAATTATAACATCAGCTTTTTGTGTGTTTTTAACCTCTGAGTAACCCTTGCTTATTATGTATTAAACATCCAAATAATCTTCTGAAATGAAAATGATACCAGTTACTTAGTTCAAGGTGGTTGTATTTAATTTCCACCTGAGAGGAATTTCTTATTTATTTATTTATTTATTTATTTATTTAAAACATTTCTATGCTGCCCCCATCGCAACAAAGCCTCGGGGTGGCTCGCAGCATAATTAAAACATATAAATAACAATTAATACAGTTAAAAATTAAAAAGCCCGGTAACATCTCGGCTAAAAAATTTAAAATCCTATAAATACATAATAAGTTAGCAATTCAAATAAGTTTTAAATAAAAAGGTCTTAGCCTGGCGCCGAAAAATAAATATCAACGGCACCAGGCGGACCTCTCTGGGAAGCGCATTCCATCGGTGGGCTGTTGAAACCCATCTGCAAACGTGTTCTTTTTGCATGATGTAGTGATGTTAAGGATGATTTTAATGGTAGGTAAAAGCTTCTGAACTTTAAAAAATGCCATCATCTTTCTGGTATGAAACAATTCAAAGATTGTTGCCCTGAGACATTGTGAATGGAAGGATATAAGAACTTTAAATAAATAAACCAATAGGAGAAACCATTGGACTTGGTGATAATTTACAGTCTGTTGAGGATAAAGAAATTGCTACAAATCAACCTTTCCCAATCTGGTGCTTGCCAGATGGGTTGGCCTACAACTCCTTCATTCTGGCGCTGCTGGCTGCGAATTGCAGACCAAACCATCGGAAGGGCATCAGGTTGAAAAAAGCTGCTAAAGACGCTGAGGATGAGTTAGTTGCCTGGGTGAGTTTCATTGACTTGGTAATGTTAGAGCATGTGGCCCAGAATTCATCTGGTCCAGCATTCTGTCCAGACAGTGGCCAACCAACCGTGCATGGCAATCCACAAGCAAGACATGAGGGCAACTTGTCCAGTGTTGGAAAGAAAAAAAGTTCTTTTCTTTCGTCCACAAAAGAAAAACATTTCTGTCCCTTGCCTTAATCCATTCAACCTTTTGTTTCCCATCTCATGTGCCTTCGCAAACTGCCTACCTATTATAACTGCCTATTCTGTACAGTTGAATTCTTCATAGACAGACTTTTCTCTAGCTACCTTACATGCGTGTAATTTCCCTGTTTGTCTGAATAAACTAATGTTATTTTGAGTGTACACCCCCAGCAGACCTGTGTTCATTGTCTCCTGACACCAGCAACCAGTGTACATAGGCACACCACTTCTAATACCAAAAGTAGCACATAAACTTCAGGACTAGCAACTGTGGAATTCATTTACACTACTGGTGTAAATGAATTCCACAGATGATCTAGTTGCTGTGATGTGGCCCAAGGAAAGTGGTTGAAAGTGAAAGAATGGCAATTCTGATCAACTCAGGCTAATATATTGAGTCATGTCAGCAATCCTTCAAAATAGAAGCTGTGATTTATCTGGGATAGTTATAGAAAATTTTAAAAAATGAACCATATGCATTGATTTTATTTATATCCCAGCTTTCTGACAAAAAAGATGCTTTATTTTTATTTGTATTTCACATTGCACTGTGAGCTGCCCAGAGAGCCTTCAGCTATGGGGTGGCATACAAAGGTGATAAATAAATAAATAGCACAAGCATAATTAAAAGATAACCACTGAAATCAGATTTCCCTCCTGGATGCTGGTGGCAAGATTTACTCTCCTATTTAAAATTGGACTTCATCCCTAATCGCTTTACTGCCCCCTGCAGGACCAGCCTGCAAATGCATTTATAATCCCATGGCACCTCCATGTTGGGGTGGACAGAAAGTTCCTTTCCACATGTTTGGACTTCAGTTCCCAGCATTCCTGAGCATTGACCATGCTAACAGAGACTGCTAGGAATTCAAGTCCAAAACATCTGGATGTCTCCCTCCTGCGCACCTCTGATCTATATTATAAAACTTGGGAGTTCAGCAGGTACATCACCCACACATTTCCAAACTCTGCTCTGTAGTAATGAAGACTAGAAAATTATTTCAAACATATTAAAACTTCATTTGGGTGGGTGGAGGGTTGATGATCAGTGTCTGGCATTCTCTGTTGTTCTTCTTTGATCATTCTCTGTGGTTGTCCTTGATGCAATCTTCTGTTTTCTGTCATCTTTTTTCAGTCTTCTTTTCCTCCCTGACGTCTCTTCAGGCAGAGGAATTTTTTGATATGGTGGCCACGGTCCAAGCTCGGAGGCTTAATGATCAGCGTGCTGATTTTGCAGGGGCTGAAAACACAAGTGCAGAGAACTCAGGGGTCTCCGAAGAGCAACTCTATGACACTATTTTAGCTCATCAAGTGAGTATCCTGGTCCACACAGCAAGTCCAATGGGGTGCAAGCACTGACCTTTTCATGATTATCTTCATTCCCTCTGCATCCAGACTGTGAGTGTTGATCCTTATGTAGCAAAAACAGCACAACCCACACAAAAGTGAGAAGTGCCAGGAGGCTTGTAGGAATGCCAAGACTTGCAGGAAGATGTACAGAACAATTCCTTAAGGGAGAACCCCCCCCCCCCCAAAGATCCCCAAAATGGTCCAGTGAAAACTGAGCATGCACTGATGGCAGAATGCTGCCTGTCGAGGTGGCAAGGAGTGGCTGGAATCCTAAACAGGGGTGATCCACTCTCTGACATTTTGCTGCATATCCCACTTCCTAAACCAGCCTTCCCCAGCTGGGACCGCAACTCCCAGAATTCCCATCCAGCAGGGCCATTGACTGAGGAGTCTGGTGTTGCAGTCCAAGCATGTCTGGAAGGCTGTCCTAAACTGCCAGGCCCTTTGGCCATGCTCTGAGTACAACTGTAATACTACATAGTTGCTTATAGGTGCTAGTTTGGGTAGAAAAAAACGCCTGCATAGTTGCCCGACACATCTCCTGAACTTTGAAAATCTGGGAGACAGGTTGCCACTGACCTGCCTCATACACAGATTTTTGTGGGCTGGGGGTCCAGACATCTTCCATTTGTAACCCTCCCATCAGGGGTATTGTTAGGCACTGAAAATATTGAGGGCCTAGCTTCATAAGACACAAACCTGCATATGGTTTTCATGTGCCTGCCTGCCTGCGTGCATATAGACATTTAGAAATAATTACTGTGATTTGTTTATTTAAATTGCTTGGAAGGCAAAGCCGGCCATTTAATTTCTCTTTCAAACCTTCCATTAAAAGAATTATGGAATTAATTTGCAGCCCATCTCACCTCAGGTCATTCAAGTGCACTAGTTCATTTCCCTTACACTTCTTTCACTTTCCCTCATGTAGGAAAGTTGCCTCCACCTGAATAAATTCTTTGACTGGCACCAAGAGTAGTTTTTTTCTATGCTAAATCACCATGCTGGACAGGGGCTTTTGAGCAGGACACAGCATGCAGGGAGGGGAGTGTTAAATTATGCCACTTGAGCTCAGAAAAAAACACAACACTTTAGCTTTAGTGGAAGGCTTTTTATAAGCTTAATTGCTCTGCTGCATGGGGAGCTGGGGGTGTTGCAGTGTTAACCTTTCCCTCCCCAGCTGCAGTCCCCCTTGAACATTCCCCCCCCCCCACACACACACACATAGCAGTTAAGTTAGGAGGGAAAAACCTCTTCCATTGGCATTAATGGAAACTCAGGGCTCTGGAGAAATAGAATCAAGGGACCCATGGCCCAAGTCTTGCAGCCCCCTGCCTCCTGAGTTGCCCCCATGCGGCTTCTGTCTTTTTCTTTACCTCAGAAAATCCATTAAGGACAGCAGGTGGACTTTCAGCACAGTGCCTTCTGATTGGTAGCACTGCAAGCCATGGTTTTCTCCCTGCACCCAGTCTGGAAGGACCAAATCTTCTTCCCCCATGATCATACCCCTGTCTGCACTATTTGATCTGAAGACCAAAATAATCCATATAGGTGTCTCACTTGCTTTCCTTGGGATTGGACTCCAGCATTCTGTCAAAAGCAGAACAAGAACTATTGAAAGCCTTTCTGGTCCTTTCTTCAAGCCAAAAGTATACAACGTGGCTGCCTTTTCCTATTGCCATTTCCAGAGATCTCTTGTTTCGCTCTGCCACTCTTCAGTCTTCTAGGAACATCCAGTAACTTCCCATTCCACCTCAAGTCAAAATGTCATTTCCCTATTTCCAAACAGTTTGGGGTGGTGGGCAAAAGTTCCTCTGCCACCTTTGGGAACCATATCCAGTAAGCCAAACTATTTCCTCTGACTGTGGGAAACAGCTGTTTTCATCCCCAACTCCAAGTTCAAATACCATCACTCTTCTAGTCATGGAGTTGAATCACCTTCTCCTTTGCCTCCTTCCGTTCCTCAGGACTTGCATGATGATGGAAGCAATGGTGGTGAGGACATCCTGGTAGAGGTCTCTGCAAAAGGCCACCTGGAGATTAGAATGCTGCCATGGAAGGGGATATGGAGATGCAGTTCCCCAGGATCCCACTCCGGATCAGTCGATGCAGTCTAACTGGGAGGATTTGGGGGTAGAAATGTAGTTTGGTTTAAACTGGGACAGGCTCTGTGCCCTGGACAAATCAATATTTTAGGTCAGATAAATAAAGATGTTGATGCCCCCTGCAACAGTCAGCATCCCCCTTTCCCCACAGCAACAGTATTTCTCTTGTACCCTGGCCACCCATGGCCACTAATGTGTCTTTCCTTGCAGAGCCAGCGTCTTGAGGACCAGCGCACTGAGCCCCCCATCCCAGTAGGAGTTCAAGGACTGCTGGATTTGCTGCTCAGAGCCCAGGGGACCCGTATGGAAGATCAGCGCTCACCTCTTCCTCCTGGTCTTGCTGCGCCATCCTTGTTAACAAGACAACCCCCTTTCCTACACAGTGTGTGAATCTCGATGCCTCCTTTCTGCAATTGTGGTTCTTGAGATACCGCACCAAGCTGTGAAGCTTTATATGAGCCTTCTAACCCACCACTTCACCAAGGCTTCTGTTTCCAGATTTTGGGGGATTGAGACTGGATCCTCTACTTCCTTTCCCCCGTTCCAGGTTTTGTTTTCTGCTGCCTTTCTACTTACTGTTGCATTACCTAGCCTCTAGGTGGCACTGGGAGCTAGCGGAACGGAGAGCCCGCTCACTGGGGCTTCCTTCCCCATTACATGGGACTTTCGCAGATCAAAAGACGTGCCACAGCAATGGTTGCAAAGAACATGAGAGGGACCACAGAAAGAAGACATCGTGCTTCTGCTTCATTTCTGTGACTGAGAAATTGTGAGTGTGCAATACATGCCTTGAGTAAAGGAGCTCCTAAATTAAAGGTACTCGGGACTGAGAAACCAAACTCTGTTGAGTCAAAGGCACTGCACCATGTTGCAAAAATAGACAAAACTATGGCTGGCTTTCTCCGGACACAGAACCTCAAATTGCTAATTAATGGCTTCCCCATCAAGATTTCCTACCCTTCAGCAGCATTGCTTTCCACCTGGTGGCAGCAGCAGCAAGTAGCAGGATGTGTTTATTAAAAGTGCGTGTATTACAGTAGCCCGTGTGGTGCAGCTGTCAGAAGGCTGCACTGGGAGATTCAGCTTCTAGTCCCCACTCAGCCACGAAGCTCGCTGGGTGAATGTGAGCCAGTCACATCCTCTCAGCCTAACCTGCCCCGAGGGGGTGATTCTGAGGTAAAATGGAAAAGAGGAGTGTTTAAGCCCTCCTGGGCTCCTTGCTAGAGGAGTGATACTTATAAAATTAATACATAATATTAAGAGCTATGAACAGAAAAAAGAGCATTTCTTTACTTTCAAAGAATTTGAATTTCACATTAAACCAAAGAAAAATTATTATTTTGTTAAGCAATGTGGCTGCAATATATGACCATCTTAAGATGGTGACTTTTCCACTACTTGTCAGGCTAATTAAGCTGGCATATGGACAGGTAGCATTGCACTAGGATTCAGGTTGCAGGGACCCTCGGGGTCCTCTTCCTACAAAATGTATGAGCACCTCCTTCCCATCTTCCCTTATGCCTCTGAGTCTGAGAGGGGAGAGTCCAGGACAGTAACGGAGGTCACTCTGTTTCCTCTCTGGTCATGGCTCACAGAGGGCAGGTGAAGAAGACAGGCAGCAAAGAGAAAGAGCAGCAGGACCAGGAGGCTGTAAGAGCTGGCAGTGGGACCCTGCTGGTGCATAAAAATGGCTACTCCGGTGCCAGTCCTGTAGTCCAGCTCCAGGTTTTTGAGATCCATTGGGCAAGAGACTCCCTGTGGGCCCCATGCCTCGGCGAGTGTCCTTTCACGCTGGTGGCGTCACCAGCTATCCTTGCTCCCATTCCTCTTTCCATCTGTCGCTTGGTGGCAAGCGGAGAATCGGTGCGCAGTTGCCAGTGGCATCTTCGTGCACCACTGTTGCCAGGAATAAGTGGGTGGCGAGCAGGTGATGAGAAGAGTAACTCCATGGGCCTCTGCCTGGCTAAGGACCCTTGGCAGATGCTCAGCCAAGCTGAACCTTGACACCAGTCCCACAGCTTTACCAGGCTGGACCAGCTAGCAGATAATCTCAAGTTCTAAAGTTAGGACTAGATCTGAGCTGGAAAAAATGAAATGTAAATTATTCAAATGTGCTTGTAAAAAACCAGCTTCAAATGCACCTAATTTAAAGCTTTTCAGATCCTGTTTTATTTAGGCACGTCTGTGCTACAAAGTTACCACATTTCCAAATGCCTGGAAGTGGAATGGAAGCTGTCATTCCGGAGACAGGGCTGGTTTTCCTGCTAACCTCCTGCAGTCTCTGTCCAGGCAGCAACTTCCTACATCTGTGGCAAACAGGACAGGCACCTATGTGAAGTATTAGGGCTGGTCGCCCTCCTCACCTAGAATGCTGTCCATGAAAGCATCACTGCTCAACAGAGCTCTGCGCAATCATGTCTTTCAAAGTCAAAACACAGACCAAGGAATTTCATTGTAATAAGGAATGCATCCAGCTGGACTACTACCTACCCACAAACTCAGCATGGACATGGCTGTTATTTCCAGCTAAACTGTTCCAGAGATGAAGAAAACGACAGCAATCCACCACCATGGCAAAAGTGTTGTCGTGTATACACAATTGCACTTTAATGCAATCATAGTAAACTTTGTTGTTGAGCTACTGTCCTGTGCAAATAAATGCATTTCTAAAAATGGTTCATGCTAATGGCAGGAAGGGGCCATGCATGGCAAACGTGCGAGCAAGTTAGGCATGGATGTTGAACCTCTTTCAGATTCTATGTTGGAGAATTTCTTAGCGGTGGCATTCCAATAGTAGGTGAAGCCAAAAGGACAGCATCCAATCCCCACTCAAATGCTGATATATTTTACTTTAAATCTCTTACCGCAAGTAACTAAACCTTTGGAGAGGTATCTCAACCTTTTAGAATAGGAATAAAATGTACAAAGGCCAGGGAACCATCAAAACAATTGGTGAATGGGGGAAAGGTGAACTGGCCATGTGGGAAACTTTGGAAGCCTGGATGTGGCATCTGGGCCTCTCTTGAAATAATGCAACGAAGAATCAGCATTGTGGGAAAAGACGATCATGCTCGCATGGGATGATGGGCAAGGATTCTTGGGTAGCTGGAACAAGCTCTGATAGGGTGTGGAGCCTGTTGGTTCCCGCTTGTTCCTTCCCTTGGAGATGGACAAGCTGCTTACTATTTCCTTAGTGTTACAGCTGAGCCCTATCCATGCTGAAATGGAATCAACAGAAGTCCTTCAAATATTCCTTTATTCACATGTTTGGAAGTTGGAAATGGGAGAGGACATTTTCAGTGGTGGTTCCTCAGCTTCAGGGTGGACTATTTAGTTCTTTCGTTTTTATACTGCTCATTAGCCAAAGCTCCCTGGAAGATGAACCAAGTTAAAAATAAGAAAGACATAAAACAGTAAGACCACAGCAATGGTGATCAAATCAGCACAGAGCTATAGTAGCAGTACAGGATAAAATGCAATATTGAACACTAAAGTTAAAAAGTTATCCATTAAAATACTGGATGAATAAAAAGGTTTTCACCTGGCACTAAAATAATAAAGAGTAGATGCCAGGTACACCTCTTTGAGAAGCTCATTCCAGAGCTGGGGTGCCACAACCGAAAAGGCCCTTCTGGTGGCTACCCTAACTCCCTTTGGAGGGTGCTCCCAGAGAAGGACCCCTGAAGAAGGCCACAGGGTCTGGGTAGGTACATCTAGGACAAGGTGTCCCTTCAGATAACCTGGCCCCAGGCCATTTAGGGCTTTGAATGTTAATACTGGCACTTTGAATCAGGCCTGGACTTCAACTGGCAGCAAATGGAATTGGAAGAGGACAGGCATAACATGTTCTTGTGGGCCAGTCCCCATTAACAGTCTAGCTGCCCCGTTTTGGATCTGTTGCAGTCTCTGGACCATTTTCAAAGGCAGCCCCATGCAGAGTGCATTTCAATAGTCCAAACGAGAGGTTGCCAGAGTGTGGATTACTGTAACCAGGCTCTGCCTGTCCAGGAAGCATCCTAGCTGATACATCAGCTTAAGCTACTAAAAGGTCAATGCCACTGAATACACTCCTAACCATACTCAATGTCTTTCCAGTGCCAGGTTAAGAATTTTCTGTACTCCCAGGCTTTACAATTTTAAAACTATTTTTTGTCTTCAAAACAGAGTATTTTAGTCCTTGCATGATGATGCTGCATCCATCATGACAGGCTCCATAGCCACCCTGCAATGAGTGTAGAAAAGTTCAGGATGTTGTGTTGACTGTGATCTTGGCAAGGATGGGTTGTTAGGTCCGGTGACAAGCCACCCTAAAGCATGCCATAGATTCTGGTTGTCTTGCCAATCAGCAGAACAACCTACCCTTGCCAGGTTCACACAGCATGAGACACTACAGCACACATCTGCCACCGCTCAAATATTCGAAAGGGCAACCAAAGACCCCACAGGGAAATTCAGCCGCGGTGGCCTCTCACCACGGCAATCAGGATTACAAGCACTCAAGGATGGCCTCTGTGGCGATCCGACACTGCAAGATGCAGGCAGGTGATTTTGACCATCGAAGTCCTTTGCCCATGCTTGTGAGGGGGAGGGGCTGAGGCACAGCCAGGTTTTCTCTATCCTGGCGGACCCCACTCCTGGACTGACCCCTGGAACGCTGCTCTCTGCTCTGGCTCAAGTTGCACTGCCTTTTCGGAGCCCATGCAGGAAGGACTGTGCCAGCTGAAAGGCCGGGGGGGTGGGGTGGGGGGCACTGCCAGATCAAGGCCTGAGCTTGGACCGTGCAATGCATTCCTGAAGGTGGAGCTGGCACTCCCACCTATCCAGTGGCTATCTCAATGCCGTAGGATTTGACCCTCATGTATTTGAACTGATACCCTACCCTTCCACAAATCGTGTCTTGAGGCAGCTCACACTAAATTATGGGTACACTAAAAATCATCATTACAGTAGAAATAGAGCACACAAATGGCACCCACTAAATCAAAATCTTCCTCAACAAAATTTGAGCAAATGGCTGGCTGGGGAATGCACACCCCTATGTGCTTCTGATAATGGGGACAGAGAGAGAAGGCTTTCCTGAGGATCTTAAAATCCAAGCAACTTCACGTGGCAGAATGCAGCCTTCCAAGAGCCTGTTACCAAGCAATATAAAGCTGAGCAGCATTTTGAATTGGCCCTGAAAGGAACCAGCAGTCAGTGAAACTGTTGTGACTTTCTTCTTATAAAATAAGTCGGGTTCCTGGGTAGAGTGAAACCCTAAGCAAAGAGTTTCTGGCCTGTTGAGTCACTCATGTGAGTAAGAGGTTCAAAGTGGAAGCGAACAAGGGTACAAGTAAGCCATGCCTTCAGGGTAAACCCGTGGTCCAGGCTGATCAGAAATACTGTGCCGATGAAGTAATTAATTGGTTATGTCATAGAAAGGTCCTCTGTGGAAGGCAAGACCATTGAGCTGCGTCACCTTGCACAGTGTCTATGCTGTTTCAAGCTGAAAAACTGTTGCAAAAGAGCATCAAGAATGCAGTGGCTGAGTCAGGAGCAGTGCCTGGAGTTGCAAGAATGACTGACTGAGAGAAAGGTGTCAATTCCAGGGAAAATGGATAGTGCGGGAGTCAAAATGGAGCAGGCAGCTCAATCCTATGGCCGCTGGACAGCCTCTCGACTGGGAGTTGGAGCGCAGAGCACCTTCCCCAGACTCACCGCCAACACAGGCAGAACTGCACTGGCTCCTTCTGCAAGGCTGCGAACCAACCTCGGAGGAGGGGTTGAGTGGCCACTCTGGGGCGACAGGAAAAGGAGGAGACCAGCAGTGCTGCCATATGAGGCATCCCAGCAGCACCTCAGCCTTCTAGCCTCGCACTCCAGGGTGCCACTTGTAGAGAACTGAAGTTGGCTGCCTGGGCGCTTCGAAGGAACACGGAAGCAACCTCTGCTTCTGCACTTCTACCCCGCATCATAGGACCCTTTGCAAGCAAGGGTCCAGAACTCTGGCCTTTGGCAGCCTTTGACTGATGGGCTTCTATGATCTGTCAAAAGGGGGTGGGGGCAAAAGACGATTTAACTTCCCTGCACCCTGGGGGCAGGACAGCTGAATAGGAGAGGTTCCTACTGCACTTAACCCGCAGGCACGCCACCTGCTGAATACCCAACAACTTCCCTGTTGCTCTTCCTGCAATCGTATGCAGCTGCAAAAAGGGTAATGCCAAAAATAAAATAATAAAAAATATTTGCAATTGATTTGAAAAGGGGTGTGTGCGTGAAAACATTCTCATGGGAGAAGGCAATCATGCAGGAGGAAGCTGAAGGCAGAAGAAGAGGCAGACCAGCTATGAGGTGGGTTGACTGCAGAAAGGAAGCCATAGCTGCGAACTAAGAAGAGCCGAGCAGGGCTGTGGAGGACGGGGCTCCCCTTCGTAGGGCCTCCCTAAGTCAGAGATGACTTAATGGCACGTAAGCAATAGCAACAGCCATGCGGCTCACTGGATGCTTTTGGACCAATCACTCTTATTCTAACCTACCTTGCAGGGTCGTTCTGAAGATCAGAAGGAAAGGAGGTGGATTGGGTAAGCTGCCTCTGGGACTTTGCAGTAAGAAAGGTGGGATATAACAATAACAACAACAACAGCCACAACAACAAAAATCGGCGTTTGAGTATCATAATATTTCAATGACAATATGTATTAAAAATGTTTAAATAATTACAAATTATTGCTATTTATTTTTTTCTTTTCCAAAAAGTCATTGCTCAGCATAGCAAACAGAGCAGCTTTCCCTCACTTTTAGCCCCCATTATCCCCAGCCACCACGGCTGGTTGGGTGGGGATGCTGGGACTCGTAGTCCAACCCGTCAAGCGCCGCAGGTTGGCGAAGTTTGCCGTCGAGCCCGGCCGGACTGGCCGAGACCTCCGAAGAGGAGGAGCCGTCTTTCGGCGGGGAAAGGAAGAGGCGCTGCGGCCGCCTTGGCTGTTTGTTTGTTTCTCGCAGGAGTGACTTCTCGGCCGCCTCGCTCCGCCCCGGCGGCCCAGAGTGGCATCCAACCCATCAGCCACGTCAGCCGGGAAGCCGGCAGCCCTGGCCGTGGGCGGGCGGGCAGGAGATCGCCCCGACGGCGGGACCCTCCTCAGCGGCCGCGACCATGGTTCTGCTGACGATGATCAGCCGGGTGCAGGACGGGCTCCTCCTGGCAGCGTCGATGCAAGAATCGGAGCAGGTAAACGGGGAGCCGGAGGACCGGGCGTCCGGGGCGCGCGCAGCTCCGCCGGCCCCTCCACCCCCGTCTCCAACCACTAGGCCGGCCTTCCTTTCCCCTGCAGGCCCACCTCTGCAGCCTCTTTTTACAACCCTCAGCTTTAGTTTTTAGCTGCCCCCGGATTGGTTTTTGACAACCCTAAGAGCAGTGTGAGGGGGAACTTTACAACTGTTTATCCTCACTTCTTCTTTTCTTAAAAAAACAGCTAATGGGTTTATGGATTGTTTTGAAGTGGCAAGACCCCATTCCAGGCACCAACTTCAGTAAGGCTTACCTCCGATTAAATAGGCAAAATATTGTCTCAATTTTTAAAAATCTCTCTGCACACCCCAATTTCATTTGGAGGGGTTCTTTGCTAACTTTTTAACATGTGTGCAGTAAGCAGGTTTTTGTGTTAAAAGTTCCCCTGCAGTTTTCACCTGCTTCCCTATTAGGGGCCCTCCAGATGCGTTGGACTACAACCCCAAGCATCCCCCAGCCTTTGACTGCAGGATGCTGGGAATTGCAGTCTAACACATCTTGAGCGTCCCAAGTTGGGGCAGGTTTTTATTAAAGAACAGAAGTTCTTTTCCTGGCCGCTTGGACTCACTGAATCTTGCCCAGTCCTCCCCAACCTGGTGCCTATAACAGCTGTTGTGGTCCAGGGTATGATGAGGAAGACTTGGGTTTGCCTCCAGGGCTGGCACTGTACCATCTTGCATAGAAAGGACATGCCAGATGTTTGCTGTGGGTCCAGCTTTAAAAGCATCAGCTCAGAGCTGCAATAGCCCCTATGCAGGTGTCACAGCTGGAACAGATGCACCCCCCAAATGGCAGAAACTGGGAGCAAATCGCTGGCTTCATGGCCAGGGCTATGGAGTCAGAGTCAGAAGCAGTTCTTGGGTTACTGGGGTCAGAGTTGGTAAAAATGTACTGACTCCAACTCATAATAAATGTAAATTGTAATAGAAATAATGTTAAAATTTCCAATTGCACAGATAATTGCACAATAATATTTATTTATTTTATTCTTTGGCCAGGGTGACTTAATTTATACTGTTAAATTATATTGTTTTATAGGATGCTATTTATTTACGTTTGTGAGCCGCCCCGAGGCTTCGGCGAATGGGGCAGCATAGAAGTTCTCTAAATAAATAAATAAATAATAAATTCCACACAGGATCTATTTTAACAGGTCAGGGCTCTGAAAAGTAGCCTGCTAATTCATGCTGGGAGTGATGAAACGTCTTGTAGGTCGAGTGCTTGCAATTAGTATAGGAAATTAATTAGTATAGCAATTTCCTATATTGATGTAGAAATACAGGAGCTGGAGTCAAAGGTTTCATGTGTCAGCTCCACAGCCCTGTTCATGGCCCAGTTTCTGAGCTTCCCAAGGGTATTTGGTGGGCCCAAGTGGAAAATAAGGTCTGTATCCCACTAGGCAATTCTTATGCTCCCTTTAGCCATCTCAAAAGTAGGTATGCTTTGCCACTGGTGAATGGACTGCCCTACTGGAACTGGTTTACTGCGGAACTTCAGTCCCCATCTTTGGTATGACGAAAATAAAATTAGCCTACCTTGCAAAGCTGTTGTAGGGATTATTGTGGTTATGTGTATTTGTGAACTACTGAACACCTGGAGCATGCAATGCTGTTTCTAGCTTCAGTGGTCACGCTATGAGTGTGAGCTTTTGAGTTCTGCAGAACATTGATCTAGGATAACCTTTCCCAACCTGCTGCCTTCCAGAAGTCTTGGACCGTGACTCCCAGCATTCCCACTCCTCTGGAGGACACCAGGGGGGGAAGGCTGGACGAAATAGCACAAAGACGTCCAAAGTTCTGGCCAGAAATCTTGGCCACGAGGTCTACCGTTTAGTTTCCAAATGGAGATGCGCCTCCGGAATGATTCAGGGCACAATTCTGTGGCAATGCCTGTAAGTCCCCAGACTTGAGGGCTTGTAGTCCCCCATTGCAGAGGCAGAGGGGCAGGTGAGGCAGCCCTCACCTTCCTGGCCTCTCGCCCTGCCTGCTTCTAGTGGAGCGTCTGGCAGAGCATTTTGGAGGGGAATGGAAGGAGGCCGGGACAGTTTCAGAATATCTCATCTCCTGACCTCTTTAGTGTGCTCCTCTCCCTACCCCTGAACCCCCCATCCCCGATCTCCAAGGTCACTTTTCCAACCTCAAGAGCACACCCAGCACTGTTCTTTCCACGCCAGCTGCAATGGGGCAGATTCGGTAACCTAGGAAGAGAACCTTTTTGGCTAACGGGGTGGGATGTAAATCCAATGAATAAATGAATGAATGAACCCCCAAAGCAAGAGTACTGCCTCAGACATCAGATCTGGGAATCTGCCTTAGCCCAGGACTCCACAGATGCTGTCTAGGGATACAGAACGGCTCCTCAGTCACTGGTGGGTGTTGCAGGTATCAGTGGCCGTACGATGGTACCAGCCACGCTCTGGGCTTTATTTCTTTCCCATCCATCTTTCCTATGGTGTAACCCCTTTTGCAAGCTTTCTGAAAAAAACAGAGCTCTTGCACAGTGCAACACAGAGATCTTTCCTCTGCAGTCGAACCGGAACTTCCAAGAATATCACAACCAAGCCAAGCAGCTTTTCCGTAAACTTGGGGACCATTCGCCAAACCGGTGCTCCCTGGAAGCTGGATCAATGACTTTTCAGTAAGTGCCCGCAATGCCTTGGAGGAGAGAAGGGATGGGATCCCAGCATCCCACCACTCTTAGAGTTCATTGCATGCACCTTGTGTTTTCATTAGTGGCATCAAAGTAAGGAATCCCCTAATGAAATCCACAAGCCCCATGCTGAATTCCCAGTATATTGCCCCTGTGGGGGATGTGAACCCTCATCTCTCTCTATAATATGAATATAATGTGTTTTAGGGAGAAATCTTAATGCATGTTAGCCTGAAAATATCCTACCACCCCAGCATTCCCCAGTCTGCATAGCACTGTCAGAGTTTTTTCTCTGCAAATCGGTATAGAATTGCACCCTTATGCAGGGTGGGGAAATAATACAGTCTCCTGTAGAGATCCTTGGCTTTTATTGTTCTAGCCTGTGAAACCGTAAATAAAATCATATATTGTTAAAACCAGGGAATCAGGAAACCTTTGCCAACTAGGGCATAGCTGCTGCTTTTGGTATTTCAGGGTATCCAGACACCACAAAAGATACACACAGGCAGGTATGTGGGGCCAACTAAAATCTTATGGACTAGCAGCATTCTCTGAAGTTGTTTGCAAGGCTGCTACTACTAGGGTTGGGACAGATTCTAGTGGAGTCGGTCCCTCTAGCATTTCATTGACTTCCTCTGATTCTCAGCCTGGTCTCAAGCTGAGAAGAAGTCCACGAACGCTCGCAGAATGAAGGTTGCGCATCTGGCAACCTTCTTCTGTGTTGGATGCAGCAGCAAAAAGGTTGCTGCAGCTCGTGCAGAAGAGAAACGCTGTTTGCGTAGGGCATGGGGCTTGATTCCTAGCCAATGTCCCGAGAATGCTGGCACGCTTGCCACGAACTCAGACTCCGGGCCGCTGGAGAGCCAAGCCCAGGGAATCGAATGGATTCCCACTCCCAGATGCAGTCCTAGCTCCTGCTCACTTATCCCTGGACTGAAGAGATGAAACACAAAACATTTCCCTTTTTGTGTTCTCTGCATTGCAGTTATCTGATCAGCCAAGGCATTTGCTATCTGACGCTGTGCGAAGCTTCCTACTCGAAGAAGCTGGCCTTCTCCTTCCTGGAGGAGCTGCAGGCTGAATTCTGGGAGCTGTATGGGAAGAAAGTGTCCTCTGTTTCGCGACCTTATGCCTTCATTGAGTTTGGTATGTGCTACAGTGAGGGGAGCACGCACTCCGCTGCCCAGCCCATCACCACGCTAGACCTCATGGTGTAATCCAGCTTCCCCACTTGATGTCCTCCAGATGTTTTGACTGCAACTCTCAGCATTTCTGGCCTTTGCTGCCTGTGGATGATGGGAGTTACACTGAAAACATTCAAAGGGCACCAGGTAAGGGATTATATCTTTATTGGGTAATGCACATTTCTTTTTTTGAGAGATGCTGAACCTCTTTTAACCAGAAGGCTGCATATAGTTTCAGATTAAAGCTCCAGGGAGGTGGGCTTGAAGATAAAAGGGGCTGAGGCCACAGCAAAAGGGCAGGAGCAACGCGACTTTTGTTTAAGCTCTTAGTGCCAGTAACTAATCCTTAGGATAAGCACTGAAACTTTTTATGATGGGAAAACAAATCCATTCAAAAGCCGATGATTGGCGGTCAGGGGAAAGCGCCAGACTGGAGCACCGAGTGTCCCCTGAGCTGGCCCACTGGCCCGCAGTTCAACACCCCTGGTTTATTCCACAAGCTTGTTGCCCTAGTCACTTCTGCATGTGAACGGAGATATTTTTTCTCCTGCTCTGTAATTCTGAGGTTCAGGGCTGCCCAATGACATGGATTTGGGAGAAACAAAAGAAAGTGTTCACGCGATGGTCTCTTTGTGTACAAAATCTGACGACGAGGGACCCACTGATGGCAAGTGGGTTGATGGCTTTAAAGGGGGATTTGCCAAATTCACGGAGGAGGGTGAGAGCTCTGTCTGGACTGCAGGAAGATGCCAGGACTCTTGGTCTCCAAAGGGCCCAGTGGCTTTGTTGGAGAGGAATGGTGGTGGTCCAGCACTCCTGAAGGGGAAGGCTACCTAGAACACAGTCAGTCCCAGAACTGATGAACTCCTCTTTTCCAGACCTTTATATCCAGAAGCTGAAGAAATCATATCTGGATACCTGGTCAAAGCGCCACCTGAGCAGCATCAACGTGGAGCTACAAGATGTCCAGAAGATCATGGTCACCAACATCGAAGAGGTGCTCCAGCGCGGGGAAGCCTTATCAGGTACTGGCTTGGAGGAAATGAGGAAGTCGGCAAATCTCTATATTGCATGTGTGGTGTAGTTTTGGGGGGCAGGGTATTATTTCAGGAGCAAAGCTCCCAACTCTCAGGAAATGGAGTAGACTAAAGCAATTGGATGGTTGTGGAGGTGTCTGTGACCTTGCGCGTCCTTGTAAATATGAGGATGGGTCGGAGTAATAACACAGGAATCTGCTCTATATCTGATCCACCCCACATGGGTTCTTTTGTACATGAGAGATGCAGCACCTCAGGCTCAGGGCCCACACCTTCCCCTCTGGGGTCCTTTAGATCAGGGTTCTCAACCCTTTTTTTGCTCATGACCCCCTTCGGAGCCTCATATACCTCTGCAACCCGCCTCACAGTCACTCTTAGCTGGAAAAAGGGTACTTTACCATCTGCACTGTGGTCTTCTAGAAATGCAACACTTAACTGTGCCTCCCTAGAAATACCGCACCCCTCCCCCCCGTGGGGCGGGGACATACGACCCACTGCCTTAGATGGCCATCCTACCTTCGCTGGCCCTGCCTCATTTCCCCAAAGTGCTGACGGTTTGGTGATTTCAAGGCTCATGCAGTTTTCCCCCATTCTAAACCGTTGCAATGCCTAAGGCTTAGTTCCCGCCAGTTTAGAGCTTTAAGCCAAAACTCCTGGATTTTTTTTCCCGTATTTCACATCATTCCTTTTGCTCTTTCTGTCATCAGCATTGTCCACCATGGGAATCTGAACCTCAAGAGCTTGTTCAAAAGGAGTTTGGCGGAGTTTCTGCATCCTTGCCTTACTCTAACAAAGAGCACTACTCCAGCAGCTCAGACACAGACCTAACCAAAGTAGAGGTGGACATACCAATCTGGTTCACTTTCTTCTTTGTTGTCGTTAGTCGCGAAGTTGTGTCCGACCCATCCCAACCACATGGACAACATTCCTCCCGGCCTTCCTGTCCTCCACCATCCCCCGGAGTCCACTCAAGCTTACACCAACTGCTTCAGTGACTCCATCTAACCACCTCATTCTCTGCCGTCCCCTCCTTCTTTTGCCCTCAATCGTTCCCAGCATTAGGCTCTTCTCCAGGGAGTCCTTCCTTCTCATTAGGTGGCCAAAGTATTTGAGTTTCATCTTCAGTTCCTGGCCTTCTAAAGAGCAGTCAGGGTTGATCTCATCTAGGACTGACTGGTTTGATCGCCTTGCGGTCCAAGGGACTCGCAGGAGTCTCCTTCAGCCCCACAATTCAAAGGCCCCAATCCTTCAGCGCTCAGCCTTCCTTATGGTCCAGCTTTCACAGCCATACATTGCATGCTTTCTTCTACATTCAGTTATTTACAACCTCAAGTACTTTTTGCCCCATATGTGAAGAAATTAAAAATTTTAACATTCTTATTTTCAAATAACAGATGGAAACAATATTCTTCCCCATCTGCACCAGCCAATTCTACTTGTTCCAGCAACACCCAGCCTGCCTGGATGCCACCTGTCTATCATATGAGGAGCCCGCTAGGGCAAAAAGACAGCCATGCTTGTGAACCCATCCACAAGCATGGTTGACAGAGAGATTCAAAGCCAGACTTGTGAGAGCTACGCATCCAAAGTCCTGGGTCTGGATGGACAGATCTGTCAGTTCCCCCCACATTTCTTTCAATCTCAAGCTCTTTCTGTCCTCTTTATGAGGAAATGTGCTTGTCTGGTTAGTTTCTTATTCAAACAAACTGAACAAAATTCTCGCCTACCCCATGTGAGCTCTAGCTTGGTCCATCTGGCTCAGCCTTGTTGTTGGGCATCAGCTCTTCTGAAGGTGTGTTGAGTGAAACTTTGGTGTCTTGAATATGCATTTTTGGAAATACATTAGGAAACCTCATCTTTGTTTTTCTTTTTTTCCCTCTTCCCCCCATATCTCTGCTATCAGCTCTGGATTCCAAAGCCAGCAACTTGTCGACTCTCTCCAAGAAATACCGTCAGGATGCCAGGCTCCTCAACAGCCGCTCTGCTTATGCCAAAGCTGCCGCCTCTGGCCTGATTTTTGTGGTACTTATGCTCTATGTACGCTTTTGGTGGCTTGTGTGACTGTGCGGCCTTCCCTCTTGCCACCCTCCGCCCCATCTCTTCGGTCCTGCCTCATTTGGGACACCTGAAGCAAAAAGGGCATGTGTTCCCAGCCATCTCGTCCGAGGCAGAACCAAGATAAGCAGTGCCCTCTCCAGGAGAAATGTGAACTATGATTTTTTTCCGAGAAAGTGTTCAACTTGTTATAAAGAGATGATTTTCAATACAGCATTTTTGGCCACCTTGTGGCCAAAACTAAAACGATGGTTTAGAAGTCTGGTGGAATGAAGACTTATTTAAAATTGCTAAAGATTTTGTTGTGCATTGAATGCATAAAGTGTTTGACACTATCTTCTGCCTTCAGTAAAAAGAGGGACGGTGGCAAGGAGAGGAAAAGAGTTCCTAAGAAGAGCCTCCATACTGAAAGAGCCTGTGGCACCACTGACAGATTTATCATGTCACAGCTTTCTGCCACAATAACTCTGTACATTCTTAAGATCCACCAGTCTGTGTGTCTTTAGTGGAAAAGACTAGAACACTGCTCCCTCAAAAGCAATCTTATGCATAAAAAGTTGGGTGTCTTGTGCCTCTCCCCACCCCTGATTTTTTTTGCAGCTGGACTCCTTTGACGGTAGACATTCAACTGGTCAAGCTGCTGTAGCTGCATCTCCATGCTGGAAACAAGCCGGCCTTTGGTCAGCTTAACAATTGTTAAAGCTACTGAGCTTCACCCGAAAGAAAGCTAGCAGTCTCATGCGTGAGCATGGGGACTCCAGAATAGGTGGCTTTCAAGATATGTTGGACTGGAAATCCCATCATCCCTCGCCATTGGCTCTGCCGGCAAGGGCTGGTGGGAGTTGCGGTCCACCATCCCTGCTTTGTTGCTACATCCATTCTGCGCCACCAGGCGGGATGAAGTGCAGTTGCCATATTAGCTCAGGGCAACAGCTCATCAGGGTTGTGACAATACGCAGCAAAAGCGAGAGGAGTTGTTAAGGCCCCAGCAGTACCTGGGGCTGGACTGCACTTGGCCTGGATGCTTCGCTATAGAGGTACAACAAAATTCTGAGCCTGGCGCCCTGCAGGTGTGTTGGATGCAAACTCCCATAATTCCCAGGCCACATGGCCGTGCTAGCAGGGAATTTCGGAAGTTGCAAGGCAGCCAATCTGCAGGGCGCCAGGGAGGGGTAGCTACAGCTCTTGTGTTTCTCGACATACATTTTAAATCTGCTGAATGCCTGCCCTTTGCCAAGTTGCTACAGGCATGGGAGCACCGCTTACAGGGAAGGACCATCGCAGCTGGAAAGAATTGTGATTCCATGAAATGTACACCGTCCAGAGGGCCCTAACAGGGCTACCAGTGTGGTCTATAAATTTAATAAATAAACCGGAGGGTGGGGTTGATGTTTGTTTTAATCAAGATAATGGTGTTTTTTCAATAAATATTATTTTTCAGGAAACTTGAGTTGGATGACTTGACAAGAAAAAATGCCCTTTAGGAAAAACAATCGCCACATTAAAAAAAAAAAAAAGGGATTAAAAAGTGATTATTTTAAGAGTGTATTTTCTAATGTTCAGGGCTTAATTGGTCCAATATTTTTTGTAAGTGTCAGTTCTAGAAGCAATTCTCAACTCTAAGACATGTGATTTATACACACACACACACACACACACACACACACACACAGTGTGAATTTATATAATGATCCAGTGTGGCAGTTAGAATGTTGGGCTGGGAGGGCAGGTGATCTGGGTTCAAGTCCCCACTCAGCCATGAAGCTCATCACCTGACTGGGCCAATCACAGACTCTCAGCCCAACCTACCTCACAGGGTTGTTGTACCGATAAAATGGAGCCATGTAAGAGGGAAAAAAGTGGCATATAAATGCAATATAATGGTAATATTTTATAATATAGAACAATATATAATAAATATGATTAATGATATCTATTATCATACTATAATAAACTATCAGCTATAGACTATAGTATAATATAGTATAATATATACTATATTATACTAATATATCAGCAGTGGCCTACCCAGGACGCCAGTGGTTTTGCAGTGGCAGGGTTACGGGGAATAGATGCTGTGCGTTCTCAAAGATGCTTTACCCTTTTCTTACATGCCGTGGGCTTGTTTGCTCCAATTAAACCCGGAGCCTGAAGGAGAGGATGCTGAATCAAGGAGAAAAGGACAAAACAAATGCTCCTGAAGTCTGATAGCTAGGATAGTATAATCCTGTGCCATACTGACTCAGAACTATGCCCCACTGACTACTGGCCTTTACTCCCAGGAAAATGTGCATAGGATTACCTGAACCATAGAGAGTGACCCTGAGTATACTGCAGCCTTTGGCAAGTGGGCACCTCACAGATGTCCTGGACCAAAAGTCCCAGCATCCCCAATCATTGGTCACACTGATTGGGGCTGTGGATTTTGTAGTCAAAACACCTAGAAGGCTGGTATGCAGCATATCCACCGATGGGGCTGCTAGCAACAGAAGGGAATGCCTCCCCGCTTCTCTTGATCTTCTTGCACTTGCTTTTCTCAAATTATTCTTGGCTGGCTCTGCTTGATTACAGAGGGGAAGGCTTCCTTGTTGCAGGTGTTATGGGGGCTGAAGGATGTGGCTCATCCTTTGGGAGTTCCTCATTTTGTGAGGACTGAGGAGAGAGCCTCACAAGCTGCCTGCGCTTTCCCCCTGCCTCAGGCAAGGAGGCAGTGGGTGGGGAAGATTAGCCTCAAAGGAGCCACATTGAGCACTGTAGCCATACTTACTGATAGGGAGGGAACCTTCACAGTTCTGGAAACTGAAAACAGGCTGCCTCTTTCAGCATGTACGTACTTCCTAGGCCTGGCTTGCTTAGGCTCAGCTTAGATAGGCCTAGACTCCCTTGCTGTCTGACACGGCGCCAGTAGAAAAGCAAAGTCAAGTCTAATGATAACAGTGTAGAGAGGGGAATTGCAAGTCAGAAAAGTGTCAGTAGGACACGCTGCTGGAAGAACCTTGGCCTTCGGCTTGTAACAAGCCCTGATGCAGGCGGCTCTGTAGGCCTCAGGCTGTGTGAAGCAGAGTCACTGCTGACCCAGGTCATCATCCTGCTGTGTGACAGCAACCTCAGACATGCTCTCAGGCAACCTCTGACATCCCACGTGGGGCACCGTCATGCTTCCGTGCAGAGCACCGGATCCGCTCGCAGGCACTGCTCGCCTCCAGTCAGCTTCCAGGCAACTCCCCGCAGCACCACCGTTCTGGCCCGCACGACCTCAGCAGGCTGCCCCACTTCATGGCTGCAGGCGCCATCTTGGACTCACAGGCTGGCATCTGTCCAATTCTCACCCAGAGGGGGCGGAGTCAGTCAGCAGGGGGCCCCACGACATCTCCTGACGGGCCAGCAGGCAGCTTGGGAGAGGGGTGATTGGCAGGGCCTTCCTGCTCCGGGACGGGAGTTAGCCGTGGCTGGTTGCTGGGCTGCCAGGGCAACCTGCCTAGGCCGGCAGCAGCCCGATGGGCCTGTGGCCGCGGCCTGTGTGGTGAAGGGTGGCCAGCCCCTCGGGAGGGGCAGGAATGGTCCAGGAGGGACAGGATGTCATGGTGGAGTCGCTCTTTGGCCACGTCCTTCGGGAGGCGGCCCATGTGGTCACGGAGGGTCTGCTTGGCCCCATGTTGGAGGAGAATGCAGGCCACTTTGTAACTTCCCTCTTGGGCTGCCAGGAACAACGGCGTCTGTGCCTACGAGCAGAACAAGACGTTGAAATCGCCAGATGTGGCGGCATCGCTCAAGGCTGGCCCCAGCTACCTCCTGGTTCATTAGCCACCTTTTGTGGCTTGCCAGAGACTTGACTGGGTGCACTGAACTTCAAGGCTTCTATTTAGTGTGTCTTTCTCACTCATTCCTCCCCCATGTATTATTTTTTGGGTTTAATATTGATTTGAGGTGGGGGAAGCTTGTTTGCTAAATTATCTTGTTTGCTAAATTTGACCCTTTTAGTACTCCTTACTGCTATGGAGGCCACCTTTTCTGCAAAAAACAAACAAAATGTAATTCCTTTTTCAGGTCAGCCAACAGACTCTGGCCCATGGGTGGTGCAGTGTCTAGGGCTGAAAATGGTCCCAGGACCTCCTGAAGCTACCCACGCCTGCTCTGCGTGCCTGGCTAATTCTTAAGAATACCTTCCACGCAGAAGCAGCCAGGACAGATGCGGATGACAAACATCAAAAGCTTTTCATACATAGTAAGAAATACTTCCTCTCATCCTTCCTTCCGAGCTTGCTGATAATTGTTTTTAAACTATGTTATCAATGGATACCAGCTTCTATCAGGAATTGGACAATGACAGTTCTCTCGCTCTCTCTCTCTCTCTCCCACTGTACCCATATTATTTGTAATTTTGCAAGCCTTACCCATCGTCAGCAATATCCAGGTTTCCAGCTAGTCCCCGCTTTCCTCAGTTAAAAGCAGGGTCTAGAAATTCCCTGTCTCAATCCCCAGAGGAACTGCTGCCAGCCAGTTCTCCCCTACCGGGGACCCTACAGATGCTCCGGACTACATTTCCCATCATCCCCAGTCAGCACAGCCACCGAAGGGAGCGGGTTTGGGGGGAAACTCGTCTAGCCAATATTAAGCCAGACTGAGAAATAATCCGACCCAGGGCCAGGCAGCTTCCCTCGTGCCTGGCCTCTTAACTCTCACCCCATGCGGAAACGCGCTTGCCCTCTGGACGCATTTCAGCGGCCTGCGCGGGCATCTTCTGCCGCTCTCCTCCCTCCTCCGGCGAGGAACAGGCCTTACCCGATTGTCCTGCGCGTCGCAGTCGGCTCCGTTTCTGAGCAGGACGAGGGCGGCGCGGATGTTGTTCACCGCCGCAGCCCAGTGGAGGGCGCTCTTCCCTGCAGGCAGCAAGAAGCAGACGCCTGGGTGTCTGGATCCTGGAGGGTAGGGCCATGCAGGCCGCTGTGCCTCACGCCACCCCGTCCCCCGCTAGAGGGTTTCCATTCCTCTGGTGAAGAAAGATCTCCCGGGTTAAGCAAGTGGGTGCCTTCCAGATATTTCGGGCTCCCTTAAGACTGTGCAGCCTGGGGCTGCGGAGAGCGCTAGCTCAGGACATCCTGGGGCACCGGGTGCCCAGCCCTGCCCTGCAGGATCTCAAGGGCAGTGTGTCTCTACTGAGGGGATCGCCAAAGAGGCCCGCAGCAGCCTCTCAACCATTCAGGCTGGGGCCCCAAATCTTTCCTTGGAAGAGCCAGACTCATGGGAGGCCCGCTGCCCCCTCCCCCACTGTCCAGGTACACTTGCTGAAAGAAAGGTACAGGGGCAGGTGATCTCCCTGCATCAGATCACCGCTGGATTAACTGGCTTTTTGCCCAGCGGTGCTTCACCTCCTGCTCCAGCCCCTGATTGGCAGTCTGAGGTTCCCCCCTTCAGATCAAATACTTTCCTTTCCCCTGTGCAGGCATCCCTTCTCACAAATAGGGCTACCTTTAGGGGTCCTTTGCACAACCGTACACACTGACAGAGCATATTAAAGTGTGTGTGTGTGCGTGCGTGTGTACACACTGCGGGCACTGAGTCCAGGAAGATGGTGATGAGTTCGGTGCCTTACAGCATCTTACCCCTTCTGTGGTTGCACAGAAGTACTTAGAGACCAGCTCCTGCATCTGAAATTGGCAGCCAGAATTTAGAAAACTAATAGGAAAGGGCCAGGCAGGGGAGATCCAAGTTTGACGTATCAAGAGTCTCTGCTGAATCGGAAACAAAGCTTCTGATTTGCACAGAACAGCTCAGCGTCTTGCTTTCTGCTCTCTCAGAGGGCAGGATGAAATCTATTAAGTTTAAGTTACAGCAGGAGTCCTCAAACATTTTGGATTGGAAAGCAACTTTGGAATTTTGAGTATTGTAGGTGCTTCCACAAAATGGCTTACAGAGAGGGGCAGGCAGAAAAGAGTTGGAAAAACAATAAGCAAAATGGCTCTCGAGTCACCTCCTTGGTACAGGAATAAAAGTGTGCAACAGCAGCTTTGCAAACTTGTTCCAAAAGTTACTAGTCCATAAGGTAGGGCTAGTTTGCCTGCATGGATGTATCTGTGAAAGTCATTTGTAAACCATCCTGAGATGTCTCAGTATGGGACGGTATAGAAAAGTTTCTAATAATAATGATAATGATAATAATTTAATTTGTGGTGCTTGGATATTCTGGAAGAAGCAGCCCTTCTCTAATTGGCAAACGTTTTAGTAACTGGGTGATCAGCTAGTAATACATAAATTTATTTAATGTTTCACCATTTCCATCAACCGCCTTAAACTTTTTGGATTGGTGGGCACATTTGAAATTTTGAGAAGGAGTCACAGCCAATGGCTGCCATGCTGGGCATGGCCAATTGCAAAATATTTCCTTCCAAAAACAGCCAAGTGGGGAGGCTACAGAAGAATAACCTTCTCAAGAATCGTAAGCATAAGGCAGAGGTGGGGGCTGAGCTTCCAAATACTAAACCACCCTTCCGTACCCAAATGAAAATGGTTCTGCAGTTCATTTTTTAAAAGATGAAACGCCACTTAAATAAAATACAAATCAGGAGGGGTAGGGAGCCCCACGGGTGCCGAGAGAGGTGCCTGCTGGACCCTGGTGCCCACGGGTGACATATGGGACATTCCAGAGTGGCAGGAGAGGAGATACATTGCCTGACCCTCCCGAGAACAACCTTGACATTGAAGCAGTCGGTGGAGGGATGTCTTTGTGGGGCTCTCCCTCCCTGGAGGCCTTCAGGGAGATGTGGGGGTCGGGCTAGATGGCCTCTTATGACTGCCACTCATCCAGCATCCTGCTTCCACACGGGCCCAGCACCTGGCCTCCAGGAGGCATACAGGTGGGCCAAGAAGGTGGTCCTTTCCCTCTGCAGGGCAGCCGATGACAGGCCCCAGGGCTGCCTCATTCCTGTATTGTGTATTATTTTTTAAAATTATGTTGTATTTTATTTTTTCAGCCGTCATGCACTGCCAGCCCTGTAACGCCAAGCATGCCCACCTCTCTTGTCTACAGCCCTGATATCCGCATGGCTTCCCACCAGCTCCTCCACCATGTTTTCAACCCCGAGTCGTGTGGCAAGAATTAGTGGGGTGCAGCCATCGTGTGCTGATGCATCCAAGTCCGTCTGCCTGTCCCGGAGAAGGATCTGTTGGGAGACAACCCTGAGATCAGCCAGTGTCAGAGGGAAAGGGAACAGCCAGACGGCAGAAATTTTGAAGGGGAACGTCACCAGCAGATTTCGGATACTCTCCTTGTACAAACTCACTAGGGCCATTAAGCAGTGGCATAACGTTAAATTCTAAAGCTCAGGCATTTGTCATTAAACTCCCATAGTCACACCCCAAAGAGAGTCCGAAAATGCTCGTTGCTGATTTTTTTTTCATATTAACAAACTAGTCTGAGCCATTTTCATGTCCAGAGGAGCAGGACTTTAGTAAAGTTAATGGGCAGAGTGAGCAAAAAGTCACAGTGGGTTAGCAGATCTGTGAACAACCCGCAGTGTACCCAACAGACAGCACACTGGGCTCACTGCGGGTTGTTTGCTGCCTCCCTCTCCGTCCTTCACCTTCAGTGTTCCCAATGGTATCTGAGGGGGCACCATGGCAAGACTGATTGTTCCCCCCTCCCCACCATAATTTGAGCTGTTTTCAGCTCATTGTGTGGGTCCCCCACCACTGCCCGTTTTTCCTGAGAATGTCCAAACCATCTTTTTTGTTTGTTTATTTAATTCCATTTCTATGCTGCCCCATAACCCAAAGGTTCTCTGGGCAGCTTAGAGTGCTAGACCATCCTGACAGCGGTCAAGCAAAAGCAAGGTACAGAATAACCCCATTAGAAGCCTCTTCAGGTTCATATGGAGGGTTGCTGCCTGGAGCGCTACACGCCCCCCCTCGGACATTGGGGCACTCAAGGTGTCAAATTTCTGCACATTGTGGACTGGTGCAGTTTTGCAAACACACCTAAAAAAAATCAAACCGCACAATCACAATTTAAAACTCATATTTGTGTAGAGTTTCCCAGGTGCTGCCCAGGAGGTCTTCTCCATTCTCTGAGCCACTGTATCAAACAGATAATGGCCACACCTGAGACAGCTTTTCTTCCTCCCCGGAGTCCTCATCACAGGAAGGCCCTGTACTATGGACTACGCAACTGCGCTCCATCCCCCTCTCCGTCCCTCACCTGGAAAACGCCCAGCGCATCGGCTGCAATGGCAGTGTGCAGGGGAGTCCGTCCCCACTGGTCACGCGCATTGACATCAGCAGCTGATGCCAAGAGTCGCCGGGCAGCATCCGCACGGGAATATCGGGCTGCTAAGTGGAGCGGCGTCTCCCCGGAGCTTCCCATTGGCTGGTCTGTCCAGGATTCTTCTGATTCCAACCCAGGAGAATGGGCCAAAGGCATCAGTGGTGTCAAGCCACAAACTGGAGAAGGAAACAAGGGCATGGAGTGAGTGGGAGATACAACTTCCAGTACTGCCACACAGAAAGGCAGGACTTTGTATTTCAGCCACTTCTGCTAGGCAGAACTTCCCAGGGTTCCTCTGACTAGCCTGGGAGGGCTGGGCCCTGACTGCCTTGTGCCTGCAGCTAAAGCTGCCCTGTGACCACCAGAGGAGGTCGCTGAAGCAGGGTACCATAGGACATTTTTAGTTGCCTAGCATCGCTGGATTCCCTCCTCGCTCGTTCTTCTGCAGGGACAGGACCTCCTGCTCATGGTTTCTCCAGGAGTTATGCTTCTCTTTTTACCTGGCTCTTGCTTTTTGGCTGCCTTTGGGTTGGCATCCTTCTCTTGGGTTGGGTGGCTGAACTGAACCTTCTGCTTTGGCTTAAACTGGTCTTGCTCTGGTACCGAGATGGCATCGGGGTCTCCCTGTATACAAGAAGCCATGAAACACAACAAATCCAGCAAAGATTCAGCTCAGCAACAAGAGTGGCTCCTCACAGAGCATGTGCAATGTTTCATACTGTCCTCAAAACTTCTCCTCCCTGTGTACAAATACCTTCATATCTTTGGTGTTCAGGGGTCCATCAAAGTGGGGGCTGGCACACATATCCAAGTCTTCCACAAATTCAGCACCTGGCTTCATTGGCCTGCATTTTGGAAGAGGTTAAAAAAAAAAGGTTGAGGGAAGTGCTGATCCAAAATACTGCTATTTTCTTAACAGGGAGGAACAGAGAAGCAGCGTTAAAGCAGGTCAAACTATGTATTCATCTGTCCATATCAATTCCTCCATGGCTGTTGAAATTCTTTCAGACCAAGGGCCAAATTCTACTTCAGATAAACTCTTGGGGGCTGGGTGGGTCAAAGGCAAAAAGGGTGAGGCTAAAATGCAACCTCTCCCAGCATATTTTAGCTTGACCTTCTTAGTGCCCCTCACTATTATGAAGGGAAAAGAGGCATCACAGTCTATGAAATTTGGGAAGGCCAGGTAGAACCTCAGGTGGGCCAGGTCTGGGTCTGCACCCTCGTCTGCCTTGACGGGGTACAGGTCTCCAGGATTACAGACAGGCGGCTCTCTCGTCACTGGCTGTCAAATCCTTTTAAACAAACGCACTCAAGACTTGCAGGCAAATCACGGGCCCTTCCACTGACTTATGGTCCATCTTGTACCATTCTAAATCAGATGTTCCCAGCATCTCTTCAGTTTGGCCACCAAGCCTCTTCCTCTTCCCTTTCTGTGGCTGCTCTCATGAATATTATGCTTTGCCTGTGAGGCCTTTCTCCAAACTTTCTCACCTTCAGATGTTGAAGTAAATGGTGAAAGACCCTTTTCAGGAGCACCACTCGGGCTGTGGGGTGTTTTTGCCTGGGAGTCCTGATAATGTGCTTTGCAGTCCAGCTAAAACACTATTAGGGTGTAATCCTATGTACTAGGTGAGACACAGAACTAACTGGATTGTGCTTAGGGCTTTCCTGGAAAATTGTCTGGAGGTTGGCTAGACATACATCATAGAACTGTATCTCCTCCTATACACCCTCTCAAGCCGCCTACCAGCTAGGTATAATCCTATGAATAGCCCGGTCAGTATTCAAACTACACTTGGTACACTTGGTGTTGCTGTGATAACGTTGTGGGGGAAAATCAAACAGCGAATCAACATCATACTCCTGCGCACAATGCTTTTTCTGTAAAGCAGTTTTTGAGTGGAAGAAACATTCCTGTCCTCGATCATCCTCCTTATTCACCCGATTTAGCTCCCTGTGATTTTGACTTGTTCCCAAAAATCAAAAGTGACCTGAAGGGAACACGTTTTGCGTGAATGGATGAAGTGAAGACAAAAACGGCAAGCCTGTTGAAGAGCCTCATGCAAGAAGACTTCCAGCACTGTTTCAATCAATGGAAAATATGTATGGAGTGGTGTAGAGATCAGGAGGGGGAGTATATAGAAGGTGACAATGTTTAGAATGCTGTAATTCATCAATAATTTTTTTTTATTACTAATCCTGTTATTTTTGTGTCACACCTCATATACTTAAACAGAGAAAAGCCCTAGCCAGCCATTGCTCTGCCAAGGCTTTTTATTTCACCACCATTTAAAACAGGTTTTTAATTTGCCTGTGGAATGGGTTTATCTTTTTATTCTGCTGCTGGTTTAAACTATTTGCAAGTTGTTTGGACGTATTTATGCTTGCAAGCGGCTTGGAGTACAGAGCAGGCTAGAAACTTGGAAAGTAAATACTTAGCTGCCTTTCTTCCCATACTCACTTTAGTCCAATCGCATCTTCCCCCACAGGTTCCCTCCGGCAGCGACGTTTCTTGCCTTGGTGCGGAGCAAATCCAGGTGGGAACCAGAGGGACCCGTGTTCACGGTGCTGGGGCCGGCGGATCCTCCACAGCCCGAAAAAGATCAGCACGGCTATTATCACAGCTCCGGCTCCCACACTGTAAATGAGGGGCCCAGAAAAATGGGAAACAGAGGCCTCGGGATCTGATTGTGAGAAGAAAAGAGCTTATGAAACAGCAGCTTTGCCCTTCTGTCATCGGGCCCAATTTAAAAATAGGCTTCTCAATCCCAGATTAATTATTGAGGGTTCCCCCAGCTTTTTCTGAGTTACAGACTCACAAACTTTTTTAAAAATGTAATTTTTAAAAATGTTACGTTTAAAAAATGGTTGGAGTTTGCACATCTGTGCATTAACATCAGTATGCAATGGAGCAAATGCTCTGAGAAATTCCTAAAGTGCTTTACCTGCCAGTCAAATCTGTCAGAATAGCTTACCATATATGCATTTAAGCTTACCATATATGCATCTGTCAATCTTGACGTTAATTGACTTGGTTTTAATCTGGTAGGTGCTGTTATTTCTTTCTTACTGATGCATTTTTATTTGATCTATTTTAATAAGTTTATTTTATGCAATGGGTTTTTAATGATGAAGTACAACTTTGCTATTTTATCCGATTTTATTAAAAATCACCTTGAGCAGAATTTAGTGGAATGACGGGTTATAATTATAATGAATTTTTAAAATGCAACCACTTGATCATCTATCTTAGACCAGTTTTGGAAATCCCACTCAGTTCTCATCAGGTAGCCAAGCCCACTTTTGTCTCAGACTCTCAGAAATTCTTCCTAAATGTACACTGTACCGTTATCTATTGGTTCAAGCCAGGCAGCTACTATTGGGTATGGGATCAGGGATTCAAGGGTTTCTTTGGCGGATAGGGCACCCAAGAAATTCAGCACAGATTTGGAGGATGTGGGACACAGCCTGGAGCACTTCTTCCCATCCACGATCAGGAAGATGGTCCACCTGCAACGAAAACAAGAGCAAACAATAACATGGGAATTGATTATGTCCGGGATGTCCAGCATGGTTGCTGCCTGGGGCACTTCTCTTGGCACTTGCTGGGCTGCCTGCCTCTGATTTGCATTTAATCCTTTGGCTTCTGGATGCCCTCCAAAGGACCACACGGCTGCAGCCTGAATGCACATAAGATATTGCAATCACAGGCATAAATGCGCCCAGCAGCAATCTCCACCACCAGTCATACCTTTTATCTAGACAGCTATTTTCAACCATGTAGTTAAAGTGCTGGGGAGGGGGAAGAAAGAGGCTGTGGGGCCAAGAGGAGCCGGCACAGCTAGATGGCCTTGGTCTCCTCCCCTCCCGGTCTTTTCTCCCTCTCCAAGGTGCTTTTCCGTTCTCGGAGGGGCAGCCATGTGGTTCCTTCCTCACTGGTGGTGGGGCGTGGGGGGGGGGATGGGGGCTTGGGCAATGGAGTCTGTGGCCAGAGAACCCCTGTGGCTTCCCATATTCATCCATGTGCCCCCGCCTCCCACTGCGGCCCTTTCATCTGTGCTGCAGCCCATGGATTTCTGTTTGGTGGCACATGGTGACAGGGATGTCTGCCCTGCACAATGATCTCCCCAGCAGCCTAAGCCAGGGCTCAGTGCAGGCATGTTTTAGGCATTTACCAGAGATGTATCTGCTTGCTTTGTCTTTCTCCCAGCCATAAGCTACCCTCAACCATTAAGACCTTCCATATAGCCTGAAGTGCCTGATCCTGCCTGATCTTGGAAGCTATGCAGGGTCAGACCTGGCTGAAATCTGGAGGGGTGACTTAATGTTGTGAACGGTTTAGAAAGCTTTGGTTACAGGTGGTATTGCAATGATGATGATCCAATCTTCTGTGTGTGCATCTTGTGCCCACACATGCTATTTTTGTTCGTTTGCTTTTATTATTCTAAAACTTGCTTCAGGATTACTTACAAATGAGGAGTGGTATATAAACGTTCCCAATAGTTAAACAAATTAACAATGCCACCCCAAGGAAAATTTGCCTGCTACTGTTATCTTTCCAGCACCAAGCTGACTTTCTTGTTCCCCCACACGTTTAGCATCATCTCAGTCTTTAAAAATATTTCAGTCTTTTTGTACTCTGTTATCTCAGTCCCAGCTTTGTTGTCTTTTCTCTGTAGTCCCTGCAATGTGAAATCGCATTTTATATTGCCCTAGCACATTTATCAGTTTGATTTTGTTCAGTTTTTATTGTGATTATATGTGCATTTTATCATTATTGGAAAGGAAGTTATTTCATGATGCCTTAATCTAACCGAGAAATGCATCAATATTAATAAAGATGTAAAAGGCTATAAAACGGAAGTTCTTGTACTTTGGGCACATCATGAGAAGGTGAGAGTCACTGAAGAAGACAGCTATACTAGGGAAAGTTGAAGGCAGAAGATCCATGGTGGTGCCCAGATGACGGCATGCGCTCCCCAGAGAGGTTCGCCTGGTGCCGAGTTTATATTCTTTTCGGCACCAGGTTAAAACCTTTTTATTTAACTGTGATTTTAAAAACTAATTTAAATTTTAATGTTTAACAATTGCTTTATTTATTTAATTTGCGTGTTTCGGATTAATCGCTACTAATCGCTGTTTTATTGTGGTTGTTTTAATGATTGTAAGGCATCCTGAGATGCCGTGCATAAGGGACGGCACGCAAAAGCTTTAAATAAATAAATCAATAAATAAAATTGAAGATGGGGAAATTCCCTAAAGGAAGCCACAGCCTTGAGTTAACAAGAGCTGAGCAGGGCTGCCAAGGGAAACATATCATGGTGGGGGGGGGGGGTGTTCAGTCGTGGGGTCACCATAAGCCAGAAAGGACTCGATGGCGCATAACGGCAACGAGACCAACCAAGTGTTTGCTCAGGGAAACAGAGACTCTCTTACCCAATGGTCTCTGCAGAAGCCTTTAACTGAGCTCCCGTCCAGTTGCTCCCGCTCCCAAACTTTTCCTTTCCACTGTAGGAATAGATCCTCTTTTTGCCCTGGGAGTCTCGCTGGATCTGAAGCGCCGCCTGCACAGCAGTGGCCAGGGAGCGCAGGAACCGAAGCAGAGCTTCCTGGGGCAGCAGGACGGCCAAGCCCATTGCGGAGTCTCCCCGGGGGACAGGATCAGACAAGCAGTCCCCCCCATCCCAGCCGCAGGAGGGGACGTTGCAGCCCGCGTCACAGTGTCCGTCAGCGAAGCGGTCCCAGCAATAGGGTGCATACGAAGGGCTGAGGAGAAGAGGGTCATGGCATCGTATTGGGGGTACAGGCAATGGACAAAGAATTCCCCAGCCTCCTCCGCTGGCACTGGAGCACAGGGCAGTGGTGCGGTCAGGCCTGGCCTTGGGGCAAACGTCAGGGCCCTCCACTGCAGAATGAGCAGGCCCTGCTCGCCACCTGAGGAAATGTGACCTGAAATAATGGACACTACCGGGCAGCAGTTCTCACCCGGGTGTGCTCCTGTCGTGCCTAATGACTCGGGGGAGGCCAGAAGCCCCCAGCGAGGATGAGGCTTTAGAGCAGGGAGATTTATACTTGGTGCCCACGGCACAAACAGCCCACCCCCCGCCACCTCACTCTGAAGTTTTTGAGGGAGTTCCCGGAGATCAGGAAGGGGGCTCGGTTGTCATGGAGAATGCCCAGGGAAGGAGGAGAATTCCAATTACAACAGAGAAGGAGAGAAAGAAGTTTGTCCAACCCCTGTGGAGAGGGATGTATCAGGAGACTGAGGTCCACGTGACAAATCTCAGAGAGGTCAGAAAGGAGGGGGCAACTGTGTTGCTTGGAGCTCTCTACGGTAGCTCCTCCACTATCTGCCGTAAACATAAATCTTGCAGTCGTTTGGAATAAAGGTCTTTAGTTTCTATTGCCAGCATCTGTGTGAGTAATTGGGGACATGAGTTACGACCTCACGACAGCTCCAGATGTGTGGGGTTGCAACTCCCAGCATCCCCGCACCAACTGAGAGTTGTTCGCCAACACACCCGGAGAGCACCTTGCTGAGGAAGGCCGATTCATTATCAAGGCCGGCTCAGTGAAGCTGACTGGCAAGAGGACTGACAGCCCCTTGTTCTAGTATGGTTTTCACTAACCTAACATACTGGGCTGGCACTTGGACATATTCACAGAGGACGAGAGCTGTACGCAAGAGGGTCAGACCAAAAGGCTGCATGGTTGCTAAATGCAATCAGCCAGATCAGGGACAGCATACCTGTGACTCCCAGGTGCGGAGGACAAGCACTAGGGAAGAGCCACCCAAGTGGAGGGGTCTCGCTGGAGTGCACTGCTTTCCCTTCACGTCCAGCCAGCAGCTGGGCTTCCCGGAAGGAATCGGGTTGGCCTCAAGGGGAAAGGCGACGCTGGACTTCAATGGCGCTTTGGTCTATGCCGATCTGGCACACATGCTTAAGGACCCCTCCAGCACCCTGAAATGCTCCACAGAGGGCGGGGTGCCCTCTCAATGGGGTGAGCTGTGTGGGGGAGGAGAGATCTCCAGAAATCAGGCGGAGGCACCTTCCATCCATGCAGGGCAGTTCCTGGATCCAACCCCTGAACTGTGGCAAAATCTTCCATACCGTTTGGATGGAATGAGACAGACCACTAAGCCACTCTGGGTTGGGAAGACTGAACCCCACACAGACTGGGTGCCTAAATGGGCTCAGACCATGGCTGCGGCGGTGCGTGCCCACCCGCCAACGAGGCGCCCGCTGCTCCCTGCAGCCGCCTCCTTTGGGGTGCCCCGGGGTGGCGACTCACTTGCACTCCTTCTGCTGGGCACAGTCCAGTCCGTCGAACAGGCACTCCTCGCTGTTGCAGTGGGGCTGGCAGCGCCCATCCCGGAAAGCCCCTCGGCACAGCTCCTGCTTCGGGCAGTTCTTCCAAGGGTTCGGCAGCCCCAGGGAACAGTCAGCCCCGTCCCAGTGGGTCTCGGGCGAGCTGCAGGCTCGGTCGCAGTGCGTGTCCCCTGCCACCCGCTGGCAATCCAGGAGCGCAGTATCATTGGCAGCAGGGCAGGGACCCGGAGAGCACAGTGGACGGAGGCATTCCGGCCCGGAAAACCCTGCCACGCAGAAGCACTGAGGGCCGGAGGCGTGGGTGATGCAGACCCCTCCGTTGTGGCAGTAGAAGGACCCGCAGGGAGGCAGGGGCAGGTCACAGGTCGCGCCATCATAACCCTAGATGTGGGGCACGGGGACAAGAAGATCCTTTTTTTAAGAACTCCAAAGGCGCCTTTCATTTTGATCCTGCCACAGCTGGGAGCACCTCTGCTTTGCTCCCCCATGGACCACGGATTCATCCAGCCTGATACTTTCTCCTCCAGCCTACCCCAACTCGGTGCCCTCCAGACGTGCTGGTTCCTAACTCCCAGCACCCCCCAGGACAACTCAGGATGATGGGAGTTGTGGTCCAAAGCACCTTGAGGGCACCAGGGTGCCTACCAACTACTTCGCCTCCATATGGGGCAGCATCTTCTTACACCCTATAAATATGTAACTATAGAATCCGCAGTGCAGCTGACTGGGAAAGGACTGTGTGGGGCAAGCGCTCCCATCATCCTCAGTCAGCACGGCTTCATCCAACACATCTGGCAGGCAGCAGGTTGAAGGAGGTGTGCATGACACTGAGCCAAACAGGCCAGTGGTCAGACTTGACACAAGCAAGTGTCCTGCAACTGCAGAGCCCTGTTTCCCAGCCAGCAAGAGAAAGCGCCGCCCTACTTTAAGACTTCAGGGCAGAAGCTGTGATATTCAGGCACATGGATGATCCAGAAACTCTCCTGTTTAGGTACTTATGTACTAACTTATATTCCATTTTCTGCCTAAAACAGCATTCAGAGCAGCTAACCATGAAGCACAGATTGAAAACGGAATCTTAATTAAACCGTGACCAAAGGAAATGGAGCCAGGGCAGCAGGGCATGGGCCCCTCTGACTGGACAAGGGCTTCTCTGTTCCCAGCAGCCCTCCGGTGGGAGTGGCTGCTCCTTGGGGACATGGTTAAGGGGAGGATCACACTGAGCGTCTGCACGTCAATATTTGCCACCACGCCGCTGGGCCTGCCTGAATAAGTCTGCCAGCTTAAGGACAGCAGAAAGGGGACCGGCCAGTCTCCCTCGACCCGGAGTTGCTGGGCAGCAGCTCTCAAGAAGGTCTTGCCTTGACGCCAAACATCCTCTGATGGCAGTGGGACCTAGAGAACAGCCTCTCCTGAAGATCTTAAAACCTGGTAGGCTTTAAGGGAGGGAGGGAGGGAGGGAGGGTGGTCTTTCAGATCATGGCTGCCACGCCACCCTGCCATCTGGTCACTGCCCCAGCTCCTTTCCCACTTGCTGAACTCCCTCCATACCTGAGGACAGTGGCAGGTGAATTCCAGCGGCTTGCTAGGCACCATGCCGCAGCTTCCCCCATTGAGGCAGGGATTCGATTGACAACTGTCAATCACAGATTCACACAGAAGCCCTGTAGAAGAAAGAAAGAAGTGGAGAAGGAGTGAGTACTCCTCCATCCTTAATAGAAAGATGGCTTTTACATTTTTGCGCTTTTTCTTAACAGCAGAGCAAAACGGAAATGGGGAAAAACTGACTTATGACTGAAGCCGCTTAAATGTGACTCAGACTTTAAATGCATCCCTGTGCTTTACCCTGCTCGTTTGTGGTTTTGAGGCTTTGGTAAGAAAGCAGGTGCTAAATCTTGCAAACCCATAAACATCTCTTGTGCGCCTGTTAAGAATGCGTGTGCGGCAGCTGTGCGACAGAAAGCCACCTCCTCATCCCATCGCCCTCTTGGCTGCCCTCTCTCTCCATCCCTTACCTGTGTATCCTGGCAAGCACGAACACCGGAAGCCGTGCTCATGGGTCTGGCACTCCTGGGTCCCAAGTAGATGGCAAGGCTGGGAGAAGCAGGCGTCCACCACCCCCTGGCACCGCTCACCGACATACCCAGGGGGGCAGATGCAAGAGAATCCATCGGGCTGAGCCACACAAGTCCCCCCATAGTAGCACTGGGGGCCAGGAAGGGAACAGGGGTCCACATCACATTTGGGACCTGGAAGATGGGAGGTAGAGTATGTCCAGATTAGGGAGGTACAGATCTTGATCCCAGTGATCTTCTTCAAAGTTCATGTCAAAGCTCAGTCCAACTTGGAGGCGTATCAAAGTGTGAGCTTTGTTTTGTTCTTTTCACAGGAAAATGCACGTGTGCTTTCGTGCACATCGTTCCAAATGTACTCAGGAATTCTGGGCATGCCGGAAACACGTGTGTGCTCTCATTGATTAAAGTGTCTCTTTGCACATGTTCCAAAAGGATTCATTCATTGTTAATATTATTGGATTTTATCTGGCCAGGGCGACTTATTTTATATTGTTATTTTTTGCCTTTTAACTTAATGTTTGTACTTTACAAACATTTTAATTTAATGTTATAATTTAATGTTCGTATTTTTTTTAACTTAATGTTGTAAGCCGCCCCGAGGCTTCGGCGAATGGGCCGGCATAAAAATGTTTTAATAAATAATAAATAAATAAATATTTTTTTTTGTGCACACCATATGAATGCATGCATGCTATTGAATGAGGTTTTTTCCCTCTGCAAATCACATTGCAAGCTTGGAAACGTATGGATTTTGGTGGCAGATGAAGTGTTTTATTTATTTCATTTCTATACCATTTCTTCAGGAGGAGCGACTTCTATGTTCAGCAATCTACTGAGCTCTCTCTCCCCACTCCCCTGCTGTGAGAGGTGTCTGGCCTCCAGCTCCAGCTCCTCCCCATGGATTGGAAGACTCCCATCAGCTTGAACTGCCAAGCCCTACTTCTCTTCTCCTAGCTCCCCTTTCCCATGGGTAGATCAACACGGCCTCCTGGGCTTCCACAGGAGGTGCCTGAAGCCCCATTGATGAAGGTGATCGAGGACAGGCTGGTCATGCACATGGTAGGTGTTTCATCAGCAAAGCTGGCTGAAGCCGGGGGTCAGACTAGCTGGCCCGGGAGACCCCTTCTGATTCACTGTTTCTCTGTTTCTTCTCAGATGTTCCCTGACCCTGGTCTGCTGCTTGGACATGCTGAGATTCCACAACCATCTCCTCTTCACTATCGAGCTTGAGGTTGCATCGAACCGGGCAGCTGCTTGCGCGTATACGCGAGCCCAACAGGACAGAAGGGACTTGCCACCATGAGCCCACTGTCAGGCACACGAAGGTGAAAACCCCAAAAGGTGGCTGCTTCGCATGAATGTGAACCCAGCCTTTCTAAGAACACAAGCAGAGCCCTGCTGGATCAGACTGGACACCGAGCTAGTCCAGGACCCTCATTTCATTTCAGAATGGGCACATGCAGGATGCGAGGGCAATGGTTCTGCCCCTGGCCACTGGGGACACTGTGCCAGTGACACTGGAAGCGGCGTGACGGGGGGCAGCCCTCTTGTGCGGGCTTCTGCTGCCCGTGGGGAAGCCTTCCTCCCGCTTACCTGTGGTCCCTGGGGGGCACACACAGCGGAATCCGCCTGATGTCTTGGTGCAAGTTCCTCCATTTGGACACATCTCCTTAGGCAGGCACTGCAACCAGAAGGAGCCAGAGCTGGTTTGTAGCAACTGTTATTCAAAGTGAAATATCCAGAAGAAGCAGAACCCTTTCCCATCACTGTTGTCTCAGTGAAGCAGTCAAGGCCACAATCCTCTACTGGCCTCCTCAGAAGAACAATTTTTTACATTCAGTGCGGTTTACTCCCAAGTGGATGTGGGACTGAAGCCTTTGCCTGGTGGTCTTTACAGGCCTGGAAGAGTCCTCTTTATTTTTTAAAAATGTATAGCAATATTAAAATGTCACACCAACGATATGGCCCTCCAGAGCATCGATGAACCAAAGACATATTATATAATATATAATGAAGTGACACAAATCAAATGAAAGAGACATGACTGCACTTTGACGAGAAAGCGCTGCAGAGGCATCAAAGGAAACAACGGACTTTGCAGCGCGACTGATGGACGTCTGCTCAGAAACAAGTGCCATGGAGTGGGACCACAGGTGGGGGAACCTTTCTTTTATGGAGAGCAGCATCCCCTTGGAGGCAAACCCCCCTGGGGCTGCATTCAAATGGTGTGCAGGGCCTAATCCAGCAATGCTCAGGATCACAGTCAACAAGGGAAGGCCACCCTCTCCCTCTTCGCCATCCGTCCCTCTTTCTCTCTTTTTACGTCTCCATTCAGCAGGCTGACAAAGAAGGCTGTTCTTCCAGAGGGCTGAATGGATGGCTTGTGCTATAAGGCTGCCATTCCATGTAGGGAACGCTGTGGGCCTCCACTCCCAGATGCCCCGGCCCCAAGCATGTCCATGGGTCAGTAATGCTGGAACGTGAAGTCCAAGACATTGGGAGACCTATTTTCTGTTCATCACTGCTGTGGATGTTAAAAGTTGGACAAGTGGGATGGGAGACAAGCTGGAGCCTGAGCTGAGCCCGACAGCTCTGCAGATGTACCACAGAAGCAACTGGGAGCTGAGCCTGAGGCTGATTAGGAGGAGATGGGAAGAGAGAAGGAACAGTGTAGAGTGGAACGACCGTGATGAGGAGGAGGTCAACCAGAGAAGAGCCAAAAAGGTCCTTCTTAAACCCATGGGAAAGCAGGCTTCTAGAAAAAAGGAAGAGGAGAGAATCAGAGGTCCAAGGCTTAGGCCACAGATGAAAGGGAGGTGCAGTGACCCTCTTCCAATGATCAAAGAGACTAGCGGTCAGAAGAGCCACCCAGTGCAAAGTCCCACCTAGAGGGTGGGACATGGTAGCCTGGAAGGGTCAGAGCCATCCTGGCTTGAATGCAACCTTGGCACAACAGGAGTGGCTTGACTGAACATTTAAATTACTCAGGCAGAGAGGCAGAGGCGGCACGATAGCCAAGAGAGCTCTGAGGCACCCGAAGGCCAACAGGCATGGTGCAAAAGAGCTGTGAAAAGTTTCTCTGGATTGTTCTTGCAGATCCAGCTACTTTAAAAGGGCAAAAGAGCTGGAGGGTTTTTTGTCCCTCAGTTACTTGGCAACCCTGTCCAGCAGGTATTCCCCAGGCCCACCTGTACCTCCTGAGCTCACCTGGCAGCTGGGCCCTCCTGCCAGATCCGTGCAGTTGTCTCCATTTTGCACGGTCTTCTCTTGGCACTGTGAGCCACCCCAGCCTGGGGGACACAGACAGTGGGGTACAAACTCCTTCATGACACAGCGGCCTCCATTTCCACAGCGGTCTATTGTAGCAAGAATAAAGTAGATCGATTTCTCATTTGGTAACATGTTTAGGGGTGCCAATTTTTATGTCTGTCAGCATGGACAAGTACTTTGAAGAACAACATGAAAGGCAGAGTTTCAGCATATTGACCAATTACTTCCAGCACGGCAGTGCTGCAAAGGGTAAAGCTTCACCCCCTGTATTTCTTCCTGTAATCAGTGAGCACTGACAGAAACAGAGCGGGCACAAAAAGCTGTATGCAGCTCAGTCCCGTACATAGTACAGTCGGAAGGGGCCAAGAAGGCCATGGAGTCCAACCCCCTGCTATTGCAGGACACCAGTTCACACCATCCCACTCAGATGGCTGCCCAGTTTCTTTTTGAATGTCTCTAGTATGGGAGAGCCCACCACCCCCCTAGGCAGCTGGTTCCACTGTCGCATTGCTCTGACAGTGAGGAAGCCTTTCCTGATATCTAGCCTGAGTCTGGGTTGTCACAACTTGAATTATTTCATGTCCTACACTCTGTTATTAGCCAGAAGAGATCTTGACCGTCCTCTCTGTGACAGCCTTTGAGGCTGTTTACTCAGAAGTAAGTCCCACTGAATGGCAGGGTACAGATAGCATGACAAGCCGTTGATGGTTTGCTATTGCCTGAACCCAATCTTGGAATTTCAAATGGCAAATCTGGCCAGTAGGCATCATAAGAAACAATGGTCCGTTCCGTGGTTTCTCTGAACCACCATGACATGCTATGTCATCTGAGCCTAAGATCATGGTTTCCATGGTCTTGGTGCACCAGGACCCCAAAGCCTCCTGGAAAGAGCCACTCCAGCCATCCTGCCTCCATGTGCAGACCAATGAGGAAGAAGCAGGCAACCTCGGCAGGGAACAACGCACAACAGGACTGAGTCTCATGTGTGGTGGCTGGTGGGATACAGGCCAACAGCAGGAGGACTGAGCAGGGAGGACGGAAACCATGATAACATAGAAACCACTTCCTTGTCAGGTAGATCATGGTCAAAAAAATGAACCATGAGCACCAATCGAGGTTGCTCTAAGCCACTGTGGCTTGCTCCGCACAAAAGATGCGTAGGGTCACAGACTTAAAGAGCACAAACTGCTGTTTTTAGAATTTATCAGCAAATTTGACCTGTTTCAGTTTGGTATAATCAAAACTTGGGTTTCCTTCCTACTGCTGGTGGTGCATTGGCAAAGGATAGGGCCAAATTATATAAGATGAGCTGTTAGCTTGCTCATGATTAATCTTCCATTGTCTTCACGATCCTCATCGTCTCTACAAAATAATACTCCAGCAGTATTTTGTTACTGAAATGCATATTCAGGGGCTGTGAGCTTGGTGACAGCAGCAGTACTTAAATTGTAGGGGGTCTGCACGTATACACAAAGTTCTTGATTGGCAGTAGCTTTTCAGAGATTCTGAACAAGCTGTGCTAACACATACTTACAGACTGCGCAAAGGTCCAGGATGACATGACATTTTGACCCTGTGTAACCCTTGGGGCAGAGGCACCGGAAAGTTCCAGGACTGTTAAGGCAGGTTCCAGAATTGAGGCACGGGCCTGACCTGCATTCATCTATATCTTCACTGCAAGTTGCACCTGGAGAGCAGAAGGGAATGCAGGAGGAAACAGGTGCAGCGTGCGTAAAGGAGGGTGTTATCATGGGGTAGGGGTGGACTGGAGGGAAATCCTCAAATTGTTTGAGGAAGAAGTTGGGCTGCCCAGGTGAGGAGCTGCAGGGGGGGCAATAGGAATGAAGGACAGGTTACCTGCATAGCCGCTGGGGCAGGTGCAAGTGAAGGCACCTTGGAGGGTCAGGCATGTGGCCCCCTGGTGGCAGGGGCTGGAATTGCAGGCGTCTATCTCAGTGCCACAGTCCCAGCCTGTCCAACCAGGCAGACAAACACAGTGAGGCCTGCAGGAAGAGTCACTGAATGGTTACCAGTCAACATTTACACAGTAGTTTCAAGAGTTCAAAGAGCTTTGTGTACATTATCTAGTTGTGCTGCTTACAAAAACCTTGGAGGGCAACTCAGTCTTATTACCTACCCCTACTGCAGATGGAGGGTCGAAGGCCGATAGGGTGTCTTGCCCAAGGAAACGTAATGGGTTTGTGGCAATGGCGAGAGTCAAACTGGGAATTTCCCAGCTCATAGCTCAGTCTCTTAGGGAGCAATCTTAGGGTTCCAGCACAGCATCCGAGGGGCCATAGGATATTTTGGATTCTCAGATGTTTGGTTGCAGACTGCTGGGGATTGGAATCCCTGTTCCTATATCTGGTCTAGATCCGATGGCAGTGTCACACCCAGAAATCCTAGTAAGGTGAACCTTTTTCCTGGCATGAAGATAAGTAATGAGCGAAATAGTCTTCCACTTAATACTTCCAGGTTTATTTACTGTGAATGACCCTGGGGTTATAGAAAAAGTAGCAAACTCTGGCTCATGGGAGAAATTCTACGGGTGGGTTTGAAAGTATGAAACTGTAGGGCCTGGGTAATGGGGAAGATTTTGCTTGATTTGCATATTAATGCAAACTTTTGTAATCCTGAAGCTTTGTACCAATATACAAACTGAAATTCTAGTGTCCCTTGAAATTTATTCTTCAAATTTTATACTGTAAGTTCTTTTTTAAAGTGTGCATTTTTGTGTGCAGAAAATGTACATGCATGTGAAATTGGCATTCAGTTATGCTAAGGGAAAAGGCTTGCAGAAAAGGTGTGTACTGGTACAAGTTCTATATGAAGAACATGCCTTCTTTATGAATACATATTAGAATACATTTCTCATTAGAATAAATGTACATAAAATGCACACAGATATGCACCTGAACTCTAAACAAATATTGGGGAGAATGTAAGAGCAGCATGATGAGGAGCTGAAATGGCCAGATTCCTCAGCCCCTCTCAGCACTGCCACTTTTCCCACTCACTGGTCCTGCCTTTAAACTTGACCCACAGAAATGCAACAGGTGAAGCGTTCTGTGAGAAGGAAATCAAGTAAACCAAAAACTCTTTACCTGCTCAATCTCTGTGTGTCAGTCTAGAGCCAAAGGCCTTGGAACAGGACCAGTGAAAATGGGTGGCAGCACCCTGGATATGAAGAGAAAGAGAGGCGGTATACCACAGATGATACTTCCTAAAGACTCCAAAGAAGCAGCAATAGCTTTCTCTTGAATGCAACCCTGCCACTAGCCCTGATCCAAGAGTTGTAACCGGATAATTATGCAACTCTAACTGTAGAGCAGGGAGAGAGAATTGACACTGCTTCTTTGCAGTGGGGAAACCCATTAATTACTTTCCTTATCTCACGAAATGCCAATGGGTGCTTAGCTGTGATCGCTTCCCCAAGACCCATATACGAAGCAATATTGCAGTGAAAATGATGAGATGAGATTTCAAGCGCTCCTCAGAATGAGCTTTAAAATCGAAGCCAAATTAGCAAAGACAACATCTGGCGATCGGGCCTCGTCCCACCCCCATCGTACCCAGATTCTGCTCCTTGGCAGCTGCCCCCGTTGAGGCACTGCCAATTCCAGCAGGGGTCACTGAGCTCTGTGCAGAAAGGTCCGGTGTAGCCTGGAGAGCAGACGCATGTGAAGGAGCCTGGGGCATGTATGCAGGTTCCATGCCCACAGGGGGCGCTGTGGCATAAATCGGCCTCTCTCTCGCACTGGAATCCCTCAAAACCTGCAGATGGGAAAGGCTTCGTGCCATTATTTGCCTCAAAATTGGCCTCAGTCCACACTTGCTCTGCTTTTTCCACCTGTGCCTTTCCCCCAACCCCAGTCTATCCTGGAATCTGAAAAAAAGCAGAAAGCTAGGAAAAATGCCAGTGTGAGCCAGTGTGGTGCAGTGGTTAAGAGCATGGGACTGGGACCTGGACTCAGACGATCAGGGTTCGAGTCCTCACTCAGCCACAGAGCCAACTGGGTGACTTTGGGCCAGTCACAGACTCTCAGCCCAACCTGCCTCACAGGGTTGTTGTTGTGGGGATAAGATGGAGGAGGAGAATGATGTAAGCTGCCTTGAGCCCTTTGTAGAAAAAAGGCAGGATCTAAATCGGGGGGGGGGGATCCATCCCTTTAAGGAGAACCCTCAAAAATCAAATGGAATTTCACAAGATACTCAATACATGTTTTGTAAATTTGTTTGGGCTGATCCCAGCATCTGGTATTCATGGGAGGCTGTCATTATTATTTATAATAAAAAATAATATTGATTTATTAAAATAAATAAATTATAACCCAATTGTCTGAGCTAGATGAACTTTATCATCTCTCTGGAGTATGGAGGGAAATTGAAATTTGGCTAGATTCAGCACCAGGCAATCTGTATCCTTGCTCAGGTATTTGTTGCTGCCTGAGGGTTGTGCAGGGGGGGGGGCACCAATAGAAGACAGGGACTGCCAATCATGCTTCTGGATTTCATCCTTTTCTCAGGATGGTCCCAAGACTTTCTAGCTCAACAAATGGTGTCTCCCCCCACACCTGGCCCCCACATCAGGTGCTCAGCACTCAAAGTCAGCCAAGGTATATCAGCAGCCAAGCAGAACAGCTACAAGTGTGTCTTGTGGCAAAATACATTAATGTTGTATTATTTCCTACTCTTTAATAAACCCTAAATGGACTGCTTTACTTTTTCTAATGGTAGGGCCTACTTTCCTGCTGTAAGTTTTCTTGGTGGACCTTCATCCTTTTGCTGTCTGTCAGCAGGCCCTAATTTTAAGCTATGCTTTTAAAATACAGCTCCTAGAAAATTCCTAGATAACTTCAGGAGCGATGCTACTTCTTCCATACAGCCTCATCTGCCTGATCCTGCCTAATTTTAAAAGCTAAGCAGGGTTGGGCCTGATTGAAATCTGGATGGGAGACTTAAATGTTGTAAACCACCCAGAGAGTTTTGGGTATGGACAGTACAGAAAAGCAATGATATTTAAAAAATACTGCTACTCATAAAATGCACTCTGATTCATTCACATGGTGGGTTTCCTCTGCTGAACCTCACCACTTAAGCTGTGGCCAGAGGGGCTCAGGAGGGGAGGCAAAATCTAGCCTTCTGGGGTCCCCTAAATGGCCATGAACCCTCCTCTGCCCCACCCCAACCGGTGATCACTGGCCGTTTCCTGGATTGTGTGCCTTTTCCCCTATTCTGGAAGGCTGCAATTCCAGTGCATTGCCTCTTCTCTCCCAAGGCTGAATTACTGGCAACAAGAGCCTTGAATTATGATAGGCTGGTGTTTTTAGTATTTTGGTTGCACCTGAGGTTCAACACCCCTCAGTTCAAAGTACATTAATAGGTTTTGCCTAGTTGCCCCCACATTCCTGAATCTGGCCTATTCCATCCCCCCCCCCCCCCCTCCCTCTCTCTCCCTCTCACACACACACACACACACACCCACCCACCCACACCCAGAGAGTTACCTTGGGGGCAGATGCAGTGGAAAGCGCCTGCTGAATTCTGGCACTGGGCCCCATTTCTGCAGGGACTGCTGATACAGCTATCCACCTCTCGCTTGCAGCGGGGTCCTGCAAATCCTAACAAGAGCAGGGCAAAGGTCAGTGCGTCCCAAATCTCAGGATTCAAGTTCCAGGTCTAAAATTACCTAGCTGGCCACCCTCTCAGAGACCCTTGGCGATCCCCTTCCAGTTTTGGAGCCGGACTCTCTACCTGTCCACCTCACTCACCTGGGGCACACTGGCAGGCGACTCCGTGACTCTGGGAGAGGCAGGTTCCCCCGTTAAGGCACCGATCCCAAGTGCACTCTTCCAGTTCGCACAGTGGCCCACCAAACCCTGCAGGGAGAGAAGTCTCCAGTGGGAAGAGCTCCTTATGGGGGGTGTGGGGGGGTAGAAACGGTGGTGTGCTGAGCAGTGAAGAGCACTGAACCCAGAAGAGCACAGGGAATCCCAGAATCAGTGCTTTCCAAGAAGGGCTCAGCACAGCACTTGCTACATTCAGAAAGCTCCAGGGCTGGTCTCTCACATCTCCAGTGAAGGCTGAGAAAGCCCCTCACTGGAACACTGGGCAGCGGCTGCAGTTCCCCAGCCTGGTGCCTTCCAGACGTTTCAGACTTTTAACTCCCATCAGCCCTTCTCAGCAAAGTCAGTGGTGATGGATGATGGGCATTTAAGTCACAATATCTAGTCACACAAGATGACTACCTCTGTCCGAGGAAGAAGGGTGGAGGAAATACGTAACTTAAGGGCGCAGTCCTATCACTCTCAAGTCCTACTGAACAGAAAGGAACTTAGTTCTCAGTAGCCTTGTGAGTTCTCTTTTGCACCCTTTCTCCAGGATGTGGCTCCGCAGAATTACTTCTGAGCAAACATGTGCTGGATTGAATTATAAAGAAAAACTAAGCAGTTTTTAATGCATGAAAAGAACAACAAACAAACACGAGGCAGGGAAGTAGCAGGAAGGGATAAAATCAGCAAAGAATGGCATGCGGTTAGAACACCCCCCCCCACAACTGTTTTGAACTGCATTTCCCATCAGCCCCATACAGCATGGCCAGTAGTCAGAAAAGATTGAAGCTGTGGTGCAAAACCTCTGGACTGTGCTGGAGGCTGAGCTAGAGAGAGAAATTCTGCCCCTGTTTTCACTCAACAACATTACAAATAAAAAAAAAATCAATCAGCAGGTTTTGGATGAATGAAAAGTTAAAAAAAATGTGGGTCCAAGAAGGGATGAGACCCCTTGCTTTTCAAAGAGCAGAAAGCCCCCTGTATTCCTGCAGATATGAAATGCACAGCTCAGCGTTGATCAATCCCAGTCCCTGAGATCTTCTAAGTGAAGCCCTTTTTTCAAGAATGAAGCCTTTAGAGGCATGTTTGGGGGTGACCACAGAGGGCCTTTAGGCAGGTGCTCCCAGTCCACCGAACTCCTTCCCAGGGAAGTCTGGGCTTGTCCCTTCCTGAAGCCCTTTTGCCAGCAGGCAAGGAATGGCTTCTGCAACGATGGGTGTTGTAGGTAAGGTGCATTTAATACATGCTGCCTTTTAATATGTGTTTTCCAGCATTGGTTATGTTTCAACTGCATTTTAGTGTACTGTTTAACATCAATTTTAATCGGCTCAATAAAATGCCTTGAGTGCCATCGCTTGGCAGAAAGGGGGGGTATACAAATCAAATCAAATCAAATCAAATCAAATCCAAAATCCAAAATCACCACCACACCACTCTCCCTCAAGCTTTCCATGCTAGTGGGAGTCAGATGATGAGAGTTCAAATCCAGCACACCTGGAGGGCACCAGCTTGGGGAAGGGCACTCTGCACAACCTCTGTCCTTACCGGAGGGGCAGAGGCACTGGAACTGTCCCAGCAAATCGAGGCAGGAGGCTCCGTTCTGGCAAGGCCGGCTCAAGCATTCGTTGAGGTTCGACTCGCAGCGGGAGCCCGTGTAGCCCTCGGGGCAGCGGCAGGTGAAGGAGCCAGGTGTGTTGTGACAGCTCCCGCCGTGTTCACAGGGGTCTGCGCCTGGAGAGGAAGCGGATTCAGATAAGGAATGGAGACGCTGTTCCAGGGCCAGAGCAAACAAGGCTTTGTGGAGCCTTGTTTAAACCAAATGCTGTTTCAGAGACACTCTCTGGAATGCATCTTGGCTGGTGGGTGGTCAGGCTGAAGGCAAAAGGATGGAGCCAGAAATGCCTCTCTGTTTTAGCCTAAAGTTCCTTTGGACAAGATCCAAGCCTCAGGAGGGGCAGTATGGTCAGAACAGGACCATAGTGATCCAAGGGAGGGAACTCACATCACATGATGGATGGATGGGCGGAGAAAGGGGCTGTGGTCTTTTGGGGGGACTCAGGAGCATTGGTTTTGGACCCTTAACCTGGCTTAAGGTTCCCACCACTATGTTCCTCCCTCTTTTCTTTTTTGGTAGACCAGGAGCCCCAATCCAGATCAGGACGCGCACATGCTGGTATTGCAGAGGAAAACAGGAAGAGGCGTAGCTGCTTGATTGGGATTTAAACCAATGTCTGCTTTGATCCCGAAGGAGCAAAACTTCCCAGCCTGGGGTGAGTTCTGCAGCGTGCTAGTGCAGACCCGGGCAGGCCTGGGTGTTGAAATTGTTTTCAGCAGATCCTGAAGATTTGCCAGGTAGAGAAGGGACAGAGGGGGGCTGTGGTGGTGCTGAACCAATGGCTGACTAGCACCCCATGAACTGGATGCTGGGGTGACACACATGCACTGTTGCCGCAGCTCTGGGGTCCCCATGGCTTTATTGCGCAAGTCAGGGCAGGGAGCGGGAAGGCGACTTGGTGCTGGAGGTGCAGGGCTATAACTCCTGTAAGAATTAAGCATCCACTGCTTTGACCAGCCTCTTTGCCAGCCTCCTCCGACCTGTTGCCGCCCAGATATTTTGGACTGCAATTCCCATCAGCCCCATCCAGCATGGCCAATGGCCAAGGATCCTGCAATCTAACAATATCTGGAGGGGCCCTCCATGTGCAAGGTGAATTCTCCTGCCCTGGATGCAGCTGGGACACTCAATGGCTTCTGATACAGAGGGATTTCCTGGAGCTGTTGCTTCTCTGCAGGAGTCCCTGCTCTGGGCTTGGCTCCTCATCATGGAGGTGCACTCAAATCCAGTCACTCATGACGAAGCATGGGGCCAGTGGGAGATTGCTCCTCCAAGCCCAGGTCTCTTCTGGCTTCTTTCCACGGGAAAAATAAACCTTTTTTGCATGGAAGGGTCAAGTGCGCCTCCAAACAAATCTGAGCAAACAGGACGTGCGCCTTGGTTATGAGGCACAATTATAATGAGGGGCACTCATGCCAGCTCCCGCTTTTGGAGGGCCAGGAACCTCAGCGCCACCCACCGCGGTGAGTCTGCCTCCTCACCACCACTGTCACCAGCGGCTCTTCCCCTCTTTGCTCCCACCTGACCAGCAGAGGGCTGTGGCATTCGTGGCTTCTGCCCACCACCGCTGCCGCCCGAGCCAGAGCAAGCGGCAAATGACCGAGCGGACTAAGATGGAGATGTGGAGCAGTGCAACCAGAAGGGTCTTGTCCGTGTGGCCGCTTGGCACATGCCAGCGTGGTGCTGGCCTGGATGGGCATCCTCCCCCGCCCTCGTGCCTGCCTTACCCATCTGGCACTCGTTGATGTCTTCATAGCACAGGGGCCCAGCGTAACCTTGCTGGCACGTGCAGACGGCGTCGCCGGTGCGGAGGTCAGTGTCGCAGTGTGCGTCGGGATGGCACGGGTTGCTGAGGCAGGCGTCGTGCAGGTGGCAAAAGAGCCCTGGGGGAGCATACCTGGGTGCTTAGCAGAATGGCCCCAGGCATAAACTGGTCCCTAGAGACATACACCTTCCCTCCTGCCCCAAAACCCAGACCTTTGGTGCACCTCAACCTGAACGTAAGCACTGTAGGCCCTCCATCTGTTTTCAGCAGTGTCGCAATGGGGTGGCCTCACAAAAGTTCCAGTTTCCAAAGAGGGAAAGGTCATTGCCGAGAAAATGGATGATCCAAACTGCATGCAACAGGTAAAGACTTCCTCCTCTGTTCGTCCCTAACCCTGATCCACGGCAGCTCCGTGTGACTGGCTGAGCTTTCACACTCTGCAGTGTTTGCAAAAAATATTCTGGATGCAAACGGCAATGTTTGGGAAGTAGAACGTTGACAAAGGAGGTGCAGCTTCTGCCAAGGAAGCGAATGGCCAACATGGCTGGCGACCATGCTGAACTCGGGAAGTTTATTTAAGCTTAGCGGGCTCTGACTAAGTCCCAAGCCTAGGCTTAGTGGGCTCCGGCCAGTACACCTGTGGGCTGAATCAGTAGATTCTAGTTCTCACCACAGACAAGCAGCTTTTGTACAATAGTCAGGCTGACCATACTGTGTATACTTTACCACAGCAGGAAGACACTGGACTATTACGGAAGTAGAGCTTCCGGCCTTCTGTGTATTCTTTTTGAACGTAGGGAGAGTGGCAGCTCTTTGACAGCGTTGTGATGTTTCCCTTTGGCATTTAAGGGGGGCTTTAGGTTTAGAGGGCTTAATGTGTCCAAGCCGGCTTCTCCAACCTGGCACCATCTGACTCGCCTGGAAGGCACCAGTTTGGGACAGCTTGGCTTGGACTGTCAGGAGGGTGGGCGACTGGAGCCTTACCTGTCCAGCCGGGGAGGCAGTGGCAGGTATATGATCCCATTCCATCCTGGCAGGTTGCCCCATTGCGGCACTGATTTCCCTCGCAGTCGTCTGGGTTCACCTCGCAGTGTTGACCTGTGTAGCCTGTAGGGGGAGCCAGGGAGATGAGAGACGTTCCTGGAGGACCTGGCTCTGTGTGGCCCCCAGCATGAGATCTGGGTTCCCTGGAGGGCCACTGGGGGGCGCTGCACCAGATGGCCCTTTGCTCAGGTCCAGAGGCACTGCTAGGGAATAGCCCAACGAAGGTCCAGTCTTTCCATTGGAGCCCTGAATCTCTGGGTGGCCCTTGGCCCTGCCACTCGATGAAGTAAAGGGAGAGAGGCCCTGTTGATCTTTCACATCTGAGCCCGCTGGATTAGCTGGCTTTTGGCTCCCATGGGCTTCCTCTCCTGCTGGCCCCTCCCTTGAATCTTTATGCCTGAGGGGTTTTTTCTTGACATCAAATCCCCCTGCCCTCCCCAAACATTCCTGTTTTAGGAATGGAGGTGTCCTTGGGAGTCCATACCCTTTCAAGACATACAGAGAGAGATGCTTTAGAGCAGCCTTCCCCAACCTAGGGGCCTTTAGAAGCATTTGGACTACAGCTCTCAGAATTCCCATCCAGCAGAGCCATTGACTGGGAATTCTGGGTGTTGCAGTCCAAACATGCCTGGGAAGTACAGAGTTGGGGGAGGCTGCTTTAGATCATATGCATACTAGCAGATGCAAACCCCGGCATTTCTTTGGTCCTTTGGGCCTGAGTCCCAGATTTTTTTCTGGTATCTAGAGCATCCCTCTCTGCCGTCAGATATAATGGAGCTCTTAATCTGTTTAGGTCCTATGAAACCCATTGCTCATGAAGGCAAAGAGCACTATTGACATGCAAGAACAAGCTTGGAGAAAGTTCAAAAGTCCTTCCAGAAGTACCCCCAAAATGGGGGAACCATCCTAAGGGGCAGGGGGAACCCAAAACTGCCCAGTGCGGGTCTGATGACTCTGATCAGCAGGGGATGTGGATGGGCTGTTTGGTGCATGCTGGTGAGCAGAATGGAAAGCGAGGGATGGAGGAATGGGATGCTGGACCCCTGGAAACCACTTCACCTGCAACATTTTGCTGCTGGTGCCTCATGGTTTTTACGATTTTACATCTTTTCTCCTGACACCCCCTCTACTAGTAATTAAATATAATAAAAGCATAACAACAACAACAACAATAATATACTCATTATTAGTATTAATAACTGGCAGTACTGATTGCTTGATGGACATTACTCCTTTTATTGTTATGAGTTTTTAATTTAATGCAACATGCAGCATTTTAAGCAGGGATGGAAGAGAGAACGAGACTGTTCACACGTCGCCTGAGCAACAGATTGCTGCCTTGGCCACCTGTGGTGCTCAGGTTGTGTCTTAATCAGCAAAAAGGGTCCTTTCAGGCCCACTGCATGCTGCTACATATCATGCATGCGCATTCTGGTGAGATTCCCAGGTGCGCACAAGAAGCTGACTGTTTTGGTGTGACTGGCAGCTCAGACGCTGAAGCTGATGGCGAGTCGGCTGAACCAGACGAGGCTCAACTCAGAGCTCAAACTCTGATAACGGAATTGTTGTTGTAAAGGGCAGGCCTGCACCTGCAGACTCGGTCTCTCCGTACCAGTCTGAGCCTGCTCTGGATGAAAGTAGCTCAAGGACACCCATGGGGCGTGTGGAAGCAGAAGAAGGAGGGGAGGGAGGAGATTTGGAAATGGGTAATCTCTCGGATGAAGAACACCACCCTCCTGAAGACCTGGACCTGAGGGCCAGAGAGCAGAATGCAGGTGTGCCCAATTCCACAGCGCCCCTCTTTCCAGAGACAGGCCCCAAAGGGTTCATAAGCAAAGCTTTGAGTAAAGGGGGGCAGAGGGGGTTCAATATCTCTTTGTGTATGCTCAGAGGCTTGTGTATGCTTAGAGTCTTCTATGTAGCATAAAGACACTTCCAAGAAGTGCTGGAAAGTCTTTCTTGCTTGGGGGAGAATGCCTAGCTCACGGCACTAATCTGCCACAGCAGGGCTTGTCTAAGGCAGCTAATTGCTGGAGGCATGAAACAGTTAATACCTCTTTGAACCATTTGATTTGGTGAGTGCCAGTAGTTGCCCCTTTTGGGGAGGTAATTAACTTCAGAGAAACTTTGATATTTACCTGTCCTCTTAAATTAGCCACCTGTTTCCTGGAAGGTAATGCACAGTCAGTACAAATGGGGCCCTTCTGACAGCTAAAAGATTGATTTTACAGTATGACAAGGATAAATGCTCCCCTCCAGTAATGGAATGGATCGCAGACCTAACAACACTTTTAATATTTGAATGGGTACTGTATAGACACCACCTTCAAATGGGCACTTCTATGGATATGTGGTCTGCTTTTTAAAATGTGTCTATCATTCTTCGAAAGTTCCATCCATCCCTTAAAATTCATAGATTCAAAACTATGTAGCTACATGTTACTCTCCCTCTTTTCTGTTTTGTTCTGTTGAAATTTTACAAGAAAGCTTATTTGTTAAAAAGTGATGCTTGCAATCTGGTTTAGTGATATTTTGGTCCCAGTTTGCCATACTATTTGCTTGGCTATTGGATTGCTTGCTGGGCATTGCCCCTTTTATTGTTTTAATGATTTAATTTCATTGAAATTGCTAGCAGACTTAGGGACATTTTTATAAAGCAAAAATATCTTCATTAATTGCATAAATAGATATTGTGATTTTTTAAAAATCTCAGCTCAATTTTTTTGGTTTATTCAGCAGAAATGCCTGATAGCAAACCCCATACACAACATTCAGAGTGACAGATAAAATATCTGGAGAACGCAGCAGTCCCTACCATGCCTGCCCACCTATTTACCTATCCAGCTGGTTTACCTAATTTTATCCTGCTCCTTAGCTGAAAAGACTCCTGCAGCAGCTTACATATAATCAGACATACAAGAGGCTTGCAATCTAAGGCACAACACACCAAGGAAAAGGGGATGGGGAGAGAAGGGGGGGGTGAAGCCTTTCAGCAGACCTGGAGGAATGGCCCCCTTTCCGCCTTCCGCCTCTCATCAAGACACCCTGACCTCGTTTTCTTGGTTGAAAGACAAATCTCATAAATAACATCTCACATATTTAATGCAGGTTGAACCCGGTTCTTTGGACGTCACACCTGGATGCTTACCTGGGGGGCACAAGCAGCCGTGGTATCGCTCGTCCACATGGTGGCAAGTCCCTCCGTTGAGGCACACGCCGGGGGTGCACGGTCCCAGGCGGTTCTGGCAGAGTAGGCCTGCGCTGCTGGGTGGGCAGATGCAACGGAACGAGCCGATGTTATTGATGCAGGTGCCCCCGTTGAGGCAGGGCTTGGGGTCTGCGAAACACTCATTGATGTCCTGCTGACAGGTGTGCCCATCGAACCCGGGTCGACACTGGCAGACGATGACTGGGTAGGTAATGACGCAAGTTCCGCCGTTAGCACAAGGATTTGCTGGGCAGAAGTCCATGAGCTGGCAGTTCTTTCCTAGAAGGAAGCCAAACATGTGAGGCAATGCTTCTTGGCTGTTTCTCAGTGACACCATCAGGGTACAACCCAGGACAGCGGTCTGAGGCCCTATCTGGCAGAATCAGCGGGAGATCCCCCGCCCCAACACAGCAGGGGTGACTTGCCACATTTTCAAGTGAGCAGATAGGGAAGAAATGGAGGTAGTGACAGATTTTATTTTCCTGGGCTCCAGGATCACCGCAGATGGGGATTGCAGCCAAGAAATTAAAAGACGCTTGCTCCTGGGGAGGAAAGCTATGGCAAATCTAGACAGCATACTAAAAAGCAGAGACATTACCCTGCAACAAAAGTGCACATAATCAAGGCTATGGTTTTCCCAGTTGCAATATATGGCTGTGAAAGCTGGACGATAAGGAAGGCTGAGAGCCAAAGGATTGAGGCCTTTGAATTGTGGTGCTGGAGGAGACTCCTGCGAGTCCCTTGGACCGCAAGGCGATCAAACTGGTCAGTCCTACAGGAGATCAACCCTGACTGCTCTTCAGAAGGACAGATACTGACGATGAGACTCAAATACTTTTGGCCACCTAATGAGAAGGAAGGACTCCCTGGAGAAGAGCCTAATGCTGGGAACAATAGATGGCAAAAGAAGAAGGAGACGGCAGAGGATGAGGTGGCTGGATAGAGTCACTGAAGCAGTCGGTGTGAGTTTAAGTGGACTCTGGGGGATGGTGGAAGACAGGAAGGCCTGGAGGAATGTTGTCCATGGGGTCACGATGGGTCGGACACGACTTTGCAACTAACAACAACAATCCTACAGAAAGACAAGCACAGGAATCCGAGATCAAATCAAGTCAGACTTTTCCCTGAAAGCAAAAGTGACAAAACTGAGACTTTCATATTTTGGGCACATCATGAGAAGGCAAAACTGCCTGGAGAAGGCAGTCACATTAGGGGAAGTTGGCGGCAGAAGAGGAAGGGGAACACTAAATAGGAGATGGAGTGAATCCATAATGGAAGCCGTAGCCTTGAGCTTGGAAGAGCTGAATGGAGCTGTGGTGGACAGGACCTTTTGGAGGGCTTTCATTCAGAGGATCGCCATAGGTCAAAGATAATTTGAGGGCACATAACAACAAATTGCATGCCTTCTTATTCAAAGTAGTGTGTGTATATGTGGGGTGTGTGTGTGCAGATAAGACTGTGAGAGGTTGTGTGGAGTAATAGTTAGAGGGCTGGCCTGGGACTTGGGAGATCTGCATTTTGCTTTCCACTCAGCCAAGAAGCTCACTCTGGCCCAGTCATGGAGTCTGCCCAGGGTTGTTATGAGGATAGAAAGGAGAAAAGGAAATTAAAATTAGTGTACCATACCAGCGTTTCTCCCTCCTTCCCTCAGATTACTCCTGAGAATGTTAGGTCAAAGGCCATTCTAATCCAGCGTCCTGTTTCCGACAGTAGCCAGAGAGATTTTTCCTGAAAACTTACAAGCAGGGTGTGAAGGGAAGGGAAGGGAGGGCTCTCCCTTGGTTTTGTCCCAACAGAAACTGGTGTTACACTTGGGTTTAAATTACCTCTGGGACACCATTCTGCAATTGTGACTCAAGAGGTCACAGTAGCAGAAGAACAAGGGGTTGATTGACAGCAAGGGGTGCCATGCAAGGCTTTTTCTAAGCATTTTCTTCAATGGCACAAGAAGATGGTGTACCCCACCCCCATCCCCAGTGTAGGGGGACCTCCCAACCATTTCCTAATGGAAAAAATAAAGGGGTTGGATGACTCAGACAGTTGGTCCCAATAGTACAGTATATGATCCACACAGGATTAGGAATGTTGAAAGGAAACAGTCATCATTTGGAGGCACTGTGCAGTGACTTCCACCCAAACATGGAGGCTCCCATGCATCTCTGTATAGCATGAGGTGCAGTGGCAACAATCTTCACTGTGGTCAGCCCTCACACCCTGCATTTTGTCTAGATGAGCTTTCCCCAACCTTGTGACCCTCAGAGGCATTTGGACCGCAACTCCCAGAATTCCCATCCAACAGGGCCAGGCTGGCCTTCCCCAGCCTTGTGGCTCGTAGACACATTTGGACTACAACACCCGGAATTCCCAGTCAGTGGCCCTGCTGGATGGGAATTCTGGGAGTTGTGGTCCAAAAGCCTCTGAAGGTGGCAGCCATTTTCATTCATCTGAGGAAGCACCATAGGGGAAGGGGGAAGAGGCAACACCCATCAATTAAAATGCCCTTCAGCAGCGAACCAGCGTATGTGCTAAAGGCCTGATGGAATAAAAACCTAAACAATTAAGGGTAAGAACCACTGGAATAGGCCGCACCAGATTAGGTGGATCTAGACTCATTTATGCTTAGGGCAGATCCACTAAAATCGGTGGGAAGTAGTAGTTATCATCACTAACGCACATCCCACAGATTTTAATGAATCTTCTCTAAGTCTGGATCCAGCCCTAGGTGCATACATTGCCTATCCTGGAATGGTGCTGAAGCTTCCTGGGTCCCTCAGGCGCTTGGGGCCTGGTGTGTCTCCAGGGAGGCCGTGTGCTCCATCTCCCGAGCAGGAGCCCAAGAGCCTGCCACTGTGCAGGGCTGGGTGCCTCAGCTTTTGCTCCAACGGCCCAGTCAGTGTGCCAGCGGAGGGCAAGAGTTTCAGGGGCCCTGGCTGGCAGCTCTTCCCCTGCAGGAGTGTGTGGCCAGTGAGGTGGCAGTGGACTTGCATGGTGGAGGGTCGCCCCATGATTTGCTGCCACTCCTGTTCTGCAACCTGAGGTGGAGAACACTCAGCACCTCATGGGAGGTCCAGTTCCGAATCTAGCCCACACTAGACCAGACTTCCCTTTCCCAGGAGCAGCCCCACAGGCATGTCTCTTCTTGCCCACCGTACCTGTCCATCCTGACATGCACTGGCACTGGTACTGGTTCCCAGAGAGTCGCTGGCACGCTCCTCCGTGTTGGCAGGGCGAAGGGAAGCAGGGATCTCCCACCATGCCTTGGCATTGCTCCCCAGTGAAACCAGGAGGGCACACACAAGTGAAGGCAGGAGGGCTTGTGGGGCGGACAATCTGGAGGGAGCAGGTACCCCCATTCTGGCAGGGCCCAAGGGTGCAGGGGTCCACGAATTGGCACAGGTCTCCCTCATAGCCAGGAAGGCACCTGCCAAGAGAACAATGTGGAAAGAAAGGACAGAGGTGTTCCTGGTTGGTCAGAAGACAGAGCAGGGGAAAAGGATTCAGTCAGTGCTAAACAGGGTCACATTCCTCCTAAAGGCTCAGCATCACAGTTTATTTGGTTTCTTTATTACATTTATATCCCACTTTTTTCCTATAACAAACTCAAAGCATCTTACATCATTTTCCTCCTCCTGTTCTCAATCTTGCCCCCCAACAACAACCCTGTGAGGTAGGCTGGGCTGAGAGTCTGTGACAGGATCAAAGTTACACAGTTGGCTCCACAGCAAAGTGAGGACTGAAACCCAGATCACCTGAGTCCCAGTTCTGTACACTTAACCACTATACCACACTGCTCAGTGCTTATCCTGGATGCCTGGGTTCTGGTGGAGGCCCGGATTGTGCCTTCATACCTGAATTAGTGTGTCAAGTGTGCCCCTGACTTGGACTCACGTCTGATCTGTCTACAGTCACTTGTGCCCTTCTTACATCCCATCGGGGTTATTCAGATGGACTCTTGCGTGGGGCCGCTTCCAAATTGTTCAAACTTCAGCTAATCCAGCATGCTGCAGTCAGAGTTTTGATCCCATGGCCTGAGGAACATGTGACTCTCTTATTACAACCATTTCATTGCTACCAGTCTATTTTCCCAGCAAAATTCAAAGCACTGGTTGTTATTATCATCACATTAGATTAATACTCTGTGGTTCTTCCTCTTTCAAGGAACCCAAGCCAACTTACAAGGTTCTCCTCAACATGTTATACTCCGAACGACAGCCCTGCAAGGCAGGTGGGGCCGAGAGTCTATGCCTGACCCAATGTGACCTAGTGAGCTTCATAGGTGAGTAGAGATTGGAACTTGGATCTCCCATGTCCCAGTTTAATACTGCAACCACTATGCCTCACTGTCTTTATAGGTTCTCGACTGCTTAATAAAGGTGCTGACGGTAGGGTTTAAAGCCCTAAATGGCTTGGGACCAGGGTATCTCAAGAAGCGCCTGTTCCTGTACGAAACTACCTGGCACCTTTCTGAGCCACCTCCTCAGAAAAAAAGGAGGGTAGCAACAATAAGGGCCTTTTTGGGAATGGCACCCCTACTCTGGAATGAGCTTCCCAGAGAGGTCCGACTGGCACCCTCTTTATGCTCTTTTCAGTGCCAGGCAAAGACCTTTTTATTTCACTGGTAATTTAACTGTTAAACTGTTTTTAATGTTTTAATGGTATTATATTATTGTGGAATGCCTTTTATGTCTGCAATCACTAGTTCCGTCAAGTTGAGGCGGGTGTGCTTTTATTGTCTTACTGTTTTACTGTAATATGATTTTTGTGACTTTATACTGTTTTCATATGGTTTTATTGTTATAAGCTGCCTAGCGAGCCATGTGGCTAATGGGGGTGAGTTAGAAATCAAATAATAAATGCATACAATAAATAATGTGAAGCCATATATGACTTGAGGCCAGGCTACCTGAAAGACAACCTTCTCTTATATGCATCTACCTGGGTCTGAAGCTCTTTTAAGGGGGCCTTTCTCCTGGTCCTCCCACCTCCCGGTGTGTGCCTGGGGGCAGCATGAGAGGGAGCCTTCAGGGGCCTTCTTGGGGGCCACTCCGAGGCTGTGAAGCTCCCTGCAGAGAGCACAGGGTTTGCCACCCCTGCTGCCCCTCTGCTGGCTGACAGAGGCCTCTTGCTTCAAGCAAGCCTGCTGCACTGAGTATCGTTTTTCTTCTGTTGCTTTGTTTTTAATTGTTCTTTTGAGGTTTGTGCTTCCATATTGTTTTCTGTCATCTCTCTGTGGTGCAAGCCACCTGGCGGGCCATTTCCAGACAGAAAGGCAGAGTGCTAAATAAGGAAACAAATGAGATGATAGCCTAATCCCATCTGCCCCTGCACACATGGCTCCTGTTATCACAGGCGTTACATCAGATGTCAGGACTCAGTCTTAGGGGTGTGGGAGATTGGGGATGGAAAGATAATGAAGAAGTGTCTCTGAGAATGTGCAGAGCGTTCTGACAGGGGGCATGAGGTAGCAATCTGAGGGCTGGGGAAGGCAAGATGAGGAAAGGCCAGTGTCAAATCCTGCTTGAACCATGAAGTGGTTCGCCTGAGAGGTCCGCCTGGCGCCGTTGTTATTTGTTTTTCGGCGCCAGGCTAAGTCCTTTTTATTTAAAACTTATTTTAATTGTTAATTTATTTATTTAACTAGGGTTTTTTTTAATTTTTAGCCGAGAATGCACTGAAGTTTTATTGCACTGGGGTTTTATTGTATTGTTATTTATTGATGTTTTGTGAGCCGCCCCGAGGCTTGATTGAGATGGGGCGGCATAGAAATGTTTTAAATAAGTAAGTAAGTAAGTAAGTGACAGTGGTACCCCTGGATCTGGCTCAGCCTAACCTGCCCTCTAGGGCTGTTGTGGTGGTAAAAAGGGCAGGATGGGAAAATGATGCATCATGTCACCCTCCGCCCCTTGGTGGAAGGGTGGGGCAGGATGAAGTGAGAATAAATTCAGGCTGAGTCATCCTTTGCATAGTTCATGTCTAAATGGAGAGCACCTTCCTGGAAATTTGGCCCTCTCTGTTGCCATTCCACTGACCTAGTTATGGCAGGTGGTTTATTTTTATACAGATGCTGTTTTCCCTCGCAGGGTGGTCTTTAACTGCAAATGGCCCCAGGTGCTATCTTGGGGATTTGAGGGCAGGGTCTGAACAACCCCTTCCTTAAACCCAGGAAAGTGTGCAGTTAGATTTGTGGTAGGAGATAAAGTGATGGGAAAATTGCACTCATTGAATTTCTAACCCAGCACTTCACCCACCCGTTGCTTTCTCAGTGTATCCCATGCTTCCATATAGCCTAAAGTGCCTGATCCCACCTCATCTTGGAAGCTTAGCATAATTGGACCAGGTTGAAATGTGCAGGTATGACTTGGGGCCTGCATTGAGCAGGTGGTTGGACATGATGGCCAGCTAGGCCCCTTCCAACTGTATGATTCATGTAAGGAGTAGAAATGCACAGAGATGCAGAGAGCTACTCTTCTGTATAGAAGAACGCCACATGCCTGCACTACTGTTCACCTACGCTTCATGGTACAGAGTTGAAGGCATCACAGCTTTCCCTCCTTTGCCCCCCTCTTCCACAGATGAAGAGGAGAGGAGAGGACCCCCAAAAGACCCAAAAGGACCCTAAAAGACCAAGGCAAGGCAAGGCAAGAGGCTCATAAGCCTTTCAGAGAAAACAATCAGAAGCATTCTGAAATCATAGATCTTACTGGCAGGTGAAAGTCCCATTAGAATGATTCAAACAGGTCCCTCCATTCTTGCAGGAAGTTCCGGAGCAGGGCAGACCTGGTAGGAAGAGCCATTGGTGACATTAGGGCAGGGCCTGGCAAACGTCCAGGGCCCTCTGAGCAGAATGCGCTACAGGGTCCCCCAGAGGCAACAGGGCCAATGCACTGCATTTTGGAGGGGGTGACATCAGAGCCCGAAGAAGCAGAGGGGACACGTGGCTCTTCAGAAGTTCTTGGGCCGGAAGCCCCATCCACTCTAGCCAGCACAGCCAATGGGCGTTGGCCTCCAGCATCTGGAGGACCAGGCATTCCCTAACCTTGATCAAAAGAGCAGATTTCTTAAAACCATTGCATCCAAACCCCAAATTACTGAAGTGCACCACTGGATGGACCAAAGATGTTACATCAACAGGGTTGGTTCTGATAAACAGCAGAGGGGGTAGGAAACTCGTTTCTGGGCTGTACCACTTCAGCGCGCAGGTGCAAGCCCGGGGCTGAAGGTCACTCCAGACAACTGCACAGCAAATCCCTGCACGCAGAAGAGTTTCCCGCGAAGCAGAAAGGGTCAAGCCTGGCCTTCCCCTGCCGTGTAGGATGCTTGTTTCCACATGTGGAGATTTGTTGTTGGCGCCATTGTTGCACAGAGAAGCGTCCAGCCGCACAAGCAGCCCCCAGACAGGCTGGCCACCTCATTTGCCATTTTGAGAAAAGGGATGAAAGAGAAATGACTTTAAATCTGTATCTACGTGCTACATTTTCTCTATCCATGTTTACTTTCTGGTAGGCATAGGGGGCATATTCTGGTGCTTAATACCCCCCCCCCATGCTAAGAGCACAATTGTGATCAGCGGTACCTGCTTGTTCTCTAGAGTAATAAGTGGTACATATGCCACTTAGAGACGTAGCTGCTAATACAGGTTGAAAGTAAGTTTTGCCCTGTGCGGAAGGACTCAGCCCCACTCCCTGGCCATTCGAGCTGAAAGGGCTGGAGGTAGCAGGATGGGGAAGGACCTCCCAAGCACACACATGCACAAAATTGAATGTACAGGTGACCACTTTGCTTATTGTGTGTCACACGTGTGAATGAAAAAACACATAAAACCCTTCCACAGTTCCCTTCCTCCATGACACCCTCAAGTGTTCCACCTTCGCACATGGTTTGCACATGCCTGCCCAAGGGCACAAGGACCTGCTCTCTGTTCTGCTCCATTTCCATGCAAGCACACGCACTCACAGACAGAAGCAGTGCCACTGGATCGGCCCGAGATTTGCATCGGCTGCGAGGTGATTCGCCTGGCATCTGGTTGCTAAACTTGTCAAGGGGCCCTTTCAGGGCATCCTGGTCTGGACTGGGCAAGCTGTCCTCCCTCCAAGAGGATGAGGCTTTGCATGCCTGGTGCTTCCGCAGGTGGATCCCGCTTTGAACGGTCAGCTACGAAAGCTGGTTCAGAAGTTGGCAGTGCTGACCACCCATCAAGGATCTGCCCCGTTCCAGAAGCTGCACTACTTTGACTTACCTCGAGTGAGTGGAATCAAAGCCAGGAGCAGCAAGTGCTTCATCCTGTCTGCAGAACACCCCACGGCCACCTCCGGTCAGCCCCCACGACTTCTTTTAACTCCAGAAGTGATCCTGGAAGTCAGAGCACAGGTGTCCAAAGGAGGGTCCAGCTCCGAAGCAAGCTGTCAGACAGAAGCAGAGCAAAAGGTCCCCCCACTCACTTAAGCCCTCCAGATCTGCAGGCGGGTCGGACAACTCTGTGCAATTAATTCCTCTGTGTTGCATCCCCCCTCCTTCCCATACACACACTAAAGGACAAGGCACATCCTGCTGGCTCTGTACTGCATTGTCGAAGACTTCCTGACCCACACAATGCCTGGGAGGGGAAAGGTTTCCTGTTACCCAGGGCACTCTTGTCAACATGTAGGAGGGGGGGTGTTGGGGGTTGGGGACAGAACCAGGGAGATGGCACTGGGCACAGCAAATCGGGGACTCCACAGAAATTGCAACCTGGTGCTGGAAAACGGGCCTGCCAGATTGCATTTCCACAGCAGGCCAAATACACTCCTGCTCCTGACAAACCTTGTACCATAATGAAAACGGCTGCTTTCGATGCTGGAGACCCAAGTTCAAATCCTGCCCATTTCAGGTTTAGCTTGTCAAGTTCTCTGCAGTATCAAGTCACTTCCATTCAGGAGAGATGTGCCAAGAATTACATGGGCTTGAGTCAGAGCACCCAACCTTCCTACTACAACTGCCAGCCCACTGCTGGCGGCGTAGAACACAAAGTGGCTGATTAAATAGGTTATTAGTGTCCAGCAACAAAAGATTTGGCAGGCTATTTTCAAGTCACATTGTGAACATTTTCAGCTTTCTTCAGTTTCCGGTCCATTCTGGGAAAACTGCTCGTGGTTTTTCTCTGTGCCTCCTTTGCCTGCTTCCCCTCGTTCTTCTGGACCACTGCCAACCTTTGATAGGCTTCTTTGCTTCTCCCATGTTTCCTGCCCCTTTGAGCAGAGCAGGTGGTTCTTTTGAGGTCACAGCAGGCAAGCCAATGGCAGTCAGGAACCTTTCCGCCAGCTGCACCTCCCTGTGACATCAGGGAAGTTCATCCAACCACTGCAAAAGGCCCCAGTGCCACTCAGTGACTATCTAGGAATGCCATTTGCCTTTGCTAATTTATATATATATAGATGCAAATGTAGATATATTTATTATAATTTATATAGAAATACGATAAATTCCACACAGCGTGCCTAGCTCACCCTGCTGCCAGGGACTACTTTTGATTGGCGACTTCAGGGCCTCTGATCTGCCTTGTGCTGGTCTTTATCTGGGAGCGGACCACCCTTCAGAGAAAAGAGGCCTTCAGAAGAAAGGCCTATGGCAACCCTTTAGACAGAGGATGGTTCTCTGGAAAGAGGACATGTGGTCACCCTAACAAATCCGTTAATGATTTATGGCAGGGAGCGTGAGCTCCAGCCCTGAGTTTCATCGTACCTCTGATGCCTCCCCATCCGGCCTACTGAGGCCCAGATGGAAACCCCTCCCTCAGCCCCACAGTCCTTAGAGAAGAATGCTCCGTTTTCTCATTGCACACGGAGAAAGCAACTTGTGGCCAAATAACTGATTCCACAAAGGAAAGGCTTGGGAGGGCAAACATTATTGGCTTATACAAGGTGCAAAATATATTGAACAGAACTAAACAGGTACAGATGAAAATCCCTAGCAAAAAATTGCACATCTTTGGCTCCATGTGGCTGGTCTTTATTTGTTAGATTTCATCCTTTTCCTGCAAAGATCCCAAGGTGGCTGGCAGAAGCCTCGTCGTCCGCAAGCCAGAACTTGCCCTGGAATCCAAAGTGATGAAACTGAACCCATCTTACTGCATGCGCATCATGAGGAGGTGAGGCTCCCTGGAGGAGACAATCATGCTAGGCATGCATGTCGAAGGCAGAAGAGGAAGAGGAAGACGAAATAGCAGGAGGACTGGGGTGAAGGCTCAGCTTTGCATTTACATGAGCTGAGCAGGGCTGTCAAGGACAGGACGTTCTGGAGGGCTCTCATTCACAGGGTTGCCATGAATTAGAGGTGACTTTATAGCATGTAACAGCAACAAGTGAGGCAGTGACTGGCCCGAAGTCCCCTAGTGACCTTCAGGGCCAAGTTGGCACAACTAGAACCTGATGTCTTGAGTCCCAGCCTGTTGCTCTCGCCACCCCAGCGGCACTCCTTCTCAAGGCAGTGAACTGACTGAGCATCCCTGCAAGGCCTGCAATGAGATCTGTAACGATCTAGCTCTAATTTAGTCCTAGGTGCACACCATGCTGGCTGCAGGCTTTAGAGGGCTCTTGGACAAGGTGCTGTCAGTGGCGTTCTGCCACTTGCTCATACCTGCTCCTACGTGCTCCCTTGGCAGGCAGGCAGGCAGGCAGGCAGGCAGGGAGCAGCTTGGCTGTGGCTTCTGCTCCTCTTCCTCACCACCAACACCATTGGCTGGAGCAAAGCAAGGAGGAGGGGAGCAAGCAGGCTGCAACACTAAAAGGAGGGCCAGTGGATCCCTGCAGGGGGGTGGGCCCAAGTGTCCTATCTTTGCCACTCATCCCTGGCATCCCTGTTCCAACAAAAGACCTCCCCCCTTTGAGCTCTGCCTCCCCCTGCTGCTGTGTGGCCCCCAGAAGTGTCCTGGCAAGCAATTTAATCCCCAGGATCCCTGCCACCACATAGGGAAAGAGGAGGAATTTGTTTTGTTCTCATTTTAATGCAGACTTCCCTAGTTTTGCTATTTCAACCCAGTACACGAAATAAAGCTCAATTATCCTTTGAAATGTGTAGTTCTCCAGAATGTGTACTGGTGTTCTCTAATTAAAAAAAAAAAAAACACCATTAAATGCATAAATGAGGGAAGGATGCACACAAAAAATGCCATGTATTCATTTAAAACATTTTAAAAAGTATATTAGTAAAACTACTTGCAAAAAATGTGAAAGGGAAATTGTGTACAAAAATATGTGCCAAGAAAAATGCATACAGATCTGTACATACTTTAAAAAAAATCTCAAAGTTTGGGCAGCCCAAATGAAAAACTGAAGAAAAACTATCACTGGAGTACCTAAGCATACGCAGCTGAAATCACTGAATGTCTATTCCCTTCTCATTCCTCCCTTTCCTTTAACTTTGCTTGTGTTGATATTTAGATATTTAGACTGTAAACACCTTGGGACAGCAAAATGTTTCTGTGTGAATATATAAAACTTGCCTTGACTGCCAGTTTACTTGGTGGAAGGCAAGGTACAAATCAAATTGAATCAGCCAATACATAAATTAATAAATTGGAATTAATTTCCTTTTATATATGAATAAATATATAAGTAGAAAGCTCAGGTTCTTACAGGGCTAGGTTTGGGGTTAAAAGGGGTGTGTAGCGCATTCCACCTTGAAATCTTTTCTCCCAGACCAGCACCCCAAATTTCCACAGAAAAGTAATTTGGGGAACTCATTTAGACAGAAGAAAGGCCTACAACTCTCAGGATGCCCCAGCCAGACTGGCTTTATCCATGTCCAACTTACTATATTTATCTCCTCTCTCCAAAACAGGGCTCCAATATATTATTTTCTATGTCAGCTCTGCCTCAGCAACTTGTCCCGGGTTTTATTGCCTTAAGTGACCATCTTCTTCTCAGTTGCTAAGACTAAAACCCCCTGAATGTAGCAGAGTTTACTTTTGAATAGACGCACCTAGGAATGCATTACGAAGTTTGTCTTTGCAATCAGAACATGTGTGTCTTCCTAATCATCCAAAACCCACAGCACAGTGTGGCTATTTTAGCCAGTCACTGTTTGTGGACTTGCAGGCAGAAAGGATCCGGGTTTGGGTAAGATGCTGTAACTCCAGCATTCCACCCCGCATGAGGGTGGCTTCACTCTTCAGAGCTGTCCGAAGCAAAATCTAGAGAAATTCAGCCATCTCTGGAACAGAAGGGGGGGCCTGGGACATTTTGCCACATTTTCTGCCCCTCACACAGAAGGCGACTGTGCTGGCAGTGGAAATTTATCTCAGCAACAGGATACTAACCACACCTGAGGGCAGCATGCTGGTTGGAAAGGGGCAGGTTGGGCTATGGGGCAGCAGCATTTTAGGAGACAGCAGGAGCCCTGACTCTCTGGGAGGCCATCTGCCTCACCAACCTGCCCTCCCAAAGTAAAGGCACAGGGGCTCTGAGGAGCTCTGCTGCATTGGATTGTCCTGGGTGAAGCAGCGCCACCACCTGCTGGCCCTCCTTTGCATCCTTCTGCCTGAGGTTTTCCGTTTGAAAGCAAATGTTCTCCTCAAACAGGGTTGTCCATAGGCCTTTAAACACACCACACACAATGTCGAGCCTGTGTAGATTAGTATCTGTAACTTTGTGCATTCCTTTGGTCCTGTGTGTGTGTACACCACATCTTCTCCATACCCAGCACCACCCCTGCACCATACAGGGACCACACACAAGGCTTTATCCTCCCAGACAGAGGATGGGTGCCTCAGGAGGAATGACCAAAGGCCCCCAGGCATCTGACACCTGAGGTGGCTTGCAGCATTCAGTTTGTTGGCAAGGCTGGCCCTGTATAACAGATATTCTGCAAGCTCTTTGAGACACCCTTCCTCTTGTTATTTGTGCAATGTATAAATGCAGGTGTTTGTGTGCATTTCCACCTGTTGAGCATCCAGATGATTAACCTCATCTGACCTTGCACAGTTGCAGCTTTTCCCTGCCACAGATCCCCTTGTGCCCGTGCCTCCTCCGACAAGATATCTTCCACAGCTCTTCCTGTTTATTTAAGTCTTGAGTTTATCTTAGAAGTGCGGAGCTGGAAGAAGCCCAGCTCATTCCAGTCTGAATCTAAGACAGGATATCCCCTGCAGGAAGAATCCCCACAACGGTAGTGCCGGTTTCAGCTTTTTCTTAGGCCCTTTGACTCCCTCCCTCAATTAGTTGCTTTTCTCAGCAGTTGCTCTTGCTTTTCTTCTTCCTTCTCATTGTCACTACCACCAACTTACTTGGTAAGCAAAGAGCCAGCAACTGAGCCAGTGGTGGTAGCTGCTGCACCTCCAGCCTCTTCGCCTGGGCCAGAGTGTAAGGCAGTCTACCATGGTGAAGAGAAAGAGCAAGT